CAGAATAAACGATGACTCCAGTCGCCTTTGCGCAGAGTCACTTTAAGATGTTTTCTTGTTCATGTTTTTGTTTGTTGCGGTTGCACCTGATTCAAGAGCCGAATGGCTCACAGGGCTATACCAAATAAATGAAAATGAAACTGAAACTACCGGGTTCAATGTGTACCCCCATCTCAACAACTTCACTTGTTATCTTGCATTTTCTAATTGCTACACCTCGCTGGATATCACAGTGGCGGATCGTGATGTTTCCAATAGGCGGGGCTGTTTCTAATTAAGAAAAACCTCTTATTCTTGGTTCTTTCGGTAAAATCACGCAGATAGAAAATAAAAAAAAATAATACAAAATTTAAAATAAAAGCAAAAAACCCACGACGTTTCGATCGCAACACAAGCGGTCTTCATCAGGCAGAGAGAAAAGAGGGGGCAAGCCTCCAAATGCAACTGCTGATAAGGGCTTCAAAGTGAGTGGGCGGTGGACGAGAGTTGCGAAGCAGCAGCAAGGAGAGCTGTGCGGCGTGCCAATGTCGGAGTAAAGTGCGAGCTGAAGGCGAGGGGCGCAGTCCAAGTGTGTGAGACAATGGGGGGAGTGAGGGGGTAGAGATAGGGGGAGAGAAAGGGGGGTAGAGATGGAGGGGGGGCATTGCACCTCGCTACACCCATCCACACTGCTGACGGTAGAGGTTGACAAGAAAACACAAATCAAGTCATGACCCAAAGTGGTTGATGACATCTTTCCAATGATTGCTGAATTTATAACCGTCGTCTCGGTTTAAATTGTGTCTGTATATATGTGTTGAGGCGTAACTGATGACTCGGAGGCAGATCTTCGTGTAAGGGCTTGCGCCACGTTTATTAAGGGCTCACACCAGTTGTTTTATGAAAGACCTCTCTTTGCACACGACTTCGTGTACTGCACACTCACTGCCTACACTCCACACCCCAGGGGAAGGGTACTGGGGTAACAGTGCAGAACCGTCCGATCCTTCCGCAAACCAGTCCGGGTTTTACAAATCAACGGAATCGAGAGCGCGCTTCCTTTGGGGGACTTGCCTCTCCCCCCTCTCCCCCTCTCATCTCACTCTCCCCCCTCTCATCTCACTCTCCTCGCTCTCCCCTCTCATCTCACTCTCCCCCCTCTCCCCCTCTCATCTCACTCTCCTCTCTCTCCCCCTCTCATATCACTCTCCTCTCTCTCCCCCTCTCATCTCACTCTCCTCTCTCTCCCCTCTCATTTCACTCTCCCCCCTCTCATCTCACTCTCCTCCCTCCCCCCTCTCATCTCCACCGTGCTAGACCACACGTGGCCTGTGGTCTCGCAGGGTGGAGGCAAGGGTTGGTGGATTGCACACAAACGGTGAGGAACCCGCTCCGTGGGCGTCGAGGGGGAGAGCCATACCCTGGGGCTCGCCGGGAGAAGGCGGTACGGCGAAGTGTGGACTAATCGCCATCTGTTTCCATCTGTATAGAGCTTTGCTCCCCCCCCCCCCGCCCTAGCTCGCGCAAGGCGTAGTTGCAATCACGGGCGAACCGTCGCACTAAAATTGTAAATGCTGTGGGTTTACTCTCCCAACACACGACCGGCTAGTTTAACACGTAGTAGGAGGCTTTCGTGGCCAATATCATCCATAAAACAGGTTGTTTTTGGGGTTAGTTCGCGTAAATATATAAATGTGTCGTTCAACCTGCCACCACCCGACACAGATTTGTGGAGGAGTCCTCCTGTTTCGTTCCTTAAATGTTTCATGTCGCCTGATGAAGCTAGTTGCAATTACTGCCGAAACGTCGTACTCGGATTGTAACTGTTGTGGCTTGGCTCTCCAACACAGAAACCGGTGTGCTGTACGAGTAACGAATTGTCACGTTCTGTTTACGTAACAAACCTTACTAGTTGGCTGTGTCGAGTGGCGGTGGGTTAACGACACATTTACATTTACGCGATCCAACCCAAGAAAAACCCCTCGATTGTGAATACAGGAGATCATCGATTGTTATCAACGGACAGGACATCAGATGATCCAGCGGCTTCGGGGGTAGCGCCAGATTTTTTTAAACGCCGGATAATCACCACTCAAATCAATATTTTACATAGCTTATTTTTGCACACTTTTGCATGAGATGTTTTTTTAAGGTGTTGTTATATGTTTTTACCATTTATTTACTCAATTAAATTGGCATAAATAAATATGCAAAGACGAAAAACAAATATCCTACTTTAAAAAAGAAAAAAAAGAGGTCCCTAGCACACCCGCAGGCTACCGTACCTGGTGCCAATTTCCCCCTACCCCGGGTCCCATCGCTCCCCCAGGGGAAGGGTACCGGGGAGGTCCCTAGCACACCCGCAGGCTACCCTAACCTGGTGCCAATTTCCCCCTACCCTGGGTCCCGACTTTCAGCCTTCACGTTCCCGGACTCTCCAGACGACCCTGAACCCGTGACGGGTTCCAGCTTAAATCCCCCAGGGGGACATGACGTCACCATCCATGACGCCATCGTACCAGAGGGCGCGCGTGACATGACGTCACTAACTCCTACTCTACATCTGGATGGCTTCGTGAACGAATCTCTGTTGATAGCCAGTCGGCTTGCAAAGTACCATCGTCTTAGAGAAATCAATTTCATCTGAGCCAGCCGCATTAAAGTAATAATCAGCCACGGTAGAAGTATTGGTCCTGCCGTGTTTCAGATCTGCCTTATGTTCACGAACACGGTCCGAGACATGTCGCTTAGTTTCCCCAATTAACTACTGCCGCAGATACAGCTTAGTTTGTAGACGCCGGGATATTGCATGTCAGGAATCTTGTCCTTCAAAGATGGGATCAGATCACGAATTGTATGCACTGTGTTATCTACGTGACTTTACCGAAAGAACCAAAGAATATGAATTCTTCTTCTTTGGTTCTTTCGGTAAAGTCACGTAGAATGATAATAAAATAATAAATTGATAAAATAAAATAACACAATAATATTCTCACGACGTTTCACTCAGCTATCTCAATGCTAAATTCTATGCTAATTCCATTGTCAAGGGGTGCCTCTGCGGATGTGTATGCCTTAACTTAGCTATTTCAATGCTAAATTCTATGCTAATTCCTTTAACAATGGGTGCCTCTGCGGGTGTGTATGCTTTAACTTTTAACATAGCTATTTCTGTGACCAGTCACAAGCTAATTCCTTTGTCAAGGCGCTTTGTTCCTCTCACACAGCTTAAAGGCCGTATCTGAACGTGGCTCTTTCACTCCAGCACTGTCCTACCAGACAGTCTCGCCCCCTTCACCTGATGAAGGCCGCTTGTGTTGTGGCCGAAACGTCGTGAGAATATTATTGTGTTATTTTATTTTATCAATTTATTATTTTATTATCATTCTACGTGACTTTACCGAAAGAACCAAAGAAGATGAATCATTGCAGTCACGAAAGCTTTAAATCGAAATATGAATTCTGCAGTCACGAAAGTTTTAAGTCAAAAGAAAAACCTCGCCATGTTATTGGCCTTCCCGTGAACGTTGTATAATTGTCTTATCGACCAAAGCTAGGCATTTATAAACAATACGAAACAATACTTTTTGGTTCTTTTGGTAAAGTCACGTAGGTAGACAAAATTAAATAAAACAAAAAATAATATATCACGACGTTTTGATCGCAACACATCGGTCGTCCTCAGGCGAAAAAAAAACAATCCAGCAGTAGAACAGCAGTGGAACTGCTGGATTGTTTATTTTTCTACCTACGTGACTTTACCGAAAGAACCCAAGAGTATGGATTCCTGCAGTCACGAAAGCTTCAAATCAAGATGAATACGAAACAAAACAATCAAATGCTGTCCCCATGACGCTCAAGTCGGTTGATCAGAACCCAGTTGCTTGACATTCAACCTTCTCCCGCATAGTTATCCTTTCAAGTTGAATATTTAGGAGTGACTCCCACAGTGTTCGTTGCTAATTCTTCGTTTGCTGCACTTGCTGCCATCCCCATCGCTGTGGTTTCCTCCTAGAGAGTGTCGGCCGTGAGCTGCTGCTCGATTTGCACGGTGCGACCTCGCGTTGTGACGTCTCTCATTGCAGCCACGGGCGCATTTTTCACCGCCCTCAATGGCTCTCAAGCGGACTGGCTCCAATGGGAAGCTGCTCAACGCAGTGAATGAAAGGAAAGCTCTCACTTGGACGCCTTCACCGCCGCCCGAGACCTCATCCTAGGCACAAATCAGACTGTGACGTTGCAGCGGTTTCTAATATGAATTTAAAATGTTATCTTCATTAGGCAATTCACGTTCAAAGAATCATAATTAAAAAAATATAATACGACAAAATAAATTTCGATTTAAAGCTTTCGTGACTGCAATGATTCATCTTCTTTGGTTCTTTCGGTAAAGTCATGTAGACTGAGAATAAAATAATAAATTGATTTTAAAAAATGATATTATTGTGTTATTTTATTTTATCAATTTATTATTTTATTCTCATTCTACGTGACTTTACCGAAAGAACCAAAGAAGACAACAAAATAATTTAGAGAAAAGTAGTTTTATTAAAAATATATTTCTCATCTCCAGCTGTTTGGTGGGGCAGCACCCCAACGAACTGCTCCTGGTATATCAATTTGTAGTTTGTCAAAGGAAATGTTACTTTTAAAGTTTTATCATCAGCTGTCAATTGTAGCTATTTTCGTTTGGCCCGAGAATAAATGGATCACCACGAACGAGGCCACTTCCCGGCTGCCCTCAGCCTGCGACAGAACTGGCATCGGTGACTGCCTGCAAAGTGGGCAGAATACCACGATATATTGTGTAGGCTTTTACTGCTCGGTGGCCAGAGATGGCAGTACAAGCAAATATTTAATCTGTTAAACACGTAGGCTTTCGTGACCAATATTATGGAAAATATTAAATCTATCTGTGCGAATCTTTACCGTTATACCCTCAAAGGAAGCCACGCACTCACTCATGGCATTGGCCATGCAATCACAACACAGCAGCACCCTCTTGGACAATGAGACTTTGCTGGTATGAATAACTCTTTATTCGGTTACTTGTTCAATTTGTCAATCGCCTTGGAACGGACACATATCAGACGATATAAGCTCGATCTTATTATCAATGCCGCTACTTTACTGTAGATACACCATGTTTTGCAACTGCATCCGTGGGGATAGACAAATAGTTGTATGAATCCAAAATTTGAAGTTCATTAAGGTGATGGAGAAGCATGAAATGGTGGTTGGCTCCTATAAACAGCGACGCGTGTGTAGCAATTAGAAAATGCAAGATAACAAGCGAAGTCGTTGAGATGGGTTTACACATTGGAGAGTTATAGTGTAGAACCCACGCAGAGGAGAGAAGCCATGGCCCCATATAGAATAGCCCACGAGGACCACGTGGAGCAGCTATGGGGTGCGTGTGGTCCACCAACCTCACCCTCACAAATAGCCAAGGGAACCACAAAAATTGAGGCGACAACTCCCTCTCTCTATGTTGCCCGCCGCCTTCATTCGAAGTGACAGGGTGAGTGTTAGGGGAGGCGGGGGCAGAGATGGTGTCGGGATCGAGAGGAGTCCAGTGGTTGAGTAGGGGGTCCTGGGGGGTCGTCTGAGGGGTGCGGTGGGAGTCAAATGCTTAGGAAGCAAACACAGCTCATTCCCTTGTAATGTTGTGCAAGCATTAGGGGGCAATTGCCGCCCCCGCAAAAAAAAAACTATGCTCTGTATGGCTGTGCCTCACATGCGGCAGTGCCCGTAGGAAGAGCTTCATCCGGAGGTGTCTGGGGTTCAGCTCTGGAGAATATTCAACGAGAAATCCTCCTGATGACGATTGCTTGTGTTGCGATCAAAACGTCATATTTTTATTATTTTTAATCACTTTATTTTCATTTTTATTCTTTCATTGTTATTTTTTTCTATCTACCTGACTTTACCGAAAGAACCATAGAATGAGAAATCAAGGCCCGGCCGCTGTCCAGCAGAGGGCGCTCCAGCACGAGAGACGCTACACGTTCGTCAACTCAGCCACAAAACGAACATAACCGACGTTTCGGACAATGCCCCTTCTGTATAGCAGAGACCAAAAGGGCCGTTGCCAAGTAATGTATGTATATCAGGCCCCAGTGTTATGTACGGATGTGTTGGGTTTTTATTAATGTTGTGTATCAGTGGCAACGCAGCGTCACAAAGCACAATGCAGCAGCAGAGAGGTTAGTTCGTGCTGGGGAACAGGAGATGGAACGCGATGTTAATGCTGCTCTCTCGGCATTGTGTTGAGAAACGAAGCATGCATCTTAACTGTTGTGACGCGTCCGTTATTGAATACGAGGTCTTGCAGCGCGGAGCGGCGGTGTTTATTAGCGCAGCCGAGTAATCACCGTAACGTAAACCACAGGTAACGTAATCCGTTTAATGTAATCCAAAGTGTAACGCAATCCACTGTGTAATGTAATCAACTGTGTAATGTAATCCACTGTGTAATGTAATCCACCAGCAGGTGCAGCGTTCTCTCCCGAACCGCCACTGGTCACGTCCCGCGGTGACCTCACCCACCTCAACCTCACCCAGCACAGCCCCGAGCCAGCGCTCACCTCCCCACACCACACTCCGATGCCAAGATGATTTTTTAAAATATAATATTAATTTATATTTGTGTACCGTTTTGATTCCTTCTGGAATGTGGTTGTTTTGCCCCGATTGCTATTTGCTACATTTCTGTACTTCATTTTATTGATTGCGTTTGTAATTTTGGTGATATCGCTATTGCAAAACTAGACTCATCCTGGTTCCTTGAACAAAATCCACTCGAAACTCCCGTCTTGCCAAAACGGCGCCATGAAAAACTGACACGTGAAACTGAATATGGGCGCAGGTGAGCAGGGTTAGGGTTAAAACCAGTGTAAGCGGATTGGCTATTTGATCAGGGCTGGGGTTCTTACTAGTGCCTGCTTAGCCAGTTGGTTAGGGTTAGTGCAGTAGCAAGTCCCTAAACAAGGAATACGATGGTACAGAGCAGTGGTTCCCAACCATACACAAACATTTTGCTTTCACCACCGCGCACAAGAATTTTTTTTTAAATATAAAAAGACTCCAAATTGTACTGTATCTGCAAGTTCCGCGTATAACTTTCCACGGCCTTGTGGGCCGCCAGAGGCCCATAAACCAGAGGTTGGGAACCACCAAGCTGCGGATTTGAGGCCGTGGTACTCCAGCCTCTTCAGTTTTTGACCCCTATTCGTTTCTGCTGCCACATAGCCATGCATCCACCACAGGGTTGATACTTAGTAGGCACCCAAGGCTCAATTTCTCACGTAATATATTCCATATCACTGGTAGTTGAAGGTTGGTGACTCAAAAGCCACAGCCACGATGAGAGGCATTCAGGATGTGGTGTGCCGGGTGCAGATACATATTCTGGGCTGTTGACCAGGACAGACCCAGCTGATAATAAGCCCTGCATGCAGATCTTCAGCTTCCATTCTGATGTGAACTTACATTCCTGCCGGCCGACAAATACTGTACACGGTTCTGATACAGCGCACCGTCATGTTGGGGATACTGCTGTGTGGTTACACAACGTGGGGACATAGGCTCACTGTAATGTAAACGCGTACAACCAATTAATACAAACTACATCCTTCAGGTGAGTTATAATTCGTCACATTTTGAGAAGTAAATCCTAACCTGCGCATGGACGGTTCAGTCGACTATTGCACTATACCTGTTCATTTCCCTTCCTGTAAAAAGAGATTAAGTCAACCATCACAAACACGAGACCCTCTAAAACCACTCGCACTCAAACCGAGACGCAAACATGCGCGTCTTGCCACTCGTGTCCGACAGGGATGGGACGACGCAAGAACCTCGTCATGGAGGCCGTCCCCCACCTGGACCCCACGACCTGCCTCGGTCGTGACGTGGAAGGCGGCACGGGGAGATCAGGTCCGGGCTGGGCATACAAGGACACGAGGGTAGCTTTGGGTTCTCGTGGCTTTCTGGCCGGCCCTGGAGTTCCAGTACGGAGGTTAGGGTCTACAGAGGGCCTCAGAGTTGAGTCTAGGAAACAGTAATGGGGCCTGGGGGGGGGGTGTTGTGGGGGGCATTGTCTCATATGGGAGGTATCAATATTTACTCCATGTAAAACTCCATAAGGGCAGGCCTTGGAGGTCAGGTGTCAACTGTGCAACGCCTGTGGAATCTGGCAGAAGTGACTGCGAGATGAGGCATCCACGAGGAGCTGACACTGAAAGGGGCGGGGTGGGCGGCGCAAATGGGATAATGCCCCCCCCACGTAAAATAACAATAACCAATGCATGGCCTGGACTCTCAAGGGGAGCACAGCACCAGGAAGAGCCACCCTGTGGTTTTAAACTATTTTTTATTTTACCAGATAAGGACCACGGAGCTATGTAGCTCTTTTTTAAGAAGCGATCTGGCCACAAATGATAGCTCAACGAAGTGGCTTATCACATGGTAATGTATAGCTGTGTAGTGTAGTAATGCACGCGCAGCTGATGAGAGGCACGTGTGTAATGGAGTGGCTCACGCGCAGCTGATGAGAGGTACGTGTGGTAATTGAGTGACGCACGCGCAGCTGAGGAGAGGCGTCTGTGTGTAAGCTGCGGGTTGGCTGTCGGGCAGATTCTGGAAGGTGGGCGGAGTCTAGCTAGGGGAATAGAAGCCGGCGTGCGGGAATGCACGAGGTTCTTCTTTGTCCTGAGCAGGTGTGGGCGGTGTAGGAGAGAGGAGGGGTAGCTAGTCGGGATTAAGGTGTACCACGCGTGGTGTTGTGCGTGAAGTGGAGTGAGCGCTCACAACTGGTGTGTATGAAGATTAATAAAGAATGAGCAGGTGTTATGTTACCTTGCCTTCGAGTGAGTTCCACACTACATCTGTAAACTACTCTAAACGCATGTTTCTAAATATGGTGGGAAAAAAAAGGACGCAGAGAAAAAGCCACGCAATCACGGGAAGAACATGCAAACGCCAAATATGCAGGCATCAGGATCAAGATCGAACCTACGTCCTCCTGCATACCAGGCGAGGAAGTTAACATCTCGCCACTGCGGTGCCACAGCAAGGTCATTTAGTCCTTGCCAGCAGGGCTTAGTTTCTCAATGAATATTTTGCAGATCACTGTAGATGGGAGTAGGCGACGCATGACTAGTAGTCACAGCCAGATATATGTATACTGGATGTGGTGTGCCGGCTAAAATCAAGCCCTCCTTTGATGCATTGCTTGACATCGAGGCTCCAACTTCACATAAACCCCATCCTCTATGGCTCTGAATTAAGCACTGCAGCGCGTGCTGCTGCTGCTAGAACTGCGAGCAGTGTAAGTATAGGTTTGTGTGTATACTGTGCACTATATACCATACAAACCCAGCTATCCATACACCTCCTCTCAAATAAACCTACATGTTCTCGATAAACTTGTCTCCCACTTATCGTGCTTTTCTCTTCATTAATTGCACCTCTTCCAGTTACATCAGCGTTAACCCAACTCCTTAGGTCGCGTGCCCTTTCAAAAACACCCAAAATACCAGGCTCCCCATTAAATCCTCTCTCCTCCAATCATGGCTCCTGCTTCTAAAACCCACATCCTTGAGTCACACTCCTCTAACCCACCTCCTTGCTACATCCTTCTCCAGGTATACTCCCCTAGTCACAGCCACATCCAATCACACTCCTCCTCACTTGACCGACTCGTGAAGCCGGTCTCACCTCCTTAACCTCCTCCTTAAAACCACCACCTCCTGCAGTCACAGCTCCTCCTTGGTGAACTCGCACACGAAGTACATGGTGTTGGTGCAGCTGACGTCGTTCCAACCTCCGCCGCTCTCCATCTCCACGCAGTCCTCTCCACCGAACGCGTTGTTGGGCTCGCCGGGCCGCCAGCGGGTGAAGGCCGTGGGCCCCAGCGACGCGCCGTCCTCGTAGGTGAAGGCCCCTTCCCGCAGTCCGTCGTGCAGGCCGATGAAGACACGTGCCAGGCCGGCGTGGCTGACGTAGGCCGCGAGGAGCGCATTAGTGGTCTCGTCCCGCGGCATGGCGAGGAGGCCGCCCCTCGAGCGGCAGTGCAGCGCCGCCTCGGAATACGCGCGCTCCTCACGCACCAGCAGGTACATCTTGCGCTCCGTCTCGCGCACGCCCGCCACTGCTGGAGCACGACAAGTGGCCGTACAGACGCTCGCTTGTCACGAGCTGGGCTGGTGCGCAATTATTTTTGGAGATGTATTGACCACGGGGAGGGGGAATTTTCTGCTGGGTTTTTTGCTGAGCACAGGCCCTGAGGCCCGAAATGCCAAGCACATAGCCACATCACTCGTGAAGGTGTGATTGCTATGAGTTCACTCATCTCCTGAATTGAGCAAGGTTATGATAAGAAAAGAGGCTTGAGAAAAGAGGCGAAGGGAGGGAATTTCATGGTGCAGCAGAACGAGGGATGACACAGAAAGAGAAGTGCTGTAATCTGCAGAGGGGTGAACAGTGTGGATGAGATTAAACAATCTGGAAGACCGATTCTTGAACGTGGATGGATCAATCATCACGCAAGAGCTGTAGTGCCCTGGGGGCAAAGACACCTAAATCTGGCACCGCCAGCGTGGGAATTGTGAACACTGCAGAGGGGAGAAAGGAACAGAGCTCCTGTCTGTGACTCGGGGTCATATGGGGTCACGCCCTCACCGGTCTTGAGGAAGGAGACCTCCTCGCGTAGGCGAGCCACCACAATGTCCATCTCTCCGATGAGAACACGCATGCGGCTGCAGTTACACGGTAAGCCTGCAACAACACCGGTACGGATGTGAGAACGTACACAACACCAGCATGCAGACATGCGCACAATTGAACAAGAACGTGGACGAGGTTACACAGACAGGAACACGTAGATATTCACAAATATATGAGCACACGCAAACAAGCACAGGGAACACAGACATGGCCATGGAGGTGAGCCTGCAGACACGGGTAAGCACACAAAAGCACACAAAAGCAGTCTAAGATTCAAAGGTAGGGACCCACGAAGCCAAGCCGAGGTCAAAAGCCTTCAGCCCTCAGCTGTTTAGGTGGAGACCAGTGTGAAGGCTTCACATGAAGTGTGACATCCCAAGATGATGTCACACGTTGTGTAATGAGGTGTGAAGGCGAGCGCATGACATATGACGTCATCAACTTGGTCGATAAGGCATATTATTTATTACTTAAATGTTGTTGGTGGCCTCATCCCACCCACCACCTCACCTTGCTGCCCTTTAGGCCCGGGGGGTCCATTGTCACCCTTGCTGCCCCTCTCACCTGGCACGACACATGACACACACACACATGCGAGATGAGCCTCGTCAGCGCGACCCAAGTGTGCAGCGTAGGTGCGCATGGCGCGAGCACGTGATACCTTTGGTTCCTATGGGCCCAATCTTGCCTGACCGTCCCTGATCCCCCTTGCATCCCTTATCTCCTGGAAGGCCTGCACAGTGCGGTCAGGGAGTGAGTAGAGACAGAAAATGTACTGAAGAGGGATATGGGACGAAATGCCCCATCACTTCTTGATGTGGCGCCCTGTGATGAGCTGTGGTGTCCGAGATGTGATGTATTGACCTACCTTTCTCTCCAGGTGGGCCCAGCTTTCCAGGTCTTCCAGGCTCACCATGGTCTCCCTGCACACCGACCTCACCTGCACGAAACAGGGCATGAGGGTAGCACTCGCACAGTACTACTTGATATTTAAACAACCATAATTCAGTGCATTTGCTGTTACACGATCATGGCATGAACACTGCCGTTAGGCCTGAGGTAGAATTGGAACTGTTCAGCACTATTAAAAAATGTGCGGCAAACACTTGTAAAACATTCAAAATCTACAGGAAAGATGCTGCTGCACCTTTCCCTCGACTTCACCATCACTTTGAAATACAATTTGGTATGTGGTGGCCCAAGACAGTGGCATCGCGTGCTTGGCATGGGCCTTGATGCAAACCCATGAATGAGGCCACCTTGTCCATCTGCCACCCCCTCCTTCTAGCCCGTCGCAAAACCCCATCAGGCCTTGGTGCGGATGCACCGCCTGCACACTCCATCGCTATGCCACTGGCTAAAGCGAAACATTGGATCTTTCACGTTCAACTTTGTGCTTATCGGTGCCGTGTGCCCCAGACGTCACAAGGGCCTTACCTTTCGCGCCGGGAAGGATCACGTGACTGGCGCACGCCTCCATGATTGGCCGATTCAGTGTTGCTGTGCAGCACGTGCTCGAGAGCAACACGAGGAGCGGCGCAAGGAGCCTCCAGGCCATGGCACGTGACGTGAGGGAAGCGCTGGTGGGGCGGGGGACAAGTGAGATGGGCAGGGCGGTGGTTTCCGCGTAGACACGCCCACCACTGCCGACCATCAGCCAATCACAAGGCAGACGCCTGTCACTCACGAGCCAGACACGCTCGTCAGTCACGCGTGCGCACACTTGCGCACATGTGTGTAGTTCGGATTTGCGTGCACTTGTGTAGGGTGGACATGTGTGGGGTGCACGTGTGTACCTAGCCTGGCACAGGCGCCTTAAGGACGTCACCGCCACTTAGTTGTTGCTGTGAGAAGCGAGGCAGAGCTGGCAGGACCTTGGAGCGAAAATGTGGGCGAGCGAACCGCAAAGTCGCTTCTAGAGTCAAAAGTGTAACTCGACAATTCACAAAGTAGTGCACTGATGGGGCTCCTGAACGCAGCTGGAATCGCTAAGTCTGTATCATGTCGTCGGCCAAGACGCCGCGAGGTTAGTCGCTCATCCATTTGATAAAAAAACGCGTCGTGAGGGGAACCTACTAATTCGCTAACATGCGTCACCAGCTCGAAGTGGAGGATGTTGACCCCACGGGGTCGTGCCACCCCACGCCGCCACTCGGCACCGTCTCAGCCTTCAAATTCCATTTCGAGAAGTCTCAGCCTGATGAGAAGCTGTGCCCCCACCTTGTGGTGGTTCTCGTGGCGCTGCCACGCACGCCTCAAACGGCACACCACATCCAGTATACATCTCGCTTGTATTAGTCACGTGCCGCTTACTCCAGTCTCATATCAGCGAGAAGTCAAGCCCTGCTGAGCGCAGCAGTCCACGACCATCGTATCGCGCTCACGGCACAACTGCAGCGCATCTCACTTCTCAACTCGCATTCCTCCGCTCTCTTGCGGCTCGTCTCTCACACGGCGCAAGTCTGAGCTAGAGCTCATCATTCCTCGTGGCTGCATGCTCAACTTCATTTGGCTCTTAACCCACCTTCATCTCACTCGATGGCATCTCACCATACGCTTCTGCAGCTCACCTGAATGTCACCTCGCATGAATTTCATGAATCTTACTTGAACCTCATCTGTGGACCTCGCACCATTCGGATCTTCTCAACTTTATCATCGCACATGGAGCTCATCTCACACAGTCCTCATCTTACATGGACTCAACTCGCGTAGACCTCATCCAACCTGGACTTCATCTCACACGGATCTCACCTCACGTGGCTCTGCTCTCAAGTAGAGCAGGACCGGTGTCGCTTGACCGTGGCGACACACGAACCGCAGCTTCTGATCCTCGTGTATATTGTCGTGTCTCTCTCCGCGTCTCTTCGTGTCTCTCCCCGCGTCTCCTCGTGTCTCTCCCCGCGTCTCTCCTCGTGTCTCTCCTCGTGTCTCTCCCCGCGTCTCTTCGTGTCTCTCTCCGCGTCTCCTCGTGTCTCTCCCCGCGTCTCTCCTCGTGTCTCTCCTCGTGTCTCTCCCCGCGTTTCTCCTCGTGTCTCTCCCCGCGTCTCTCCCCGCGTCTCCCCGTGTCTCTCCCCGCGTCTCTCCCCGCGTCTCTCCTCGTGTCTCTCCTCGTGTGTCCTCCCGCGTCTCTCCCCGCGTCTCTCCTCGTGTCTCTCCCCGCGTCTCTCCCCGCGTCTTCTCGCCACCCAGGGAGGGCGCCGCGCTTCTTTTCGCCGCGCTGTTTACGCGAGCACGGCGCGCCTCGTTTGTCACGATCGGGCGGCGTGGGCGGCGGCCGCACTGCCTCGACCTCCCCCGCCGAGCCGCCTCCGCCTCGGCACTGCGCGGGGGGCCCAGGGGTCCGGGCTGGTCTGGCGCGGGGCCCGTGCTGAATTCGCGTTGGTGATGGTAGTAGTGGGGGGGGGGAGGTGGCGGCAGCAGCTGGGTCGTGTAAAGCGGCGATGGAGGTCGCGTCTGGCGCTCAGCTTTGTTTATCTCAATAGTCTCTGCAATGCAGCGGCGCTGATGTTCCCAACATGCCGCGTGGGGGTGGCGCGCGCGCTTTCTGCTCCATGTTTACCAATCTCCCCTCTGTTCCAAAGCTATCACGCACTGTGACACTGCACATCCGGCTGTTTGAGTTCTTGACTCCTTTTCACTTCTCGGTAGGGATTCGAACCAGAACGGGCAGTGGCTCTGGGGTGAGGCAGCTTACAAACGAAAGGAGTACACGGAGAGGGAGCCTGGTCGTGGAGGGGGCTCTCCACTGTCGGGATTGCGGGGATTGGAGGGGTCACGCGGGCCAGCCACGGATCGGTGCAATCCGCCGTGATGGGTCTCGTGCCGCTTTATTGAAGCCGCGGGCAACGCGCCCAGGTCAATCGCCCCTCGATTAAGCGGCAATGGCGCGGTAGGGGTCGCCTGGGGTTCACGTGCCCCAAGTGCGAACCACGCGGGGACCCGTTGGTGGTGGGGGTTGTTCCGGGAGTCCCGGGGAAACCGGAGCTCGAGGGCAGCACCGAGGATTCTCAACCGACAAGTGCGTCCCGAGATCCCCAAATCCGCGGATTACGCGACCCAGCTGTGGCTGAGCAAGGCCGCTCCATCTCCCACTGAAGTACTCCCTCCCCCTACCCCATAACAGAGTCCAGTTTTGTGGGTCCGCGACCCCCCAGTCAGACCAGAGACACAGTGGGACCCGAGGGTTTTAGTGTTTGGTGCTTCTGGCTCCACGTGGGACTTGGGCCGGGATGGGCAGGAGACTAAGGCAGTACAGTACTTGTCCTGGCCGCACTTTTCAGCTGTAGCCGCGGGGGAGCTCATCCAAAGAAAACGATCTATGACCACCATCACGGACGCCTTCACTGGGCAGAGCGTGCGGCATGAAGGTCTCCGCAGTGCGGGGCCCTGCTGCTGGCTCCCCACTGGAAGCTGCGTGCCCCCTTATCGTTAAGCCTCCTCCTCCTCGCGAGACAGGCATAGCGGGGGCGGGCGATGGGGGGCGGGGCGGTGGCGCTAAGAGGATTAGCGGGATGCGGGGAGGAGGCGAGGCGGGGTAAAGTGAGCGGAAGAGACGGGGCGAGAGGGAAAGAGGAGAGGGTCCGGGGGAGGTGGAGGAGACAATTGGGGAGGTGAGATGATGGTTAGGCTTGGGATCACGGGGTCAGAGGCGGGGTTAAGTTTTGCTCACGGTTCAGAAGGTCGTGCCGTGGGTCATGGGGTCCGGGTTACAGATACAGGGTCACGGATTAAAATCTCGCCGCAGCTGCCGCCAGCGCGATAATCTCCGCTCAGGGAGGGATGAACCCCCCGGGCCTGATGCCGCCTCCTCCTCACTCCTCAAAGTTCCACATCTCCTCATCCTCGTGTCCCTGTATCCCCCGCTCTCCCGTGGAGCCGAGGTAGATTCTAACAGTTCAAGTCCGGATACACGGTCCGTGCGGGAATTTCTCCTGGTTCCTGATTCCGGTCCCAGTCCCGGGTTTCGCTCCGCTAGCCCCGCACCGCGCAGGGCGGGCTGGAGGCCAGGCGCGTGAGGAGACGCGCACAGCGTCTGTAGTCTGCGGGCCGGGGACAGGGTGAGGGTCACGCACATCAGCGCGACGCAGCTCCACACTCCCAGCTCCACACTTCTATCTCCCCTCTCCCAGCTCCACAATCCCAGCTCCATCCTGCAGCTCCACCTCCCAGCTTCACTCTTCCAACTCCACTCTCCCAGCTCCACCTCCCAGCTACACCTCAAAGCTCTACCTCACAGCTCCACACTCCCATCTCCACCCTCCCAAATCCTCGCAGCTTCACCACCCAGCTCCACCCTCCCAACTCCTCGCAGCTTCACCACCCAGCTCCACCCTCCCAACTCCACTTCACAGCTATACGCTCTCAAATCCACCTACCAGCTCCACCCTCCCAGCTCCACCCTCCCAGCTACACCTATCAGTTCCACCCTCCCAGGAGCATGCAAATCCCGACTGGGTGCATCAGATTGGTGTTGGGTCCCCATGGGATCGCTGTGGGGTCCCTGTAGAGGGGTCACTCACACGCGGGGTCTCCGCACTCCCGGGAGCCGTGTAGAATCCTCTGGAAGTAGCGTGCGCACTCGGGCGAGAAGCGAAGGGGACCTTGTGGATGGGGGGGGGGGGGTGCACGAGGAAGGGAGCCCAGCAGGAGAAATAGAAGGAGAGATCGGGAGAGGAGAGAAGCGAGGTGAGGAGGGTATAGGGGATTGAGTATGGAAATGTGGGCGGGGCGGATGGGGGGAAGGGCATTTTGGGGTCAATTAACTCATTGGCAACGTCATGACCCTAACAGGTGCGATTGAAGAGTGTGCTCCCTCTTACAGGTGTGCTCACCTGTAAGGAAGGAGGGAAGGTGAGATCTGCTCACCTGTTAGGTGTTTGAGAAACTTGACCTTTGCTCCACGTCGCGTGCCGGGGTCACGCGCCACCAGCTCTACACGGGGTCACAACACAACTTTTATCTGTTTGTGCGCGTGTGCGCGCATGCGTGTGTGTACGTGCGTGTGCGCGCGTGCGTTTGTGTACGTGCGCGTGTGCACGTGCGCGTGTACCTCGCGACCCGTCTCCAAAGCGTGGGCGGTCGTGACCTGCCCCGTGGTGATGGAGCGTGTCCAGGATGAGCTCCAGTAACGCGGTTCCGCCGTGCCCCGCCTGCGCGCGAAAGTCCAACGCGGGGTCCCAGGAGCGGCCCCCCACTCCCGTCGCTCTTCTCGGGCTCCCCTTTATACCCAAACCCCCCATTTTCCCCGGGGTCCCCACTTCTCCTAGACCTCTAACTACAGCCACCCCTCCAGGGACCCCCACTCTCCCCGGGCCCCCTACTCCTCCCATCTCCCCCACTCCTCCCACCCCTCCCGGCCCCCCCAGTGTCGCCTGTAGGGTGAAGGCCAGACCCACGAGGAGGTGGAGGCACACAGCCTCCATGAAACCTGTGAGAGACACCGCGAGCTCACAACCGCACAACCACAGTAACACCCACGCAACCACAGTCACACAACCACAATTGCCACCACAGTGGCAACCACAACCACAGTGACAACCACCCAGCCATCCACACACCCACCACCAATTTCACTACCATCGCCACTATCTCCCGCACGCACACCCACCATCAATCTCGCACCCACATACCATTCTTACCCACACCCACCACCTCCCTCACCTGCCCCCACTGTCCTGAAATATTTCAAATCCCTCACCGCACGTCACCGCCCGACCCAGAGTCCGGGTCATTCAGTCGCTGGGTAGGAACTGCTGCCGTTAACGACTCGACGGATTGGAGCCACAGTCCCATTCACATCACCAGGTGAGTTCCCGATGCGCACCAGGTGAGGTCCCCGCGTGCACCAGGTGAGGTCCCCGCGTGCACCAAGTCAAGGTCCCAGCGCGCACAAGGCAAGTCCCGCGCGCCACGCTCTGCGCTGGGGACGCGTGGGGGATTAACGCTGTGGGGGGGGGGGCGGTAGAGGGATGATGAGGAGTGGGGGTTGGGGTGGCGGGAGTGAGCGTAGGGGGAGTGAGATGGAGGTCGCGCGGTGAGGGTGAAATTCGAGAGCAGAGGAAGAGACATGAGGTGCGAGGGGCGTGTTTGAGTGCGTGCCATTCCATGTGTAGTGAGTTCAACTGAGTCGCAGACTCTTTGGAGGCAACACATTTATTGATACCAACACAAAGGGGTAACTGCCCCTTCACCAGATAACAACTTATGGTGGTGGACCACCAGGCTACACTACACACTATGGTGGTGGACCACCAGGCTACACTACACTAATGACACTGGGAGTAGCTACAACGGACAGGACCCCAGCTTAGGTCCAGGTCCATGTGTTGATAACTCTTCTCGGACGTAGAACGTAGATTCTTCAGGATAACCACAGCAGCCGGTCCCTCTCGGGGACCCGGCTCATATCATCCGTGGTGTGGCTGGCTCCGCCCTTAGCCACGGCCACCTTCGAGAACCCTCGAGCAGGATTTCGGCCCTGACACGTGACCACCCCTAGCCCCCACCTGGGGCCCTGTGTAGACTTGACCGGTCACGTGTCCTTCGGGGTCAACCAGAGTACCATGCATGGCCCTTGGTAACCCCATTCCCATGGCTGGCACTCTCACACCCTATCCTGTAGGGGTCGGCACTTCACGTCGAGCGTGGTGCCATCCAGCACTCCCAATAAGTGCTCACCGAGCCCTTCTAGGGCCCGTACTGCACCCACATATACGTGGTGCCCGCGATGTCAATACATCGCACGCCGTGCCTCTCTCGGGCCGGCATTACACAATGACATCCGCGATGTCACTACACATGTTTGCGATGCCTGTGTCAGACACGCAACCGAGATTTGAATCCATCTCAAGGGATTTTCCAGGTGAAATATTTTTTTATTAAAATAGCCGAGACCAGATATTTAACTTGCCGGCACCACTTGACGTCACTTTATGGGTTCCTTTGTTCATAAACAGCTGGAACGCTGTCTTCCCGACAGTTGTTTCGTCACCTGAAGACGGCTGCTTGTGTTGTGGCCGAAACGTCGTGATAATTAGATCTCATTATTTAATTATTTTCCTTCTACGTGATTTTACCGAAAGAACCAAGAGGGGTTCCAATTTATTCATGTGGCCAATAACAGTGAATTATGCCTTCATATATGTTGAACTTCTTTTGCACCGTATTTAGCGAAGTGCTAATCGGAGGTGCGATAAGCACTTGTCCTGAGTGGGGTAATCGAGCAATTTCCTCTTATCAGCCGTGTGAACAAATCGGTATGGCTCATGTTGCACTTCCTCAGGTAGTACCGATTTATGTTCTGGTCCGTGACTGTGCAAAGCCACCCTGTGGGGTGACCTTACTGAAAGGGGACAGGGGGTGGCAATAACTCAACTGGGGAGGCGGGCTCAGCTCCCCACCGTGAAGTTACAGGAGTGGGGTAAAGCAGGGGCCGGGGACTTACGGCACCGTGGGCCAAATATTATCCGTAAAATAATCATACGGTCCATGACCACAGGACGTCATGCCACTTTTGGCCCGCAAAGGGAATCTATTCATCAAGAAATCCTAGCCGCACTTGTTGGGCACTAGAGGCGATTATTTTCCGCCTGGCGAGGATGTGGAACCTCAGTTACCTGCCGCCCTTTAATTATGAGCGTACGGTTATTGCGTCATCAGTTTCGTGTCAACCAAAGAGATTGGCCCGGGAGTGAGGAGTGTGGGTAAAGTGCGGTGGAGCAAATGGGGGAGGGGGTCAGGTGCAGTGGAAGGGATAGACGTAGCCACCAATTTGACAATACTGCACTACGGTACTGTACACTTCTCAAAATTGAAAAAGTCGCAGATCCAGCTGCAACGAAGCCATCGCTAACACCCTCGTCTCCATCATCTCCACTTTCAATATCACCATGTCACAATCACCATGACCTTCTTTGTTATTGCCATCATCACCCTCGTCACCCTTCTCGTGACCACCATCACCACCCTGTTCATCATGGAAGTGTTGATCTCGCCATCACGTGACACCAGGGTTCACCCACACGAGCGTGGCTTCACTGTTGCGTCTGGAGATGTTAGGCATCCCCTTGAAGATTCAACACTTCACACATACAAGCTCCAGCCCAAGCGCTCCATCTAGGAGGCTTAATTTTTCATCACATCCCGAATGCGCTTATCGGCCTTGCGTCGTCACATTCCTTTTGAAACTCTCGCAGAACAGTGCAACCCTTCATGTTGGAGAATATCCTACGGAACCGGATATCACAGAGCAACCTTCGAGATCCATTCAAGTGGCCTCCGGTCTACACAGAATAGTGGAGTCGGGTTTATTGTTTAACCAGGTGAGAACTCGGGAGACCAGGATAGTCGCAACAGTGACCTGGGTCACCAAAATGACAATAGAAAAATGAAGCAAGAGAGGTTAATTACATGGCTGTCACACTGACAATCTTTGGTTCTTTCGGTATAGTCACGTAGGTAGAAAAATAATAGATCATGACATTTCGATCGCAACACAAGCGACCGTCATCAGGTGGAACAGATACAGCAGGAGAACTGCTGTCTCCGTGCCATGGAGAACAGGACTCACAACTCACTGTGATGGTCGCTTGTGTTGCGATCGAAATGTCGTGATCTATTATTTTTCTATGTGACTTTACCGAAAGAACCAAAGAGTATGGATTCCTGCAGTGACGAAAGCTTCAAATCAAGATTGTCAAACTGATATTTCATTTTCAGAGTTGGAACTTAACCAAATTAAGTGCAGACCCAAATAATGTGATGGGTGTATTGAGCAGTCATCGGTGAAAAGAGTGCAACTATCAATTCACTGCACCTGAGCAGCCGGTTTCATCACAGGCAGCTGCCTGGATTCAAACCCAGGCTCTCAGCGGTGCCGGCTCTGTGTTCTAACTCCTGAGCCGTCCAGCCACCCCATCTCAGAAGCTCCTGCCCAGAAGAACACCGCACACCATGCACAGTTTGAGTCGCACACAGCTGCCGGGTGGGCGCATGAACATCGCCTACAGGCTCCTTTATTGGAATTAACGTACTTACATTGGGGATGGGTAAAATGGGCATTTACAGGTGATAGGAAAGGGGGGGGGGGGGGGGGCGCACGCCTTTAAATCATAACGGGGCGCCCTTAGCAGCTCGTACTAGGGTCACTATGAGCAATATTAGTATTATCGGTACGATGGTGATATTCAACATCACTGTGGAGGGTGCGAGCTCCACACAGTCTGTGCAAACGTCTACATTGAGCCACGAGGGTATGGGAGGCCTAGGCTCGGAGGCTTGAGGGGGCCCCAACAGGTTGGAGGGTTGGGGGGCTCCCGGGAGCCTGCCTCGGAGGCCCAATGGCCCTGGGAGTCGCAGGAAGCTGTGTCACACGGTTGTTCCCCATGGCACGGCCTTCACGCGGTAGAACTTGGTTCCCAGAGGGACCCGGAACCTGTTGTGGGCCTATGAGCACACACAAAAGACAAATTCCCCCCCATATAGCCTTAAGAGAATGTTGGGGCAAGTGCTGTTAGTGAGCACACGAGGCGGTGGGTGGCCAGCACCACGAGGGGGTGTGACCAGTACCATGCTCGGCCGATTTTGTCTCCCGAGTGGCAATGATTACACATCGCACCAGGTACTCATTTGAGGGTGGGACAACATAGGGGAGGCCCAGGACCCAGCTTAGATTATTGTCACTGGTGTTGGCCGCGAGCAGGTATCAAACTTGGGTAGTCGGGTTCGAAGCACGGCATGCTAAACACTGCACCATTGCTCCCCACACGTGAACACACAAGCACACAATCGCAAATACCTCCTGTGTAGGGTATACAGGCTGTTGGAGAAAAGAACCATTAGCAAACAACTATGTATCCGGCATGGCGCACGAGGGGGTAGTGTGTGTATTATTGATAGACAGTGTGATGGTGTGTCTGTGTGCGTAACAGTGTGCGCACGTGATTATGTTTTTGTGATGGTATGTATTATGGTGTAATTGCACATGCTGCGACTGTTCACATAATGCTGTGTGATGGTATGTATGATTGACGGTATGTCTTAGTCTGACGGCGTGTGTGGCTGAACGTGGGTTGACATCCACCACACACCTTCTTTGCCTGGCAGTATTCCTTTTCCACCAGCTTTCCCAGAACCCACGGCTTCCTTACCTCGCCCGGAGCTGCACATACACACACACACCATGAAGGCAGGGGGTGGATTGAGGTCACGGCAAGGTTACACCTCCATGGCCCAGGGTGGCGCAGTGGTAACACTCGTGCCTCACATCAAAAAGGAACTGGATTTGAATCCCGATTTGGGCAGATTTCTGTGTGGAGGTTATATGTTCTCTGTTTTGCATGGGTTTCCTCAGGGCTCGCTGTTTCCTTCTATAGCTAAAACTACCAAAGATAACTGGAATTGGCCAAACATATCCACGTAAAAAATGACCTTCAAAATTACTCAATTGGGATTACACGAAGCAACATCATCCCCTACTGTGACAAGTTGGCAGGATCCTCCTGAAAAAGAGTCTTGAGACTCGGCGAGGGTTTCCTGGGTAAACAGGCATCATAATAAGAACAACACAAGATAAATGAGACGCAGTCCAGAGAGCCAAACGTTCCCACTTGATTCCTGAACTACTTAGCCACGAGAGCAGCTCGAGCAAGCTCGGGTACAATGGAGTTGGCGGGGACTAGGGGACTGGGCCACATGGTCATCGACCGCTTGAATTAATTTCCCAAGGTGGAACTTTCGCTAGCTTTCTTAGTTAAGGCAGAAGTGACAGGGGGGTTAAGATCGCAGGGACATGAGACGGCGATGCATGGGAAGGCCTACAAATTAAATGGAGAAAAACATTTAACATGATTGTTTTTTTCATGCCATCCTTAGTGCTGAGACCATGGACTCACAATGCTTGAGAATGCGGTTTAATCACAGGCTATGGAAACCGAATCCAGGATCTCAACAGTGCTGGCTTGATGCTCTGACCCCCAAGTAACCAAGAGAAGCTGGTTGTTTGTGAGTGCATTCACCTGCAGCGAGGCCAAGCAAATCCAGGCAGTCAGCGTGCAAGAAGCACAGCGTGGGCCCCACAGTGAACAGCACATAGTTGTCGTAGCGCTCGTCCAATACCACCAACACCACATCTCCAACCTGGAACCTGCATGTGGACAGCACGCGCCAACTCAGTGCCTGTGCCATGTTGCGAGGTCGCGTCTAACATGGTGCAGCAGTGTGGCGGTGTCTGCCCCGGTGGAGCAGAGCACCTGGGAGCCATACTCACTCTCGGATTGAAATTTTGTCCGAGTGACGAGGCGAAGCTGCTGACAAACTCTGAGACATCTGTGAGGGCCGGGAAGGGGGAATGATAGGCGACAGAGACAGACGCAACTCAGTGCCAGAGTAAGAAGCACCGTGGAGCACATTCACCCGATTTCTCTCCATGAAGAGCACACGGCCCGAGGTTGTTCAGTGCCAGTACACTCACCATTTTCTCCGGGGCGGCACCATCCTCCTCCTGCAAGCAAGAGGGAACGCACCGTTAACCGAGCTCAGCAGTGGTTGCTATTAAGGCACCGCTCAATTAGGAAGGACAAAAAATTAAACGCAAAAATCAGTTCACATTTGCTCCACGTTACCTTCTCCCCGTGAACTCCGGGCGGCACCTCGACTTTCTCCTCCTCTGAGCCGAAGGACTGCACCCTCTCACCCTGCTCGCAAGGCTCCAAGGCCCTGGTCACCAGGATGGGGGGCGCCGTGCCTGTGGCTGCCTCCGGAGCCGGAGGGCAGGCAGGGACGACGGTCGTCTCAGACGAGGTCCCCGGCTGGTTGGCCGGGCCGTGCAGCTTTGCCAGCGTCTCCTCCAACAACTTCTTCTCCTCGAGCAACGCGGCACGGTCGGAGGACAGCCTCTGGATGAGGTCTGGGGACACGCACGGCCAACGCACGCATAGATTAACATATGCATGCGACCCAGCGGTCGCACGTTCACCGCTTGTTGCAGAGGTTTGTGTTTCGAAACTGGTAGGCTACCCTGATTAATACTGCAGTGTGCATCAACAATTAAATTATACGCGCAGCCTGTTTTACGGTGGCCATTAAAGTTCTGTTACGTCAACTGCAGATCAGACCCAGTGTCGGCGTCATGCTCCAAATTTGGCAAAGTTGAGAAACTACTTGCAATTACTTAATTGGGTCATGTTATAAATATAGCAATGGTCGCCCGCCCCACCCCCAAGAAACCCACAACTGCAAAAACTTAGCAGGACCTTCTTGAAATAGGGTCTCGAGACTCGGCAAGACTTTCCTGGGAAAACCAGCAACATTGTGAAAGAATAATTATGTACGTCGCAGAGTGGCGCGTGCGGCGTGTGCATGCGGTTACCCCGGTCATCCCTCTGCTGGGCCTCCAGCGTTGCGAGCCGACCCTGGAGCTCGGCAAGCGCCTGGTGGTGACGCCGCTTCTCCTGGGCCATGACACTGTTGAAGCTCGTCTGCGCATTCACGCAAGTACGACCGCGAGGGCCGAGAAGATTAGTTGATTGTTATTATTATTAGATGGTTTACAAACAAAACTTTACAGAGTCTCAAGACTTTGAAAGTGTACGCAGTAGTGGGCAATGTTTACCTCTACAATCCCAAATGAGCGATTTTTAGTTAAGAGAGAAAACCGGGGTACCTGGAGGAAACTCATGCGGAACAGGGGTTGAGCGTACAAACTCTACGCAGAAAGGCACTGGAGTCGGGACTTGAACCCAGCTATTCTTGTTGTGAGGCACGAGTGTTACCACTGTGCCACCATGCCGATTAAGTCGATTCACGGACTACATTTTGGAATGTTTCGCTTTTTCTAGTCGATTACTCGGGTCCCTTTAAAAATAGTGCCTTCTCCAACAACATGCTTCCCGAAGGCAAAAAAACCCCTACATGTCATGCCCAGCGAAAAGCAGCTCATGATGCTGGTGACATCATCAAGCCAAGTGCATGACCTCCTCGCTCTATTCACCAGGGTATGATGGGCACCGGTCTGAATGGAGAGCGGGGAGAGGGAGCGCTGTGGAAGTGGGGAGAGTGCGGAGAGAGAGCGCTGTGTGAGTGAAGAGAGCGCTGTGTGAGTGGGGAGAGTGCGGAGACAGAGAGTTGTGTGAGTAGCACCTGGTGCTGTGCCTCCAGCTGGGCCCTCATTAACCCCAGTGCCTCCCTCATCTCCTGCTCTAGACTTTCGCGCATGGGGTCCAGCGTAGCTGGGGTGCCAGACACTGGAGGGGTCCCAGCAGGGTCTCCAGAAGAACTCACGAGCTCCACGTCCCTGCCAACCGGGCACACACAAGAAAGTATATTTGGTATTTATGCAATTCAAGTAAGCTCAAGATGGGCAAGATGGAGGGAGTTGGAGCCAAGGACATGCCATTGGACACGCACTCAAAGACACATACGCAATCACGTAGGGGGTGGCGAATGAGGGGCCGGGTTGGAGAGCATCTGGCCGAGGGAGTTGCTCACCCAGCACGGGGAATGGGCAGTTCAGTCGTCGCCATCTTGGGCAACATCTCCGGGTTGTCTGGGAGGCTCTGAGCAGGGGGTGGCACGGGGCCACCATCCTCCTCTTGCCCTGCATCCTCGCTGCCTTCCTCACCCCCCTCCACCTCACACTTGGTGTCTCCCTGCTCACTTCCCCGTTGCCCCTCAAGTGTCCCACACTCCTCAGCCGTCTCGCACTCTCGTTCCGTACCAGCTGCCCCGGGTGCGGCGTCCAGAGACGGTGGCGACTCTTCAGGGCTGCCTGTCCCTGGGCTCTGTTCTGGAGCATCCATCAGTGACCGCTGCTGCTGCTGCTCCATGGCCTCCAGCTGCAAAGTGGTGTCCGCCAGCGCGCGCTGCGTGCGCTCCAGCTCAGCCTCCATGATCTGCGCCCTCTCTGCCATCTGCCTCTGCAGCGTCTCCGTCTCACGCAAACTGCGAGCGCTTGCTTCGCGCAACTTCTCGCACAGCGCCTGTTCCATCTCCACGCGCTCTTCCTGGGCCTGCACCAGGGCCGCCTCCAGCTTCTCCTGGCGCCGCTGCGCCTCCTCCTCCAGCTCACGTCGCGTCTCGGCTTCCCGCTCAAGCCGGCCGTGGGTCGCCTCCGCGTCCCGCTGGGCGCCGGCGAGCACCTCCGTGAGCCGCTGCATCTCCTCCACCAGCGCCTCACGCTGCTCTTCCTCACGCCGCAGCTGCTCGTAGAGCTGGGTGCGGTCGTTGTCGGCGCGGCGCGCCAGCTCGCGACATCTCTCATCGTACTCGTCGCGCAGCGCCTCCAGGGCGCGCCGCTGCTCCTCCGCCTCGCCGCTCTGCGACGCCAGCTCTAGCTGCAGGCAGCAGCGCTGGTGCTGTAGCTCCCCCACGTCGGCGCGCAGGCGCTCCGCCTTGTCCATCAGGCCCTGCTCCCGGGACCTCCACGCCGCTTCCCCTTCGGCCAGCGTGTCCCTCTCCAGTCGCAGGCCCTCCAGCTCGGCGGCCGAGGAGCGTAGGCGGCGCTCCAGTGAGTCGGCCCTCTCCGACAATTCTTGGAGCCGCTCCTGGGCCTCCTCGTCTGCACGGCGCCGCTCCTCGAGCTCGCGGTGCCGAGCCTCCTCGCAGTCGACACGGGCTCGGCGCGCCTCCTCCTCCTCGGCCTCCGCGCACTCCCTCAGCCGGGCCACGTCGCGGCTCAGGGCGGCCAATGCGGCCGCGGCATCTTCCCTCCCGCGTGCCGCCGCGGCCCTCAGCCGGGCCAGGTCGCCGGCGAGCGCGGCCAGGCCGGCACGAGCGGCCAGCAGGCCCTGGCGGTGGGCCTCGATGGTGCGGCGTAGTGCGGCCGCTTCCGAGGCCGAGTCGTGAAGGCGCTTGCTGTCGATGGCGTTGATGACGGAGGCGTAGAGCGACTCCATCATCTCGGGGCTCTGTGGGTCGCTCAGCAGGGCCCCAGGGGAGATGGCAGCGCTGCCCTCTCCCACCACATCCCTCAACTGCCCCACTTCCCTCACGGCCTCCACCTCCCTGGCCCCCCCCAACTCTCTAACCCTTCCAAAAGCTTCCCCCACTTCTGTCAACTCCCCCACCTTTTCCACGCCCCTCACCTCTCCTCCTCTCACCTCCCTCAATTCCCTCATTTCTACCACCTCCCCCATGGCCGACACGAAATCGGCGCTCCCACTCGTGAGCAGCGAGTCGAGGGCGGGCGCCGGTGGTGCCGCCGCCACCACCTCGCGTTGCCCCAGCTCGCTGAGTGGGCAGGGAGGCTCGGCCTGGAGGCTGCCCAGGGATCCCAGCGGCTCGGGGGGCTCGGGGGGGGCCGTCACGGCGGGGTCCGACACGAGGAGGCCCACGGCGGACGGTACCGACTCGAAGCCGTAATCCTCGAGGGAGGCGACCTCTGCCTCCTGCAGCAGTGGGGGGGCACCGGGGGACAGTGGCTCCCCGAGGCCCCCCCCCCACCTCCTCCGTCACCAGCGCTCCTGGTAGGCCGGCACACCCTCTCATCGCTGCCTCCTCCACGACCGGAGCCCACGAGTTCAACGCTGGTGCGCCCTTGTGCACCGCGGGCGCCGGATCTCGATCATCGATTGCCAAGCCTGGAGGGACGAGCCCCTCCACAGAACCTGGTGACACCTGCAGGAGCAGCAGTAGCAGCAAAAGAAATGCAGTGAGTGACACCGGGGTGAGTGACGCCGGGGTGAGTGACGCCGGGGTGAGTGACGCCGGGGTGAGTGACGCCGGGGTGAGTGACGCCGGGGTGAGTGACGCCGGGGTGAGTGACGCCGGGGTGAGTGACGCCGGGGTGAGTGACGCCGGGGTGAGTGACGCCGGGGTGAGTGACGCCGGGGTGAGTGACGCCGGAGTGGATGACGCCGGGGTGAGTGACGCCGGGGTGAGTGACGCCGGAGTGAATGATGCTAGAGTGATTGCCGCTGGAGTAACACCTGGGTGAGTGAGTGTGCAGGTGAAGGGCGAAGGAGTCCCTCTTCTCCACCCCAAGGCGCGATGGGATGGGACGAAGACACTGCTAACTCCATTCCAGGCAGCCTGCACACATACGCAACAGAATACACACAGGCGTGTCTGCATTAATGCACATTAATGCACTCACATGCTCAGACACAGGCGTGGACACTCGCACACAACTGCGCACACACGAACGTATTCGCACAGGCATGCACGCCACTCCATCATGCACCGCTCTGGCCTTCATAGGTGCTCGCTAACAGCAACTACCCCAACAGATTATGAATGCCAACTGGGAGACCTTTGTCTTTGCATGGTGTGTACCTGAGGTAGGGCTGCACCTCGTCGGGACACCGCGACTGCAGGAGGCGCAGGTCGTCGAGCGAGATGGACGGCAGCTCCGAATCGAACGCACGCGGGTCACTCGTCTGAAACAACCGTGCACAGCCACGTACTGCAACTGCCGACGCCGGGTTGCGATGTAGGGACAGGGGCTGGTGAGGGTGGTGCGAGTGTAGGGACTAGTCCTGCGAGGTGGAGTGTTATAATATGGCAGGTTTAGTGCGCGGTTAAGGTTATTGGTATAAGTTGACTTTGTTTAACGACGAGACCAGGATGAGTCTCATTTGCAAGCATGACACGAGTCAAGTGGTGCACATTGTGGTAGGTTTGTCTGTATGTTGAACTTCTTTCGTACCATACGTAGCCAACTGTGCTAATCAGAGGTGCATAGCTCCAGGGGCTTCCTAATAATGAGTGTAGTGTGTGTCCTGTGTATGGTGTGGGGAGCGGGAGTGTAACGGTTAGCGCACTGCGCTACAAACCCGGCGACCCGGGTTCGTTTCCTGATCACGTCCAAAACCAGTGACAAATATCTAAACCGGTCCTGGGTCTCCCTTAGGTGCAGTAAGCTGCTGCACTCACACAGAAGGAGGAGGGAGGCCATGACTGGAGGCCACGGAAGAGGCGGTCACGCAGGAAGGAGCTCCCTGAGGACAGAGGCACGGAGAGGGGATCCACGAGTCAGCAACAAACATGACCATCAGAGTGCGATGTGGAGCTGTCGCGTGGCAGAGTGGCACATGGTGGTACGCAGTGACACTCTTACCAAACACGCGTCCAAAGCTCTCCCGCTTGGCTCGCTCGGCCTCATACACCTGCCTGCCCTCTGCCACCAGCGCGCTGGCCCACTGCCCGGAGGCACACAGTATATGAAGGGGGTGGGAGGGGGAGAGGTGGAGGTGAGCACAAAAGAAAGCCAGCCCACTGCCCTTATCAATCGGCTGTGTGCGGCAACGAGCTATTCTGCTCGGTGGAAAGCTCCTTCTTACCTGGGAGTAGTGAGCGACGAAGGTGCGCCTGCGCACCACTTCAGAGATGGCCAGGCAGTAGAGGCGCGGTGCCGCCGAGAGCTGGGCCACCACGCGCATGCGCCCCTCCAGCCCCCGCAGGACGTGCCACAGCGCGGCCAGACGCTCGCTGTGCTGGTCCAGGTGGTGCATCATCAGGTAGCACCACCTGGGTGGAGACAGGGGTGAATTAAACCACGCATCTGGCTCGGCTCTTTCACTGGCTTCACCCATGAAGCACGACATCACAATTTTATAACGAGAGGCCCAGCCAACTGAGCTGCCGGCACCATGGTCCAGAGCGCTAGCCACCAAGGTCGTCGCGCCGATACCACAATACGTCGTACGCAAACACAGCAAACACATTCGCTAAAATGGTGTAACGTGGCATCAAGAAACATCACAAACATCCAAGAAACATGGCAAAAAATCTTTAGATTACAATTCATCATCATCCATGATCAATCTACTTTTGGATGAATGCCTCCCCAAGCCAATAGTACCTCCTATGGTCCTGACCCAGAGAGAGCTGCTGGGGACTGGGGGCCATAGTTTACATGCGTCGGTCGTGACGACGGGGCGGGTTGACCATACTTCACCACGCCTGTCAGTGCGGGTTGGTGAAGGGACCACGTATTTGTCTCACCTCTCATCGTGTATCTGACTGGTATGAGTGCCCCTATCCGGTGTGGCTACTCTGAAGTACACGTCACTCAAGCATCTTGGCCCCGGCACGGCAGCACTCTGTTGAAAGTAACATTGCACACTGCGATTGTTGCTCATTTTATTGAACCCTGGCCCTGCTGCTGGGTGCTCACCGGAAGCGCACGTGCAGGTTGTCAGTCAGCTGCTGCTTGGCCAGCACGCACGTCTGCCTGGTGTCAAGCAGCTTCTTGTGGTTGCCCAGCATGATGAGCAGCTGGTTGGCATGACTCACACACAGGTCTGGGAGAACCGACGGGTCGTTCAGGTTCTCCGCCCGCTTCTGGTTTGCCAGGAAGCCCTGCCCACCGCACCACACCAGCCACACCGCTCCATGACACGACGCTCTCTGTTCTTGCACCGCCGTATCTTATTCACCCACGTGATGCGCCGTGGTGGCATGAGGCTCCGCAAGGTTCCACATTGTCAGTAGGGAACGGCGCAAGGTCACTTGGCTATATCAGATGTTGGGGGCTACTTCGCTAAGATCCCCTAACCCAGTGGTTCCCAACCTGTTGTCTCCAAGCAAGTGGGGGAGTCATCTCTGTTGCAGATGCTACGATTTTATTGACAAACCAGATTTTTTTTTCTGGATGTTTGGCTGTGAAAATGTTTTTAAGCATAGCAGTGGTCCACGGGTCCAGAAAGGTTGGGCAACCACTGCACCAATCCATATCCAGATGTGTGCCCTGTGATTATGAGTGATCTGGAACACGAAGGTGCGTTCTGGAGTGTCTCGGTATACTCAGTAGTGCTAGGTAGTGCTCGGGAGCTCTAGTGAGTACTCAGATGCATCACCTGAGCGAGCTCGCCCTGCTCCGACACGAGGGTGCGGCAGGTCGCCAGCACCTGGTCCAGCGCATAGAGCCGCTCCTCCAGCCCCTTGATGGCACGCATCGGGGGGTTGTCAGCCTTGGCCAGCACCTCGCGGCACTCCTGCAGGAACGGCTCAACCACCGCCGGCTCCAGCTGCTGGGGCCCACACACGCTCGATGATCGCTTAGCCCCACCTCTCGCGTGTGTACACGCACACGCTTGGGGTGCACGTGTGAAAGTATACAGTGTGCATTATGCCTCTGTTTTTGTGTTTCAATTTATTTTATTTCTTCGTGACTTTACCGAAAGAACCAAAGAGTAATTCCTGCAGTCGCGAAAGCTTCAAATCAAGTTTGAACCACCTCTACGGGGAGGATTTAAGTTTATTTTCTCTCTCTGTGTGTGTCTCTGTCAAATTTCACACAACTTCTAATTTAGCAATCTTTGGAAGAACGTAATCAACCAGGCTATGCATTAACTGTGTGTTAACCGACTCTCTGTGTTGCATTGCATTATATTTCCAAAACTTTTGCTAAGTTCGTTTTCTCAAACTTCCTATTTCTCTCTCTAAAATTTACCAGGCTTGCATCGGTCCATTTGCTCTTTCCCCCCCCCCCGGCCGCTGCGGGGTGGATTTCCACACAACTCTCTCTAAAATTTACCAGGCTAGCATAGGTCAATTTGCTCTTTCTCCCCCCCGGCCGCTGCGGGGTGGATTTCCACACAACTCTCTAAAATTTACCAGGCTTGCTGGGTTTTTCTCTCCCCCGGCCGCCGCAGGGTGGATTTCCACACAGCTCTCTCATTGACATGCTAATTTCTCTGCTCCAGCACCCCCGCCTCTCTCTCTGCCCCCCCCCCTCTCTCTATTTAAGGCCCTGACACAGAGGCGTTGTGTCTCTGTGTGTCTATGTGTGTGTCTCTCTCTGTTGTATCTCTCTGCTTGTGTCTGTGTCTCCGTGCCTGTGTTTTGTCTCTCTCTCAAATTTAGCAATCTTTGGAAGAATGTAATCAACCAGGTAGGGTGTTAACTGTTGTGTTAGCCGACTCTCTGTGTTGTATTACATTGTATTTCTAAGTTTACTAGGCTTGTTTTCTACCTGATGACAATTGCTTGTGTTGCAATCGAAACGTCATTCTATTATTTGTTATTTTATTTCTACGTGACTTTACTGAAAGAACCAAAGAGTAATTCCTGCAGTCACGAAAGCTTCAAATCAAGTAAGAATCAAAGTGTTCATGCATTAGCTCTGTTTCTTTTCATCTATAAATTGGGGACAGCACAATAACTCTAATAAGGATGATGCAATATCAATGACACGTTAATCGAGTTGTGTTGCTATATAGAACTTACCCAAGAGAGAAAAACGGTGAAATTGATCGAAGGATTGCTCAAAACCTAGTGACAAAAACCAGTCCTAAAACAGACCCGCCTGAGCATCCCAGCTCTTCTCAGTGGACCTTAAGAGCCTTGCTACAGAATTATTTGACACACACATTTAATTATGACAGGTTTCTTTGCAGTCATTCGGTACTGTGTTGAGACCATAAACTCGCTTTACTTAAGAATCCGGCTTAGTCAGGGGTGGCTGAAACCTGCATGCCAACCCAGGATCTCAGGGATGCCGGGTCAAGTGCACTGAAGCGGCCATTCAAAGCCCAGTGAGCACCCAACATATTGCTAGTTCAGCCTGTTTGTGTATGTGTGCGTGCATGCATTTCAATTGATGGCCATAACTGTATGTGTCAGTATCCATTTCTGTGTCAGTGCCTGCATCTCTGCCTGTGCCTCTGTGTCCGTGTCTACAGAGGAGGCCGTGCGGCTCACCCTGTGCACCGAGTCAAGGCACTTCTTCACCAGCGTCTCCACGTCGTTGGGCCGGTCCTGCACGTTCACCCAGTCCAGCAGGGTCACGTTGAACGGCTCCTGGATGCTGGTGGTGGGCCCCGCCGCACTCTCCTCGCTCGCCGCATCGGGCCCCACCCTGCCGTCAGCGCCGGCGGGCGACTCAATCGCGCTGTCCGTTGACGCACCATCACGGGCACAAGGAAAGGTCTCGCCCTCGGTGGCACCACTCAACCTGGCGCCGGCCGGATACCCCCCTGCCTCCCCATGGGCGCCGTTGTCCCAGCCAATCTCCTCTCCTCCGAGCTGCTTCTGCCGGCGTTGAATAGGCGTTGCTTTCCCAGGCATCAGCGCTGGTGCCGCGGGAGCCGAATCCGAACCGAGGGAGCTGAAGGAAGCGAGCTGGGAGCTGTCGTCGGCGGCGGTGGCTCCCCGCTGGGACCCATCGCGGGACATGCTCACTGTAAGTGACTGCAGCAGCGGGATCTGCGCCATCACTGACACAGCGCTGCCCAGCCTGTGCCACATCACTCCGTCAGGGCACGCCAAGGCACACCACTACAGGTGATGCCAACTCTGACGCACAATTCGCGAACTCGCTCTAGTTCATCATCGAAAAGCCGTGGCTGAATTATTTGTGTTTTTTATGGACACGTTGGTTTATTAGCTGCTTCTCATGAGTGACTAAAAAAATGGCAGAAAGTAAAATTATTTACTAAAAAAATAACATCAGATGACATGCCGTCTGTCTTGATTCCCATTCTACATCTGCAATATATAAGTTTTAATATCCATATTTTATTACATTGTCTGTGTTGTTGTATGGGCTACACCTCCCCATTACATCCAACACATGTGTTTAATGACGTGGCAGGCCCAGCGACTGGAAGGGGAGAGTACGGAGAAAGGGAGCAGGTTGGGGGGTTCAGAGTCAGGGAAGCTGGAAGAGTGGGATCCGAGAGGCGTGAGAACTGGGAGAAAGAGGCGCCAAAACAGAGGGGGGGTTTGATCAAGATAGCAGGGACAACTGGAAGGCAATGGATCTGGAAAGATGTGGGCAGAAGGACTTGGGAGTTTGGGGGGAGTTGGGGCCTCACGCGTTAAGCTGCTCTGTTATGGAGTCGCGGGCGGTGGAGAAGGTGGCGTAGGCGCTGGAAAAGCCGTGCAGCAGCGCGGCGTATCCGCTCATGCAGTCGTCCAGGTTGGCCATGATGGCCGCCCAGCCCTGGTGCTGCAGATGCTCGTCGTGCACCAGCGTGCGGCAGTACTCACTCAGCCGCTCCGCAAACTCTTGCATCTCCTGTGCGGGTGTGTGCACGTGCGTGTGGAGAAGCGTGTCGGTGAGCATAAATGTTTCTGGATGTGTTCATGTGTGCGTGTTGATGGGTGGGCAGCGGTAATGGAGCGGTGAGCGCACTGTGCTATGAACCCGGAGACCAGAGTTCAATTTCCGCTCATGATCAATAAGAGTGGCAAATATCTGAACCGGTTCGGGCCTTCCCCTAGGTTGACCCAGCCTCCAAGGAGTACCTAGTGCAATGTGTAAACATCGCTAGGCAGCCGGGCGTGGTGTTGGTCACCCACCACATCATGTGTCGTTCCGGCCTTCAGAGGTGCTGGCTAACAGCACTTGCCCCAACAGTCTGTGTAGATGAGTGTGCATTCGCAGAGGGCTCTCACCGCCGCAAGCTGTGAGCGCGAGGCCACGGTGTTGAGCACAGGTGGCATCATGAGCGACTCTTCCACACGCAGTGCCATCTCCGTCTCTGCCGGGAACACGCAGCGTGGCACTGCCGGCGCCTTGTCCCGTACGATCATCTCCTTGCTGAACAGGAAGATGGGGTTTGTGTCCTGTACATACGGGGACACGACGAGACGCCGATTCAACTTGGCGATTTTGTCGCTAGATCTGATGAACTTTTTGGTGTCCTTGGCAACAATGTTCTAGGGAAGCACATTCTGCAGTTTTGGGAGCGATTCCGGGAAAGCATTGAGAATCAAATTACTAAAGGGATAGGATCTCTTCCCCCACCATGACCGGTGCAGGAGGAGACGTGGCCCCACTCACCGTTCCGGCGCAATAGCTGCAGACGCGGCGCTCCAAGGCCATACACTCACCGCCATTCACCACGAGCACCTGGTGCTGCACCCCAATGCGGTGCTTTGCAGCAATGGCACTCTTCAGCTCGGCAACGCTGCCGGGAAAACACGTGCGCTGGTATACATGCTCCACCATGAACCGCAATGCTGCTCAATCCCAAACTGTGCCAACGCCTTCTTCTTTAACTCTGAACAATTATTGCCACTACACAATGCACAACTTCAGTCTAAGTTGTAATCCTGCTGTAATATCTGTGGTGGAGCACCAAGTTCCTACCTCATTGCACTTCTTAGTATTCAACATAAAGCAGTCACAATGATTGAAATTCCAATACTCACTCACTGGCGGAAAGTCGCCTCCTCATCACCCTTCTATCGCTATCATAGTTACTGTTTCCGTGAACTTCACCCATTAATTCCTACACCCATGTTGGAGACTGTCTCCCAGACTAACCGTTTTGTTTCATCCATACTGTGTTCAACTACCATACTCACTTATCTTTCTGCTTCTTCCCTCGCACTGCTCGAATTTGATATTGCCTCCCCCCATCCAAGCGGTTATAGTAACCTTGGTCAACAAGAAGCTTAACGTTTCGGCCCTTTTCTCAGTAAACGTGAGAAAAAAACCCCATCAATGCAAAGCAGTGAGGGCATTGCCGGGCGGCAGTAGCGATGTGTCACAGTGTCGCCTCCTCCTTACCTCTGCACGGCGAGCTCCGTGTCGAATGTGAGCGTGGTGCCCGTGTTCACCAGGAACACGTACAGCTTCATGGCTCTGGGTTCCTCGAGCCGCTCACCACTCACCGCGGCCGCCACTCACCATCGACCACCGAACAGACACCCCCTGCCAGGGAAAGGGTGACACGCATTTGTTTCAGGTGCACAGCTTTGCCCTTGGCGAATGCACTGCTGCCGCTCATGCGTCACGAGTCTTGGCTGTCCCATGTTTTTGTTTTGGTCGTGAGCCGGCGCTTCCGGCTCACAGAGTCTGGCGACCCCGAGCTCCTTGGCGGTAGTTATGTAACTGGGCTCGCCCTCTACACCTGGGAGGGAGGAGAGAAATGAGAGAGACGCTGACGCATATCAAGTCACCGAGTCCTGCCGCGTTGCCTGAGGTGGGGGGCGGGGATTCCGTTGTTTCCCGTAAATCGAGAGCTGCACCTGGCGGAACACCGAGTGAAATGGCTCAACTCCACAGACCATAGAGGGAGCTAGAGAGACAGAGGATGAGCAGGAGAGAAATACTAAAGAGAAAAGCGAGATGAAGATACATGATCGAGGCAGATATGTATATAACACGGCGGGGCGACGCCTGCACCACAACACGCACGCCGAGCTCCGCACGCACGCGGCGCCTCTAGCAGTTGCGGCGCTCGGGTTCGCGGAGCCTGGGCGAAGTGACTCGGGCATCATGTCGCACGAAACAACAAACAACTCGCTCTAACAATATCCCCGTGACTGTCCATCCCTTGACACTGCCCAACCCTGCCTAGCGGGACGAACCCACACCCTAATCCCCGCCCTTGACAATCGACACTGGCCCTAACCGTGACACTGGGAAACCCCCTCCCCAGCTCTCTCACGCCCTGATGCCGCCGATTGTCCCGGCCGTGGCTCGCGCTGCAACCGCCCGCCGTGTTATTCTCGCGTCACGGTGAGCGACACGGGGCCCTGGTCCTCGCATCCCTGGTCCTCGCGTCCCTTGTGCGGCAGTTCAGTCCCGCGGTGTCCTCGTGCCGCGCGGCGAAGGGGGGTGAGGAGGGAAGAGGCCGGGACCGGGGCGGACACCGGCTGAAGACGAAGTGACTGTCGTCTACTGGAGCTCGGAGAGCGGAGCGGCTACCAGACACCCCAAACTCCATGGCCTTCTCAACCCCCCTCATGCCGAAATCTAACCCCGACACGCCGAGCCCCGTGACGCCGAGGAAACCTCGAGGAGGCCCGGACTACGCCAAGGTCTCGCCTAGCGGCCCCGCCGGGAAGGGGAACCCTCACACGGGGGGCGTCTTCCCGGCGCGCCATACACACCCCCCCCCAGCCTCTACCGCCGTTAATGGCACCCGCGCTACGACAGTGAGAGCCGGCGCCACTCACTCAGGGCTGCGGAGGTGGCGCCGCGAGGGCCGCGCCAAAGCGGGACGAGGTCATGGGTCCCCGTGGGCCCCGCGGTCCCCGCGACTCCCACGGATCCGTGGTCCCCGCGCCCGGGGGAGGCGGACGTGACGGAGAGCCGGAAGTGCGTGACCCTTCAATCCCCTCCCCAGACTGCAGCGCGCGGCCCTGGACCGGGAACGCGTGAGGGTTGGGGGGCATCTGGCGCAGCGCGGAGAGGGGACCGCGTGAATGTCGGGCGACGGCATCCCCGGCACCCGGGAAAGATAGGAACCTTGGGCGTCCAGGGCCCGGAGACTGAGGGGGCTGGGAATCGTGGGAAACCCAGGATCGGAGGGTACAGGGGACCAGGGACACTCGGTGAATTTGGGACCTCCCGAACAACTCGGGTAACCGAGGAGTCCTTGAGCCGTGGGTCCTGACCCCTCCCGGGACCCCGGACCATGCTGCGGACGTTACGCGGGCTGCTGCTGCTCGTGAGAGCGGAGAGGCGCGGCTACTACGCAGTACGCATCGGCAGGAGCCCCGGGCTCTACGCGACGTGGTGAGGCCCCGCATCGCATCCGTTACCGCCGCACCGTCGACGGCGGCCACTGGGACCTGTGCCACGCCCGCTAAGGATCCTCGTCTCCTGTCAGGGACGAATGCAGGACCCAAGTGGAGGGGTTCCCGGGAGCCGACTTCCGCAAGTTTCTGTGCGAGGGAACCGCTCATGCCTACCTTGCCCAGGGGCGCGGGGGCGACGGTGCAGCCACTGAGAGGCCGCCGCAATTGCGGCGGCGGTGGGAAGACGAGGAGCAGCCCGCGGACCGCGGGGATCAACCGCGCTTCACTTACGTGGGTGCGGCCTTCATGCTGCCATTAGGGCGATGACGATGAAGACGACAGTGACGAACGGATGTTGACAGCGACGAGGATGAGCGCATAGCGATGGAGCTGACGTCGCGGGGTTTGTGTGCTCGCCCGCAGGCGGCGTCCCAGTCGTGTTCACGGATGGATGCTGCATCTCCAATGGGCGCCAGGCGGCGCGTGCGGGACTGGGAGTCTTTTGGGGCACCAACAACCCCCTGTGAGTTCGCTCTCTCAGAGACCCCTCTCTGAGACCATTCTCTATCCTTAAGACCACTTTTCCCTCCGTGAGACCCTAATTCATGAGACCCCTTCCCTATGTCAGAAACCCGTTCCCCCTCCCTGTTGAGGAAGTTGCTTTTTATCGCATTTCCCCAGTTTTACACCGCCCTGTTACAACAAAAGTGTGATGAGGAAACCCCATTTGGTTGCATTGAGCTTGCAAATTAATAGTTACGGTCCGTTCGACAATACCACTACACTTTTTAAGTGTACATATTTTTACAGGTGCGTCTCTGTGTGTGTTTGGTATGTGTGTGTAGAAACTTGAGTGAGCGACTGGTTGGCCGACAAACAAACCAGCGCGCCGAGATCATGGTAAATAAAAAAAACAATATGGTAAATACCTGACGTGACTTCTCCCTCTATCATGACTCGATATTTTACTTTAGAGCATTTTTTTTAAAACGATATGTTCCATTGATACACGCAAATTGAGCCGCAACGTATTGTTGCACGCACGGAACATCCAGGGAAACGGAGCTGAGGTTTATCAAGTTGATTCTTTTTTGGCTTACGTTCTTTAATGTTCATGTCACCTGTGCTGATTGGTGATCATAGGCGGCGTGCCGTGCAGTGCAGCAGGCGAGCGAGCAGGGGCTCCGAAAGCTGATTGTGTGCACGGACAGCATGTTCATCGTCAACGGTGATTGAACAGCAATAGACATGAGCGGACAGATGTGGACACGAGTGTACAGGGCAGCATGCTGACCGTTTCGTCTCATCCACGCCACGTTCAGCCACCGCACTGCGAGTCACAATACTGCTGCACTTTGGAATTCCTTCCTATCGTCTCTTTCCCCAAGCTCGTATAATTTTTCTCAATTCAAGAAACTCTTATCTTTTACAACTTTAATTATGCTGTTTGGTGTTGGCTGTTGTACATTTTGTGGTCTTGGGCCTCAGCTCAGCAATTGTAGAATTTAAGTCGGTTCTGGTGTCACACGCAATGGACGTGTCATTAGCCATACCCCTGGCCTTGCTTAGCTCGGATGTCTTGTGAGACCAGCATATTGTGGTTCGGTTCCAGCTTGGCACAGCAAATATCCAGTGGAAAACCAGCCCATTCTGTGGAGTTCCTGAACTGGCTCGGATTTAGCAGTGGCAAAGGGGTATGATTCACTTGCATAACTATTTTTCATAGTGGCTGTATTCTGCTGCTTCTCTGTCGTGACGCTACCTCCTCCATATGTCTGTGCACAGGGATGGGCTCCTGGGTGCACACGTGGAAGCGCAGTGGCTGGCGCCAAGGCTCGGGCTCGCTGGTGGTTAACAGGGCCGACTTCGCCCTGCTCGACGACTTGTGCAGCGACATGGACATCACCTGGGTGAGGCCGCCATGCGCTTCTCCCCCACACCACTATGCTTCCGGCAAAACCAAGAGTCGGTCCGGAATTCCCCGTTCAGCGAGGTGACGCTGATACGGGCTGGTGTGATGTGTTACTTCTGCACCTGCAGGTGCATGTGCAGGGCCACTCTGGAAACCTGGGAAATGAGCACGCAGACCAACTGGCCAAGGAGGGAGCAGACAAGGTCCCCCTCCCAGGAGCCAAGCCACCCCCAGATCCGGTCGCAACTGCCGTGGATCCTCCAGACCTGGGCCAGCCCAGCGCCGCGTGTCAAAGGGTTGACTCAGAAGATGTGGACTGTGCCTCACAAGCAGACCTGGCTGCCGAGGTGGACTCTTCAGAGCCAGAGGAAATTCGCCAAACGAACCTCAAAAAGTCAATAGATGTCGCCAGCTGGACCTTATAAAATCATAAAACGTGTCACTTGAAATTGTACCAATTCTTGTGCATAATAAATGTATCCAGGATGTTTAATCCTTACCTGGAATGCTCCAACAACCACAGCAAGGGGTATATTGCATGTGGTGTGCCATTGCGGACAAAATATTTTCCAGGCCACTGACCTGTACAGACCGAGCATAATGTAAGCTCTGGTTTAAGGGGTGTGGTAATTGGTATGATAATTGACATGCCATATTCATGTATGTGAGCAAGAGTTCAGAGCAAGGGCTCTGCCTTAGAGCGAAGCAGGTTTTTTGCGCTGCACCCCACATCTGTTGTGCAACACTATGCAGCCAAGGGCTATTGGGTCACAGATTTATTAAACTTCCCAAACCTACCAGACTGGGAGGTGGTAAGTAAAATGCAGTACAGCAAATGTGTTTGTGAACCCATCTGTGTACATTTGATCATCCCCTCATAAAGCGAGGAGTTTTGTCAGGTATGCTGGCCTTCTCCCACATGCAAGACATTTTGTTTAAAAAATGACCAAACGTCTCAAAGCATGACCCCCCTGAAAAAGTATTGACGCTTTTCAGATTAATTGGGAGCTATTGTTATATTTAACGAATTGTGTACTTTGGTGGATTGTCAGAGTGGACAATTGTTCTTGCGATGACAAAGCATAATTATGTATAATTGTACTGAAGTTAATATGCTTTGTGGAAAAGTCTTGCCTATAAAATGAGCCAACCCAGCATCTTTGTTTAACAGGCCACATTCTGTTGATGACACTTAAAAAGTCTAAACTTACCATCTGCTTGAACAAATGCTGCTGGAAAATACTGGTCCACAAATCCTATAGCCTGGTGTTCTCGCATGTTATTTTGTTTTTGTGGTAAAGGAGAGCCTTGTATTAATCTTTTACTGCACATTTTCTCAAGTTGCACATACTAAATTATGTTTATGGTCAACATCAAAAAGCTTAACACGTAGGCTTTCGTGACCAATATTATTCATACTAAAGGTTTTTGGGTTAGATCACATTATTTATAAACTAGCTTTACTACCCGGCTTCACCCGAGACTTGGATTCTTGTCTTGGATTAATACACGGCCTACGCGGAGGCTGCGTAACGCTTCCGCATGCGGGTGACATCACAGATGTAACGTCACCGCTCACTTGCCGTGCAAAATATATCCATTATTGCGCCCCCCACTTCCAAAAATACAAAAGTCTATTTTTATACTTTTTGCATTGTGTACAGTCTGGAAACTGCCCACATGCCAAATTTCAAGTTTGTTGCATGTCGGGAAGTATGCAAAACATTTGCAACAGACACACATTCACAAATTTCCCTTTTATATATGTAGATGTGTCGCAACCCTCCACCACCCGACACGGCCAATCGGTAAAAAATGTGTCACGTTGACAAAATACAAATCGTTCACCTGCTCATGATTGGATTAAATGATGACGTCACCCTGCTGCTCTATTTAAGACCGGGAGCAGATGGAGGGCTTCACTATTCTGGCAAATTGCCCAATGATGCTGGATGTAATTACCAGCAAAACGTCGTACTCAAAAGTTGTAAATGTTGTGGATTCACTCTTCAATACACCGGTCGGCGAAAGTAGTGAACTATTTGTCTTTTGTCAACGTGACACATTTTTTTTACTGATTGGCCGTGTCGGGTGGTGGAGGGTTGCGACACAAATAACACGATCTAACGCAAAAACCTTTATTATGAATCAAAAAGCTTGCAGAAAGTTCCTAGGGATGTGACGCTGGGACCCTTTGGACATCAACGCAAGCCCAGGTCCATTCTACGGCAGAATATTGCGCTACGCCCATCTCTCACGCCGCGTTTGTTGACGCGCATCAACGCTGCACTGCGTGTGGTGAACGGCTCCCTAAATCTACACTGCTGCAGTGGCTGCCAGTACTTGCGATCATCCCACCAACAAACGTCTGACATGATGCTTTTACACTTAGCATTAGATATTGAAAATCCAGATCTCCGTCTGGATGTTGACATTTGATCTCCACCACTGTCCCATCTGAAATTGAAACACCACCACTGTCCCATGTGAAATTGAAACACCTATTTTCGACACGCCTCAACAACAACATATGGAAGAAGGGTGTGGGGATATTTCCTCCATAATTGAAAGATCAATGACTCGCCAAACTGCGAATGTGGTGAGGTGTAAACCATCAAGCGTATCACTGACGACTGCATCATTCATCACCTCTACTATGGTGGAACAAGCAATTCCTCAGCTATCACGGATGCTGTGGAACGGCTTGTTAAACATGCAAACGCATTTTATATAGTGTTGTCAGTTGCCATACTTTGGTAAAGCACATCTATCATTCCTGTTTTCAACTAGCCTTTTGCCCGTCAAAGGACGGGTGTATTGCAGTAAATCTGAAACTTGCAAGTGAAAAGCAGACCGCGACGTGATTGCCATTGCATTGATGCGTGTGCAATTTGTAAGGGTGGTGACAGACCTATTTAATTTGAAGGTTATAATCCCTTGTTCATCATGATATCATTTTTACTTTGATGTCTCAAAAGCGTTACGGAGATCACGTGACGTGAGGGTTCTGCCTTTGTAGTGAGGGTTGTGAGTTGACGCCGAGGAGGGGGGAGGAGGCGGCTCGGCCCCCCATGTGGAGTGACGTCAGGCGCTAATGATTATTAATGGTGGGGGTTTGAAGGACGTCACCTTATAATGATTATTAATGAGGGGGGCTGTTCGATGTGGAGTGACGTAACTTGTGCATGATTATTAGTGAGGGGGGAGTACTCCATATTGAGTGACGTCACCAGCTCATGATTATTCATGAGGGGTGGCCATTTGGAGGTTGTCACCTGCTCATGAATATTAATGAGGGAGGCTGGTCGATGTGGAGTGACGTCACGAGCGTTAAGGACAGACATTCCTGGGTGATTATAGTAGGTATATAACTCACCCTTGTCTGGAAGAGTAAAATGGATCTTTATTACTATAGTCTATATTAAAGCAGTACGTCCTGTATTGCTGCTAATGTGTTCAACCCATCATTCTCTGTTGCCCCCATAGTCTGACAGCAGAACTCACTTTCCCCAGCTGTGCGTGCAGTCGACTTCCTGCCCCTGTTCAATTCCAGGTTCAAGACCTTTCTATTCAGCGTTTTGAGCTGCAGTCACATATATATGTTTTATAAATCCACGTGTTTTGTAGAGCTGATATGATAGTAATGGTGTCCATACTCTTTGGGTCTTTCGGTAAAGTCACGTAGGTAAAAAAATAAATAAAGATTTTAATAAAATACAACTAAAATGAAAACAACTAAATTAAATCACGACGTTTCGGAGGCAACACAAGCTTCCTTCATCAGGTGTAAAAAGCACAGCAAAATTACTGCAGAGAGAGAGCTATTTGTGATGAGAGATTAATTATATAGGCTGTTGAGAGTGATGATGGTGTGAGTGGTGGTGGTGTTGATGAGAGTGGTGGGGGTGTGAGTGGTGGTGGTGTTGATGAGAGTGATGGTGTTGTGAGTGATGGTGTGAGTGGTGTTGATGAGAGTGATGGTAGTGTGAGTGATAGTGGTGTGAGTGATGGTGTTGTGAGTGATGGTGGTGTGAGTGATGGTGGTGTTGTTGAGAGTGATGGTGGTGAGTGGTGGTGGTGATGAGAGTGATGATGGTGTGAGTGATGGTGGTGTGAGTGGTGGTGGTGATGAGAGTGATGATGGTGTGAGTGGTGTTGATGAGAGTGATGATGGTGTGAGTGATGGTGGTGGTGTTGATGAGAGTGATGGTGGTGTGAGTGATGGTGGTGGTGTTGATGAGAGTGATGGTGGTGTGAGTGGTGGCTGTGGTGGTGACACGCCGTGACGTCGCACTGACGTCGCGTCCCGTGTTCGTGTTTACACGAGAGCCGGGACCCGAGCTGCGCGTTCCTCCTCACCCACTTCGCCGCGTGCGAGACCCACGGTGAGTGAGAGTGAGGGATGAGTCCAGGGGTCGATGAGTGTTATTGGTGATGTATCGTTGGTGAGTGATTTAGTTTGGGTGAAATGACTGGGGGAAAATAGAGACGGCGAGTGTGAGGAATCTGGGTTAATGAGATGAAAGTGAGGGACTGGTGAGTCGTGTGCGAGGTGAGGGGTAAATGGTGAGGGTTGAAGGACCGCGGGGTGAGTTATGGGCGAGAGTACAAGAAGCGAGGAGATTGCAGATGCGGGTGATGGACGAAATGGCGGAGCGGCCTGAGATTTGCGCCCTTGGCGAGAGGAACACGCGGACCCCTGTGAGCCCAGGATAGGGACCCCTGTGAGCCAAGGATAGGGACCCTGGTGAGAGGGACACGCGGACCCCTGTGAGCCCAGGATAGGGACCCTGATGAGAGGGACACGCGGACCCCTGTGAGCCCTGGATGGGGACCCTGGCGAGAGGAACACGGGGAACTCCCGTGAGCTTGAAATGTGGACCCTGGCGAACCCCAGCGAGCTCGGGGTCGCAAGCCTCTGCTTGAGTTTAAACAAACTGCAGCAACTAACGATGCCTGTGATTAAGAGCTTACAACAATAAGAGCAACAGCACTACTGTACAGAGTAACTGCTGCAACGACACCCTTGCAACAATAACAGGTTGTAACGTTATTACAACTGCAGCACTACACACCTGGCGATAGCGTAACGCAAACAACCACGCACAACAACAACACGAACATCGCTGTAGAAAGCAATGCATTCACAACGATGACAATAGCAACACGTACACGGGCCCGGACAGTACATTGTCTCAGCTGGGATAGGCTGTGTGGTTCGTGGGAGATGGGGACGAGGTTTGTGGTTATGCTCTGTAGCTATTGTTGGGATACAGCTGGGCCGAGCTGTTAAGCTTAGGGTGGTTCGGGATTTTTAGATAGCGCTAGGACTGGGCTAGGGAAAGGGTAGGATTAGGACAGAGTTATGGTTCGGCCAGAGTATGCTTGTACGGAGGTGAGTGTTGCAGTGTTGATGTCTAGGACGGTCAGAGCTACACCAGGGCGACCATGGCTGGGAGTTGTTGTTCGGGCTCCATTGTGGTGTAGCTTGGGTGTAGCCAGTTCGACGGGTCGGCCTGCGTCTCACCACCAGCTTCGATGCTGCTGTAATTATTGTTATATCTACGTAGTTTATTCCAGTAGTGCCATTGTTATGTTGCAGCGGTATAGTTGGTTGCAGAAGGCGCTCCGGCTGCATTGTTTCGGAGCAGTGGTGTTGTTGTTGTTGTGGGGGAGGGAAATGTTGGGCTCATTGCTGCCTCGCGCTCCTATTGGCTCCGTGCCGCCCAACGTCGAGGATGACGTCACCAGTTGCCAGCTGATCGGTGCGCGCACTGGATAATTCCCTGCCCCCCAAGGGGGCAGTTTAACGAGGGGCATTCCTAAAGGGGTATTGCTAGCTAGGGGGCATTGCTAACCAGGGGGCATTACGAATGAAGGGGCATTGCTAACCAGGGGGCATTACGAATGAAGGGGCATTGCCAGTGAAGGGGTATTGCAAGCTAGCTGGGATTACTAACGAAAGGGCATTGCTAGCCAGGGGGCATTACTAATGAAGGGTAATTGCAAGCCAGAGGGCATAACTAATTAAGGGTCTTTGCAAGCCAGAGGGCATTACGAATGAAGGGGCATTGTTAGCCAGGGGGCATCACTAATGAAGGGGCATTGCTAGTCAAGGTGTATTACTTATGAAGGGGCATTACAAACCGTGGGAATATTAATAACAAGGGGGCATTTCTAATGAGAGCAGCACCACATCCAGGGCATTGCAATTTTGGGGCATTGCTCGGAACATGAAATGTATTTTGGAGCTATACCATGCCTCAGGGGGCATTACCTATGAAGGGGCATTGCTAACCAGGGGGCATTACCTATGAAGGGACCTTTTTGTGGCCTTTTCTGCCCACCCCCCACCCCAGAGATGGCGTCCCTGTGCAGGGTTAGGCTCCCCGCGGGGGGTGGAGAGGGTCGGGGGCCTCGATGGAGGCTGTGCTGTATTTGTTATTGTCTGGGCCGCGCTGTCGTGGGCTAAATATAGATGCAGCAGGAGCTCCATGTCGGCACTGGGAAGTGGGGCAAGTGGTAGTGACCGGCGCTGCTCGCGGTGTGGTGTTAACCTCATCCCTCACATCAGATACCATCGTCACAACAAGTAGCAGCCACTCCTATGTGTGCACACTTGGCCGGCCGGGTTTTAGAAAATGGAGTCGCCTGGAGTCTGGCTCCATCTAGGGCTCTGGCTGGGAGTCTCTGAACTGCGGTGCCGCGACACGTGGACCATGGAGCTTCCGTGCGAACAGCTGTGCGCCTCTGCCGTCCGGCTCTATCTGCCGCCACACCCGCGTTGCCATTCTGCGTCTCTGTGCTGTCACTGCCGGCAGCGGACCCCGCTGGGTGCTGTTCCCCATGGGTGCTTGCTGAAACCGGCTCGGACTAACCCACCACCTAATCCTCTTTTCTCAGATCAACGTCCGGTTAAGATCAATTCCATTACCAGGTCGGCGAACCCCCGCGCCAGCCATCATCGTCATCGTTGGGGCAGCCCGGTTGGACATGAGCGCCGGTTAAGAGGTGCAGCTGGTTTCTGTGGCTGCATCGTTGAGGGCCCCCTCACCAGTCGCCACGCACAGCTCGCGCCAGCCTCAAGTTTAAGCCAACGAATTTGGGTCGGCTCCACTAATCTTGAAAACATCACTGCGGTCACGATGGGCGGAGCGGTGAGCGCGGGCGAGGACAACGACGACCTGATAGACAACCTGAAGGAGGCATCGTACATCCGCTCCGAGGAGGTGGAGAGGGCCTTCCGTGCCGTGGACCGCGCCCAGTACTACCTGGAGGAGTTCCGCGACAGTGCCTATCGTGACCTCGCCTGGAAGCACGGCAACATCCACCTGTCAGCCCCATGCATCTATTCTGAGGTCATGGAGGCACTGAAGCTGCGGCGTGGGCTATCCTTCCTTAACCTGGGCAGCGGCACAGGCTACCTGAGCACCATGGTTGGGCTCATGTTGGGTGCGTGTTCCCTCTGCCATTTCTTACACCCGTATGCAGACACACCAAACCCGAGATTCATTTCAGTCGGTTCTGTCCAGGTCTGTGGCCTGGAAAATTATGCACCTATCACACCACATCCAGTATACATCTCACTATGGCTTCAGGTACTACTAGTCATTCCAGTCTCCTGGCGACGAGAAATTAAGCCGAGGTTATATGTTCTTGCATACGTGTATGTATGCGTACACACACGTTGCTTGACAAACACTATATTTTTCATTTTCAGTGCAATTGAATCATTGATTGTGTTAATTGTTTGGTATGATTGCATCTGCGTCTGTGCAGGTCCATTTGGTGTGAACCACGGCGTGGAGCTGCATGGGGACGTGGTGGAGTACGCACGTGAGAAACTCGATGTCTTCATCAAGACGAGCGACGCCTTTGACAGGCGAGGGTCTCCTGCCCCGCCTCATGACACATGGGGCATAGGGCAGCTCCCACTCTCACTTGGGGACACGGCATTGGGGGGCAGGGGTGCTGGAAGGTGGCGATACCTCATGCTGAGTCAATTGCCGTCAAAGAAATTGAAGGATATCTTTAATCGTAGAAGTACAGCAATCACAAAAAACTACAATAAAAATGGCAAATCAAATGGCAAAGTTATGGCAAACTTATATTGCTATTCTCGTGAAATTTATATTGTATTGTGAAAAACTTGTTTCTAATAACATTAGATGGGGGCAGTTGGGAGCGGTGTCCTGTCTACACGTGTGTGTCCATAACTGTTTGTGCGAGTGTTCGTGCATTTATGTGTAATTGTTTATGCGTGTGTATGTGTGTTCATGTGAGTGTTGTGTTTTGTGTTGTGCCAGCTTTGGATTGTGTGAGGAGCTCACAAATCCTTGAAAGATCTTGACAAAGTCCTCATCGGTGAGCTCCTCCGGTAGGCGAGGGTTATGTAGCCCGCTTGCCCAGCCACCGTGTGCTCAAGCAGCTTCTGTTGGGTCTAATAGAGAGCACCAAACGGACACAGCATGTGCTAGACAACAGATGGTCTGATGTGGTACAGAAGGATGTGGAGCTGAGTCAATTTGCCTATGACCAGTAACAGTGCAGTCAACATTGGCCTCTGTGAAGGAGGCACGTGAAGGATGCTACTCGGCAGTTGGAGACAGTCGCTCTCTAACCACAATGGAGGGCAAGGAGTGCAGCACCAGGCGACTAAAACACAGCAAGATGGCACAGTGGGGGGCGCAGGTGGTGCATCTGCCAATCATCTCAGCCAACGTATATAACACCTGGGTCTGTTCATGTGTTCGTTTCTGCGCGTGCATGTTTCTGTGCATGTGTAGGTTTGAGCTGTGTGAGCCACGCTTCGTGGTCGGGAACTGCCTGGAGATGCGCGTGGAGAGCGTGCAGTACGACCGTGTGTATTGCGGCGCTGGCGTGCAGAAGGACCACGAAAACTTCATGAAGAACCTGGTGCGCGTTGGGGGCATCCTCGTCATGCCCATGGAGGACCAGGTACCACGCTAACTCTCGTAAAGACAGAGATCCCCCTGGATAGCACACACAGGCCGTTGGGACAAGTGCTGTTAGCAAGCACCTTAGAAAGCCGGCACGGCGCATAAGAGGGTGGTGTGGCCACCACCACGTCTGGCTGCCTTTGTCTCCCCAGTACTGCACCAGTTACTCGTTTAATGCCGAATCGATGTAGGGGAGGCCCATGGCCGGTATCAATCACCACTGATTTTAATCGTGGTATGGAATTGAACCCAGTTTTAAAAGTTCGTAACAGAGTATGTTAACCACTGTACCCCAGCTCCACACACAAATAACAACAGCTGCCATTTGTCACTAAGTTCCAGCCCAGGTGTACATTAAGGCTACACGATGTGTCACTGGACTGGCCCAGGTGTTATGGGTTGACTGACTGAAATGATTGGCCAGTGTACTACCTGTGCTGCCCACTCTGCCAGCTATCACAAATTAACTGACTAGCGACTGCACGCACTTGCATTCCGGTGTACTCAAGCTGTGCATGGCACCTGTGTACCCACCTGCGCATGCAGCTGACACAGATCACACGGACAGGACAGAACGCGTGGGACGTGAAGAACATTCTGGCCGTGTCCTTCGCTTCGCTGGTGCTGCCCGGAACCACGCGCATGGACGGCGGCGGCATCTGCCTGCGTGAGGATGTGTATGCACACACCTAATCCGCCCAGGTGGCTCCGCGGGAGAGTGAGCAGATCGCAACAGGACGGTTGGGGTGTTGACCCCTCAGCTCTCCGGGGTCGATAGAAAAAGTACCACTTGGTGGAAGTCAACAGTGATTCTCCTATCGATATACTTGCCCCTGCCATAGCAATGTGGAATTTACACCACTGTTGGCTGGAAACAGAAGATGAGTACCCCCTCATTGCTAATTTGAGCAGGAAATCACTTTGACTTGTGTGTTCACACCTGTGTGTAAATTCTTACCATTGACGATTATCTAAACTGGGCCTCCCCCTAGGTCGACTCAGGCTTAAATGAGTACCTGGCGTGGTGTGTAAACATCTGCACTGGAGAGACAATGCGGCCGGATGTGGTGCTGGCCACCCACCCCCTCGTCGCTAACAGCACTTACCCAAATGGGCTGTTAAGGCTATATGGGGGATCTTGTTTTTGTCTTGTGTGCAGCTCTCCTGGAGGTGCGCTCTCTGCAAGATCTGGCCCGTCTCGCGATCCGGCACACGCTGCGAGAGCTCATTAATGCCGAGACGGGAGGTCAGGGCTTCTACTCGAGCCCTAGGCCCCCGAAGCCAAGGTGCCCTCGCTCACTCACATGCACAAACACGTTTGGCCAACAACAGTGATGCTTATCTGAAGCAGTCCTGGGCCTCTCTTAGGTCGACTCGGCCTCAAATACCTGGTGTGATGTGTAAACATTGCTGCTAGGGAGACAAAATCGGCCAGGCATGATGCTGGCCACCCACACCTCATGTGCCGCTTTCATAAGTGCTCACTATTAGCACTTGCCCCAACAGTCCACTTATGGCTCGGCGGAGGATCTTTGCCTTTGCTTTGTTCAAGGGGTTCAGATGATGCATTTGCTCAGCCGCAACGCATCTGATCTAGGTTCAATTCTCGACCTTGGACAACGTCACGACGACGTGTAATCGCTCATATCTCCCAGGGCTTAGCAGCACGTGCCCCTGCAGCCTCCAAGTGTGTGCAGGGGACCTGTATCTCTGCTCTGTGCTGCGTGTGTCCTGCGTGTGTGCGCTTCGTGTATGCCGTCGTGTACAGACGTAAGCGCCGTCGTCCCCGTGGCCGTCGCATCAACACGTTTGTGTTCGTGGGGAATCAGCTGCTGCCGCACCACTTCGACTCAGACTATGAGAGCGATGAAGCCCGTGCGGAGGAGGGGGGCGGCGGCGGGGGCACCGGTGATGGCGCCAGGGATGCGTGTGAGGGCGCCGACCCCGACGCGGACGACGCGGATCCCGATGCTGTTGACCGCGACGCGGTCCCGGCGCTCGCGGAAGACGGCGCCGCTGTGTCGGCCGTGATAGCCACGCCCAAGGGATGCGGCAGCGGCAACAGCACAGGCACCAACTGCGTGGGTGGCGCGCACAGCACCAGCTCCAGCAGCTGCAGCAGCGCTAGCGGCACTGTGGGCGGGCGGCTGGCGGGGGAGGAGCCCGAGCGCAACTTCCTGCGTGAGCGCGTGCTGGCGCTGCCCCTGCCTGAGCCTCTCAAGGCGTTCCTGCTCTACTTCCGTGATAAGTGACGGCCTCCTGAAGGAGGCGTGAAGCGTCGCAAAGCGCCCTCGATTTGACGACCGCGAAGATAAAATTTCACCGAACTGCCGGCCCCGCACGGCGCTTGGCGCTTGTCACAGGACACGCGCTCAGGGAATTCTTAAAAATGCCCCTCAAGACGAGCGTCTGAGTCTGCTGCTGCTGCTGCCGGGACCCTCGGCTTCCTCCAGGGAGCGACCCCCTCCCTCGTGCTGCAGGCCTGGGCTCCACTCTTCCTCGGTGTTGCTTGTGGAGCACCGGACCGCTTGTAGGGTTTTAGGGCAACATCTAGCCTCTACTAAATCGCTGCTCTGTACTTCACGCAGCAAGTAGTCTGTTCTGACCGCTTTGAGTGTGTAGAGTGTCACTTTTTCCACCCAGGTGTTTATGTGATGACTTAAGCAGAGTGGGTCCGGTAGCATTGCCTCTGTCAAACGAGGAGAAAACCCCGTGGGCTTGCGCCGATCCACTTTTGACGCTGTACATGAGTTGTAAATAGCGTTTAAGATAAAACGTAAGAAAAAAAGTCTAAAATCATGTTAGCCTTGTATCGCAATATTATACCGTTTTGAAAGGCTGAGCTGTGCGGCCTCGTGTCCCTGGGCGTGCGGGCAGCCACTGCGGTCGGTGAGCACTTTACCACACGCGACGGCGGGGTCGACTCGAAATCGCCGAGGCTGCGAGGACCCAGCGGTGCCACAGCCACTCTGCTCGAGAACGATGCTGGGGATGGCAGGGGAGCACGGTGGCGCCGTGAACGTGGGGCCCTGCGCAGTGATCGCCCCTCCCTCCCTGTAGCCAATTAGAGCAGCACATGTCGTCATTCGTTTTTTTATTATTAATGTAGGGATCCATGTGTTTTTAACTTTTCATGAAACACAATGTCAGCCGATTTGTAGCCGATTTTCAGTGAAGAGCAGTGGTGAGGGTCACAGAGTTTGGTGATGTGGGAGCTGAGGTTTTTGCAGAAAAAATTGCAATGGAATGGAATTTCGTGGAATCCCGGATGCGGAGAGAAGTCTGAGTCTTAGCGCTGGCGCGAGAGTGCCAGGACAGATGGGTGGCGGCGCGTGTAGAGGTGTTCCTCGATGTGCGTCACGGAGCCATGTAGATAAACGCAATCATCAATAAAAATGAGAATCAAAGTTGTGTCGAGTCAACTGATGCTTGGCACGACGCGGTGGGGGGGGGGCCTGACTGTGTGCGCACTCGCCTACACGCTTTGGAACAAGCGTCTGCTCTGGGTAACAGTGCACTGCTGTGCAGAGCTCAGAGCTCACGTCTTGAGTCATCCGCCCACCTCAGAAACCGTTGTGCTATAAACAAGGACCTTTTCCAGATAAGTTATATTATTTTAAAGCAGCGTTATTGGCAAATGTATGACGTTCTTTGTTCCAAAATTTGCTTAATCGCTCATTCTCAATGCTGTACCCTTTTCGAATGTCAATAGTTCATGCAGTGGCGTTGACATCACGCTCCCTGGTAGTCTAGTGGTTAGGATTCGGCGCTCTCACCGCCGCGGCCCGGGTTCGATTCCCGGTCAGGGAACATTTTTTGTTTATTATCTTAAGTTTCATTGCAAGATGAATGGCGTTTTCATTTAATATCTGAAATGCATAGTGAATTATCGCAGAATTCGTGGCGATTTGTATCAAGTAATGTGCGTCGTTTGTTGCCACGGTCACTTGGCAAATAGCGCTGCTCTTCGGATGAGATGCGGACTGTGATGGGTGTCGCGCCGTGAGGTCGTGCAGGTTCCCCGAGTGCCCGGTAGAGGGCGCGGATGCGTCGCGCGCAGAGGTACACGGGCACACGTCCGGGGAACTGCTCACAGAGGGACAACGGGCGTAACATTCGGCGCTCTCACCGCCACGTCCTGGGTGCTGTTTTTTGTAAAGGGACACTTTTTTACTCTTTATGTTTAATGTGCTACGTGATACCAAAGTGTAACCGCTTTTGAAATGATAAGCCAAAATGCTCGTTCTCTGACCGGGTATCGGACCCGGGGAGGAGTGGTGAGAGCGCCGAATCCTCACCACGAAACCAGCAGGGAGTGTGGTGGTCTCCCTCCCCGTGTCCTGCCGACCCGCATCATCACCAGCATTCATTATCTACTGCTGAATGAAGGCTCCCCGGACTGTCGCCATCTCTCTGGGTCCCGCGATTCCACAGTCTCAGCCTTGAGATGATTCCACTGCTCCATCTTCACGTCGGCCTTCCTCTCGATCGTGCTCCAGGTGTTGGAGGTGCCGGGACAGGAGGAGACGTGGGGGCCTCTCTGGTGGTCTCGTGGTTAGGATTCGGCGCTCTCACCGCCGTCACCCGGGTTCGATTCCCGGTCAGGGAACAATTTTTTGCTTTTCTAAACCCGTTAAACATTTACTTACTTTGAGAACAAATGTAAACGTTCCTATTATTAAAAAAAACCCGTATTTACTGTGTTCATGTAAAGTTATAGACTTCAGTTATAATTTATAGCGATACATTGACGATTGCTACCGTTCATAGCTCAAGGTTTTCTCTTGTACCGTACAGTATTCAAATGTTGCCATTCGATTATTGATCACTTGGGGGAGGGGGGGCGGTCAAAGAAAGCCCCGGAACTCTTTCTCTGCTGCGCATTTCCTGGGGCCGTGGTCCGAGGGATCCGGGTCCGGGTAGAACGCGTGTTTGAGATTCCTCGTGACAGCAGCGACAGCACGGGTCGAGATTCAGCTCCTGCGACTGTCATCGCGACTCTCTCTATCTATCTTGTCTCAACTTTCGCATATCTCCCTACTCATTGCCCTTATCAGCTTCCGAATCCCGCATCTCGGGCGTTGATTTGCGCTTCTTCCATACAGCCCCTCCCATCGTCGCCTATGTCCCCACTCGCTCAACCTCTGCTCTTTCCTCCGGGCTGCCCCTGGTCTCCTCTCCGCATTCTCTGAGCTCACGCCCTCACAGCTCACGCTCTCACTTCGCTCTCCAGCAGACCCCATGGCTCCCGTGGCTCAGGCCCAGCCGCAGGCCGCGGGGCCTCAGGCGCTTTTGGGGGCCCCGGCCGCGCTGCGCCGCGTGCTTGAGCTCGTCCGCCTGGAGAATCTGGTGGCAGGGGTGAGCGGCGGGGTCCTCTCCACCGTGGCTCTTCACCCTCTCGATCTCGTCAAGATTCGCCTCGCTGGTGCGCGGCGGGGGGGGGCATGGGCCGGGAGCGCGTAAGGGACAGGGTCAGACCGGGGGGTGCCCCGCACACGCTGCCCCATCCGCGGTGGTGGAAGCTGATTTGAGAGCGCGGGTCCGGAACCCGCGACCTCGCTTTCCTCCCTGGCGCTTTTGATGTCCCATTTATCCGTGCCTCCCGATCTCTCCCCTCCGTGTCCCCCTCAGTGAGTGATGGGCTGGCGGGGCGGCCTCGCTACACGGGGCTGGCGCACTGCTTGCGCAGCGTGTGGATGCAGGAGGGGATCAAAGGCCTCTATCAGGGGGTCACCCCCAACATGTGGGGCGCCGGCGCCTCGTGGGGGCTGTACTTCTTCTTGTGAGTGGCAGTTCGCCTTTTGCTCGTCTGCCCCACGCCAGTGCAAGCCAGGGCTTAGAGTTTCTACATTATAGTAAGGGGTAATAATAATGGCATTACCCAGGAAAATCTCACGAAAACGAAGGAATCTTTTTGGAGATAATTATGCATTGGGTTTTGTCATGAATTTGAGTAGTTTTACATGTGAGAGAAAACCCCGCCTCACCGATTAGCACTTGAGCTACGTACGGTGCGAAAGAAGTTCCACATACAATCCACCACGTACATGAGAGGGTTATGCTCAATGCTCCAAACCGCTGGATTAAATCCACTCTTGTGCTTCCATCTCGTGACCACTTCGCGTGGTGGCGGGTTTTAACGATATTTACGCGATCTAACCCCAAAAAAACTATTATGGATGATATTGGTTGCGAAAGCCTACGTCTTAAACTCACTTCGAAGTGGTAGGGCCTCTACTAAGATAATAAACCACAGAACTGGCACACTCAGACGTGGTGAATGCATCTTGCCCTCGGCTGTAATTGATGTTGCGAATGTGCAGTTGGGTAACTGGAAGAAGCCTTCCAGACGGTACCAGTATTCGCCATAGCTATTTGTGTGACTACCGCATTGCTTTATCCAGTTACAACGCCATAAAGGCGTACAAGCAGGAGGGCACGGAGGGGTCGCTCAGCGCCGGGCAGCACCTCGTCTCTGCCGCACAAGCAGGTATCATCCCACTGCATGTTCCACTGTACCCGAATTCAGTCATCCTGTCGGAGATTGAACCTAGACCTAGGGTCATTTACAATTATAATAGTCTAATTTGTAATCAGTTGCAATCGCAGTGTAAAGGTAGTTTCAACTGACAATACCGTACAGTTTTAGATCTAATTATAATTGACCCGAGCTAGGTCTGATCTGAGGCGTGTGTGAACGTCTGGTGTCTCGATGTCTGTGCCTCACGTCCTCGTGCGCTTGTGCGGTGTGGATAGGTGCCATGACGCTGTGCGTGACGAACCCCGTGTGGGTGGTGAAGACGCGACTGGTGCTGCAGTACGAAGCAGGTGGTGGCACGGTGCCCCGGCGCTATCGTGGCATGGTGCATGCACTCATGCTCATCGCACGTGAGGAGGGAGTGCGAGGCCTCTACCGGGTGAGGGGAGCGCTGGCAGACACTACTGAGTGACGGGGGTGCCACCACGACAGGGTGTTCTACCAGAGGGCATTACCAAGTGATTTGAGTGATAGTAGCCACGACTAAGTTGATGATGTATCAGTGGAAGCTGTTGAGTGCATGGAGAACGAGATGAAACTTCGGAATTAAACCACTAGAGCAGGATGATCTTTGAGGGGGCTCAACCAGGAGTTTCAGGGCTGTAGGGCGATCATTGTGCAGTATTGCCAACTTAGCGATTTTGTCGCTAGAGATAAACTTTTTTAGGATTCCCGTGTGGCAAAGCGTTGTCAAAATGATTCACGACAAATCTAGCGACCTTCACTGCACACAAAATTATGCATATGTCGGAGTGATTCCAAGTTTATAATAAAGATCCTGTCTCGGCTAACTAGTGACATTTTGAGGTTAGTTTTGGTGACTGCTTTAAGGAGTAGACACTGCTCTGGTTATGTCAGCAGGCACGTTATTGCTGGACTCCAATATTTAGAGGTGAATTAACACCAGCACAGACCATTGTAAATGTGTGGCCATGGTTATCTCGTGTCGGTTGTCACGTGGAGCAGGGATTTGTGCCGGGCCTAATTGGCACGTCTCACGGAGCGCTGCAGTTCATGGCATATGAAGAGCTCAAGTCTGGCTACAACGTTCGCCGGGGACGGCCGCCCGCCGCCAAGCTGGTGACGCTTGCTAGCATCACTATTCTGCACGCACACATTCTCTTCTCCCACGTCACCGACACTCCAAACTTGTGTGTGCAATATATCGACCTGCCATCTTATTGTAATCATAATTTGGTCTATTTGATAAAAAAATACAGTATGTATTCAAATAGAACATGCAGTGGTGCACAAATACATCAAACATTTTGCCTTTGAAAAGTGCGTGGTTGTCTTCTTAATTTGGGTCATTGCCTGAAATGTTAGCCAACTAACATGTGTTTTGTTATAAGGCAGGGTTAATGATAAACGTGAAGATAATTTATCCGTGTGTCTCGACACCGCTTAAGCGAAACCCCACAAGATTAGGCCATAGCTCCATCTTCCCCTTTGCGCACAGGGATAGTCCGCATGAGGGGTCATGGTGTAAGGTCAGCAAAGGTCGTTTCCTGAACCTGCACGGGTGTCCCCCTCTCCCTCTTAACCCACCCGCCCCTACTGCTAGGAGACGATGGAGTACTTAGGCATGGCGGCACTCTCCAAGCTGTTTGCCGTATCGGCTACGTACCCATACCAGGTGGTCCGGGCACGCCTGCAGGACCAGCACACGCACTACCGTGGCGTGTGGGATGTTGTGAGTCGGGCGTACAGGTGCGTGGGCCACGGAACACGAAAAGTGGGTGGGCACAGCCACCTCCAGAGACACTTAAGTGTTGTGGGAAGGCATGGTGTGCATTGTGGTATGGTACTGTGTGGTAATGTGTCCACAGTGTCGTATGGATGGTATGTATGTTGAACTTCTTTGTATGTTGGGGTATTTTTTAAAGCGTATCATGCTGTGTATTATGGCTTGTGGCATTGGACTGCGTGGCATGGTTTGGTATGTTGTGGGATGGTCTCGTTTTGGTTGTTTTGTGTTATTTTGTAACTTGGTGTAATATGTGTGCAATGGTGGGTGTTTAAAATTGGTATTGTATGCTCTGTGGTACATATGGTGCGGTGTGGTGCTTTATAGAAACGAGGGGATGCTGGGATTCTACAAAGGGATTGTGCCCAACCTCCTGCGTGTCACCCCTGCGTGCTGCATCACCTTTGTTGTCTTCGAAAACGTCTCCAGCTTCCTGTCCACAATGCGGCACTGAGACCTCACAACCCTGACCTCGGGGCCTTTGAGCCATGGGTGGCTGGTACTGGACCGCCCACGAGACTGCAGCGTCGTCACTGGCCAGAGTGGGTGCCACACGAGATCTCGGGCTTGTGTGGCAGCCACAAGACCGGCACGAGACCGATGTGAACAGAGAGTTGAGTGGCGCTGCTTACTTATAGCTTGCACTGCTGGTGGGACGCTCGCTGTAGGGCGCAATGCCTTTTGAGGCTAGTCAAGACAGGTGGAAATTATCGCTGAAACGCACAACTCAAGATTGTCTGGGGTTGATATTTTCTGTATCCTTTACCTCCGTACGCCTGTGATGAACCCAATCAACTCGCCAAACTAAGGCACTTTTCAGCTGTAATTTTTGGCAGTGGTGTGTTGGCTGCTATTTTCGTGTATGTTGTGATGTAGCAATTGGTGGCTGATGGTTGCGGCCTTGTGTGGTGCAAGGGTACTTCAAAGTAAGTCCTAATAGCACAACCCCTGGAGAGAGCATGCTTTTCTGTGACAGCACATGCCCATTGTGTGACTGAGTGCCAAGGGCTGTGCAGCTGTCCTGCGACACATGCTGCTGCACCCCAGCCACTGAGCTGACAGCCATAGATTCAGTACAATTCTATTTAACCTATTTTGTAATTGAAAATTTTAGCGCACTTGGCTTCCATCAATAAGTATATTTTAAATCTGTTTGTAAATCACCCTTAATTTATCTTTGACTTTAGAGTGTGTGCGGACTCGTAACTCATTATATCAAACTGCCCGTATTAATTTCAGGGCTATGTGAAAGTGATCGAAAACGCCCTTTCACGTGTAGGCGGTGGAGGGGAACGATTCTAAACACTAAAGCTGGACACTCTTGGTCCTGCAAATTGCTGTTGTCATACACAAAATATGTATGTATAAGCGTCTGATCTGTAGACGCGCCTTCTGCGTCAATGCCGAGTTGTATGCTCGCGTGTTTTGGTAATAAACGTGGAATTGCCGACCCGGCACACGCGGTGTTTGTTCATCGTTGACCTCTGATCCTGCGTGCTTGGCTTCTAGTAAACCGGAGTTTGTGAACTGGCACGGAGCGTGGCGAGAGCGTGGCGTGCGTACTGAGAGTGCGAACATTTTTTCCAGGAGGGCATCTTTGAATAAGTTTCTCAGTATGAGAAGCAAAATAAGGGGTGTTTGGATTTCCAAGACAGGTCTATCGTGGAGCGCGCAGTAGGAGGAGCCACAAGCGTACTGGGGTCTCTGAACGTTGCTGAGAGAGTGCGAGGGGAGACGTTCTGAGTATGGAGATAATAACGTAAAGAAGAGTTAAGTGGCCTTGGCCAGCACATTACTAGAAGGGATGAGGATAGCCGGTGACGAAACTAAAACGTTCATAAGAGGTTTTTGGGTGAGATCGCGTAAATGTGTTGTTAAAACCCGCCACCACCCGACACAGCCAACTAGTAAGGGTTGTCACGTAAACAGAACATGCCAATTCGTCATTAGTTCGGCACACCGGTGTGTTGGAGATCCAAGCCACAACATTTACAATCTGAGTACGACGTTTCACCAGTAATTACAACTAGCTTCATCAGGCGACAGCCAGATTTGTGGAGAAGTCTTACTGTTTCGTTCCTTAGAGGCGTAGATGTGTTGATCACCCTTCTGCGCTCCTGCACATTGATAGGGGGGATTACTGAGGCAACGTACATTATGCATGTGCATTATGCTTTCGCCTGATGAAGCTAGTTGTAATTACTGGCGAAACGTCGTACTCTGTAAATGTGGCTTGGCTCTCCAACACACCGGTGTGCTGTACTAGTGACGAATTGGCATGTTCTGTTTACGTGACAACCCTTACTAGTTTGGCTGTGTTGGGTGGTGGCGGGTTTTAACGACACATTTACGCGATCTAACCCAAAAAAGCTCTCATGGATGAAATTGGTCACGAAAGCCTACGTGTTAAACAAAAACGTCGTTGTAGCCATAGAACGAAACGCACCCAGGAGGTACTTTCTTTTCAGAATTAGAGCGACGAATTCAGCTCGGTATATTGTTACAGCGCATGACTGTGCAGGGTGGAGGAAGCTCTAGCAGTGGACAGAGCACGACTACTGGTGATGAGCGGCACGTGACGTGCACGTGAGGCTCGTCGCGTTTCCTGCATCCGCTAGGCCACGCCCACCGTTCCCGGAGCAGCCAATGGGAACCGCGCGAGCGTGAGTCACGTGCTGCACGGGGGACCAATTGTTGCGGCGCGCGCGGGCTGCGGGACCGTAGGGTGGCGTCGTCGGTGACGTCGCTTGCCATGGCGGCCTGAGCGAGGAGCGACGGTCGGAGACGCCGCGGGAGCCGAGCCGGGGGGGACCGCGAGCCGAGCCGAGCCTGAGCCTACGCGCCTCCAGCTCTCGCAGCTCTCGGCGGCCGCAGTCGCCTCCTCGGCGCCAAGCCGCCCCGCGCTTCTCTCCTCGGTGCGAGAGCGGCTCGCGAGGCCCCGCGCACGTCACCGCTGTGGTGCTAGTGGTGTTGCCCCGGGGAGGCGGCGACTAACCCGTGGAGGCGAGCACGCCAAAGGGGGTGGCCGAGCGGGGCGTGGGGATAACGGGGAGAGCGGTGCGAGGAGTGAGCAGGGAGAGCGAGGAGGAGGAGGGAGTGGAGAGGCGTCGGGGTTGGGAATAACGGGGAGGGCAGGGCAGGAAGGTTGGGAATAGCGGGAATGGACTGGGGCGGTGGGGAGACTGAGAAACCGGGAGACATCACCGCGTCTGACGTTGTAGGGAGCGAGTGGCTGTGAGGAGGTTGCGAGTTGGGTTTGGAGGCCCTTTGCCGTCGTTGGGGCTCCGCCTCTGCGGCGCGGAGTGGCTCCGTTACCCCGACCAAGGCCCGGCTTGCCGAGCCTCGAGCAATGGAGCCCGTCAGGCCACGGGGCTTTAAGCCGCGTTTCCCTCTCTGCGTTCTCGTCATGTGTAACCCGTGCCCTGTTTCCGTTGCCCTGTGTTGTTGCCAGGATGGTGCGGCGCGGCGCGCGGGTGGCAGGCATGAGCGTGCCCGACTACACGCAGGCAGCCGAGGAGCACCAGAGCCTGCTAGTGCTGGTGCAGCCCGTGGGGGTGCTGTCGGAGGACGCGTTCCAGCGCGTCTTCGACCGCGTGGCCGCGCTCACCCAGGTGGGCACGCGCGACTCGAGCCGCGCGGTATGCGTGCGCTACCGCCGGCACTACCCGCCTGACAACAACCACTGGGGGGACTTTCAGACGCACCGCAAGGTGGTGGGGCTCATCGGGGTGGCGGAGTGCGCGTCTGCGCAGCGATGGCCGCACACCTTCGAGAGCTTCCAGCAGCTGCGCACCGTGCACGCGCACTCGCTCTTCGACTCGCGGCTGTTGGTGCTCGGCATCAGCGGAGATGCGGCTGAGCAGCCGCGCTCCGACGTGGTGTTCTACCGTGACGCGGACTCGTGTGACGGCCTGGAGGCCCGCGTGGAGGAGTTCGTGGGGTCCCTCTTCATCGTGCTTGAGTCCAAGCGGCTTGACCGCGCCAGCGAGAAGTCCGGTGACAAGATCCCGCTGCTGTGCGTGCCCTTTGAGAAGAAGGACTTCGTGGGGCTGGACACGGAGAGCAGGTGGGCGGTGATGCGAGAGTGGCCACGACTCGTGCAAATTGTGCGGTACAGCCTTGGCTGTTCTTGGGTGTGGGTGTGTCAGTCAACTTGGCTCTTTGGAATGCTTGTGAGCAGACTTGCCCCATTACTATCTAATTTTGGTAACGAGGGAGGTCTCGTTGAATCATTGCATCAGCCAGCTCTGCCATTTTGAAACAGTGATTGTTGACTATCGTGGTTCTTCTCAGTCAGATTGCAAGTTTACTACAGCCGGCCTGGTTGAATACAGATTGTGTACTGCGTAAAAATATTGTGTCATGAGAGCGTTTAATTAAAATTGTAGCCCAAGCACAGCCCACTGAAGTCTGCGTGTGGAGTCATGTCAAGTTACTGGCTCCTAATTGCGAGTCATTATTGAAAAACTTGTTCAAGTCTCATGTTTAATTATTCACCTCCGTGTGTTTATAGAGCATCGAATTGCACGTATATTGGTACTGGCTGTGCGTCTCGTGGCTGGTCTGGCATATGTTAACTTTTGAACCCGCTTTGGGTTCCAACATTTAAGTCTCGTTCAGAGTCGCTGCCTCTTGCTGACAGTGTGACTGTGATGGGTTGGTGAGATCGCGCTGTTAGCCAGGGTCACGGCGTATATGTTCTACTCTGCTCTTGGTTGGGCACTAACTGAGCCAAGGGATGCAGTGACTGCTGACATTTCCAGAGCAGTGTTGCCAAGTCCTTAAATTGGAAAGTCGCCAAACCTGGCGTCGTTCATTGAGGCTCTGTCGTCCCGACAGGTCTGTTCCTTTCGCCTGAAGACGGCCGCTTGCGTTGTGGCCGAAACGTCGTGTTTTTTGTTGTTTTATTTTTTACCTACGTGACTTTACCGAATAGAACCAAAGAGTATGGATCCTTGCAGTCACGAAAGCTTCAAATCTAGAAACCTCATAAGTCGCTAGATAGATCTCTAAAGTCATAATCATTTCTTATATAAAACTAAACAAGTATTAAACATACGTAGACTGATACAGGATCTCCAATACCACCTGGAATCGCTTTTAAATTTGTTTCTTGTCCTCGTGTCGGAAAGTCGCTGTTTGTTGCACGTCGCTTTGACAATTTTTTGCTACTCCGGATATCCAAAAAGTCAGGAGATCTCATGAAAAAATTGCTAAGATGGCAACACTTGTTTAATCACAAAGCTCGATAGCAATCAGTGACCCCAACGCCTGTCCCCCCCACCCCGCTCATCAGCAAGCACTCGCGTGTGCGAACGTCACTGTCAATGGCGTGGGTTAAAGGGTGCACTCATCAGCCACCCGATTACATTTTAATCGGCTCAGTCTGCGTGAGCGGCTTTGCCAGTAACTGGTGACGTCGTGCATCGTATCATAAAGGTGTTCTTTGGCACAGACTTGACCACGTGTCTTCACAATTAAGGTTGGGTGGCTTCTAGAGGTTATTGGGTTCCATGCGGATACCTCATTTGCATTCTTCGACAACAGTTCCCTGTTATGGCTGTGCACAATGCCCCATTGTTTATAAACGTGTTGGAGTGTAAACAGTGTGTGTGTTTATGTTCCCGGTATCGGGAGCGGTGGCTCAGTGATCAGTGCACTACGCTACAAACTTGACGACTCGCGTTTGATTCCCGCTCACGGCCAACACCAGTGACGATTATTTGAATCATCCCTGGACCTCCGCTAGATCGACTCAGCCTCAAATGAATACCTGGCTCAGTGTGTAAACATCGCTAGTAGGGAGACAAAGACGGCCGGACGTGTTGCTGGCCACCCACTTCCTCGTGTGCCGTGGCGTCCTTCATAGGCGCTCAATAACAGCACTTGCTCCAACAGTCTGTTAAGGTTACACGGGGGATCCTTGTCTTTGATGTGACGCTCACGGTGCTCACCTAGGTCAATGAGCAGCTGCTGTGCAAGGTTTGTCGTGAAGCTTACGACCTAATTTCCCTGAAGACCCTAAATGTGTCAGATCTCGATAGTCTAGCAGGCTTTGAGCCTGGTTTGTATTTGGATGGGAGACTATCTTGAGCTGCAAGATGCCAAGCAGATGACAATACAAGTTAAGTATTATTTAATCTATTTGCGCAGAGTTTTTGGTTTTATCCTCGAGTGGCGTTTCTCCAATTACCCTTGTTTCCTTCCACAAACCAATCTCTCTTTAGTGTAATTATTAAATAATTAGTTTGTGGTTTGTGGCTAGATTTATAATTTTCTGAAGAACTGAAGGGAATTATTTTTAAGCCAATGTGTCTTCTATTAAGCTTTCAGTCATAGGGCTGTGTAGACTGAGTAGCATCCACCGCAATCTTTGCCCGTCAGAGCAAAGGGTCTGGTTTCATGACGCGGCACAGTGTGTGGCACGACCTTCGTGCCGGCCAGCAAAACACAGGAGCATTCATCTCCAACGCGTTGGCGGTAAGAGCGTCTTGGCTGTACCGTTTCACTGCGTGGTGCTCGCTTTCAGGAATTACCGCAAGCGCTGTCAGGGCCGCATGCGCAAGCATGTGGGTGACCTGAGCTTGCAAGCCGGTATGCTGCAGGACGCCCTCGTCAACTACCACATCGCCGTGGAGACGCTGCGCTCCATCAACGACTTCCTCTGGCTCGGGGGTGAGACTGCTCTCCGCCACGGGCACAGCACCCGCACCCTGGCCACACCGCACCCTCCCCCGTCCCTCACAGCGTGCGGCTTGCAATACGCGTGGCATGTACCACGTTTGGCCCGGTTGCGTGTGGCAGGGTTTAAAAGTAGGCGGTGTGCAGACCATCTGTGGCCAATGAAGCCTCTTGGAAAGATTCGGCTAGCCAAAACATAAAGACAGGTAGAGATGAGAGAGTTGGAGAGAAGAGACAGATTAGTGTTTACATGTACAGGTGTAGCAATGTCACGTGGCCCGCCACCACACGCTACTTTCATCACGTGACTTGGAAAATTGAATTGAAGAACCCTGCTGATTGACATTTACCATTTCCATCCTGTATCATGGGCAGCCTGTGTTCTGTAACACATGTATGGTGTGCCATCTATGGACTGTATTACTAGCAATGTGTGTAATATGTAGCCCACGAGTGTCCCGCATGTAATCGCGTTGCGCACGCCCGGTGGTTGATATGCCGTCTGCATTCCGTTCTGCCCCCGTTTGCGCCGCACGCAGCGGCCCTGGAGGGCCTGTGCGCCGCCTCTGTCATCTATCACTACCCCAACGGCACGGGGCCCAAGCCAGCCCCTCGCAAAACCTCGGGGGCACTGGCTCCACCAGACGGAGACCGCAAGCAGCGGTCAGGTATGTGCTAAGCTGTGAGGGCCCAAGGGTCACATGGGCGGTCGGTCAGATGCGGTTTCTGAGGGTTGTCAATGTCCAGGAGTTGTTGGCCGATTTGATCAGGACACCAGCTCTGTGTCTTTAGTGTTTGGACTTGTTCAGCTCGAGCTATGGGTGTCTGTGTATTTCTGTCATGTGGAGGCTGCAGGTGTGTGTGTGTTGTGGCTGTATTATGTTTGTACTGTGTGTGTGCTACGTATGTGTGTGTGTGATGTGTCTTTGTGCTGTACTTTGTCAGTACGACCTGTGTATCTATGCTGTCTTTTGTCTGTACTATATAACTGTCTGTGTCAATGCTATCTATTTGTTGTGTGTGTGCCATTTCTCAATGCTGTGTCTGCTCCCCCTTGCGTCTCCACCGTCTGTTTCCCTTTCCATTAATGCCGCCACTGCTCTGCGTGTGTCATAGGTGCTCAAGAGCTGCTCATTGACCCAGGTGAGCACCGTCGGCGCTGTATTGCCACTGAGCTTGAAATCGTTCGTTGATTTTCACGTGAGGTTCCCGCTGCACGCGTTGTTCTGGATGTTTCCCACGGCCTCGCTGGTGCCATTGTTCTCCCGTGTCTCCCCGCTCCAGCTTCTTCATGCTTAACTCACCACGGCCTGTACCCTCCCTGCATGTATATATGTATGTGCTGTGGATTTGTGCTTGTGTGTGGTTGTGTGTACGTGTGCATGGCCTTGCGTGCTTGCAACCAATGCCATGTAACCCACCTGCCTGCACAACCCTGCTTGGCCTCGCACAACTGCTGGCCCGTCCACCCTTACCCCCACCACTCCCCCCTTATCCCCACTCCCCACTGTAACCCGCCCCCACCGACCGCACCTCTTTCACGTAACTCGCGCTTGTTTGTTGCTGTGAAACAGGAACACTGACGAGTAACGGGCTGAGCGCTGATCCCAGCACGGAGATTGGCCGAACCAAGAACTGCCTGAGCCCGGACGAGATTGTGGAGCGATACCGCGAGGCCATCGGCTTCTACGGGAAGGTGCGAGCGTCGGTCCACGCAAGGGAGCATTGCCAACACCGTATGGGTGTGGACATCAGCACTGAGTTGTGCGGTCACTTGTGAGGACCAGAGCTTGCGCAATTTGTCGATGAAGTTTATTCATCAAGAAAAGTTTGTAATCAACTTCTTCCTTAAGTAGTTGATTACTTCCTTAGGTAGTTGATTACTCGGACCTTTTAAGAATGATGACCACCCCGAACATCCTGCTTTCGGAAGGCGGGAACCCCCTACAAGTCGGGTCCAGTGTGACACGTTTAATGATGCTGATCACGTTTCCCAGCCCCGCCCATCACTTCTTGTCCAATGGCACACTTGAGAGCAGACACGAAGCTTTATTTGACCTTTTGCCTGTCACTCGATTAGCCGAGTAATTAACCGATAAACAGCAAATTGATAACTTAATTAATCCAATAGTACAGCTGTCGTTGTCAAGCATATGCACATCCCGGCCCTGCTGCTCCACCGCCAGCCCTGCGAACCGCCAAATCGCCTCACGTGTGGTCGTGTGTAGTTCAAGTTGGCGAGCGTGGTGGAGCTGGAGGCATGCATCAAGGTGGTGCGCGTCCTTGCACTGCAAAAGAAGCGCATCGAGGCCTCGGACTTCCTGCAGAACGCGGTGTACATCCACACCGGGGTGGTGAGCCTTACCGCTCGCGCCGACCAAAAACGCAGTACACCCACAACCCCAGCGCAGCAGCTACAACTGGAGTGCGGCCTCGGCCGTACTCACACTCTCTCTTGCACATCATAAGCGCGTCGAATTATGTTTGTGTTAAATGCAAATGATAGGCTAATGCAGAGTTGTTCAGTTTTGTTTTCTGACGGACCGAATTATAACACTTTAACCCCTGAAATTGATTCTGGGGTCTGTATACTACATATTATTGGAACCCCTCTATGAATAGTTTAACTCCCAGCCAGTTTGGATCATCATTTTTTTCTTATAACCTGAATTATATTGGGAGTCAACATATTAGTCTTCAAATTAGTCTTGTGACTTAATGTTGCCAAAAGCCAATGCGAACAACGTTGTAAAATCCTTGGGCAGGCGCCTCTATATAGTAATAAGTTCATATTCTTTGGTTATTTCGGTAAAGTCACGTAGAAAAATTATAATAAAGTGAGTAAAAATCATAAAAATAAAAACCACGACATTTCGATCGCAACACAAGCGGTCGTCATCAAGAAAATGGGGTTAGCCTCTAAAGGCAAACTGTTTATAAAGGTTTAAAATGGGCATAGCCCAAGTGTCAGATTGCTCCGTTTTGAATTAGATATTTTAGATAAGACTGCTCCGTTTTGAACTAGATATTTTAGATATGACTCTCCTGAAATCACACTTAACATTGACAGAAAAAATGTCTACATCTGATTAGGAGCATTTAGATAACATGACAGACTCTTCAGCCGCCTCAGTGTCAGCTAAATGCAAAAATAACCTGATTTCCAAGTTCAACCTCCTGTCCAAGAAGAAGCCAGATCCACACATTAAAAAGTTAGACGTTGACACGATTGTTATCAATCAGAGTAACAGTCCAATTTCTGACAGCCTAAAATCGGTTCTAGCTAAAGGGTTGAATTTCGCAGTCACCCCTAAACACATCCCAGTAGATGATATCATTGCCCAGGTCGACGTAGCCTTTAAGGGTTTGGGACACAGTACTGCAGGCGTGGCAAGATCGGAAATCGCTGCAATCCTCAAAAACGCGAAGACACCTATCAGCAACATCGTCATCCCCTCAGCCGACAAGGGCAATGCCACAGTCATCATGGACAAAACCACATACAATAACAAAATTCAGGACCTACTTTTAATGATGTTAGCTATACAAAAATTAAAAGAGATCCCACCAACAGCCTCGTTACGAAAACCAACAATATCATCACCGATTGGACATCTTTAATCGAACCAACCAAGCGGTTTTCCTTAAAACTCTCTGCTGCTAGACCACCCAGTTTGTATGGCTTACCAAAAATCCATAAAGAAGGGACACCCCTTCGTCCTATCGTCTCCACCATTGACTAACCCACCTACAAACTGGCCCGATTTCTGTCTGAGACCTTACAATTAAGCTCACTTGGTATCGTTAATTAAGGACATCTCACTATCTCCAGGTGATTTGCACATTCGTTTCGAAGTAGTCTCTGTGTTTACCAAAGTTCCTGTGCCCGACACCATTACATTAATTGAAGAATTGGTCCAACAAGGACTGAATGCTGATGTACCGGCCCTGGTGAGACACTGCCTCACCAACACTTACTTCACCTGCAATGGAACATTCTACAAACAAGTTGAAGGTACCCCAGTGGGTTCTCCATTATCTCTGGTTGTAGCCAATATTTTCATGAAAAAATTTGAGACAGATGCCATCCAGGCATCCCCACTTTACATCCGTCCTTGTGGAATAGGTACTTAGATGAGACGTTTGTCATCTGGCCACATGGACGACTGGTTCTGAACCAATTCCTCAACCACATCAATTCCATACACCCAGCCGTCAAATTCACCATGGAAGTGGAAAAGGATGGCAAGCTACCATTCTTGGATGTTTTAATCAATAAGAGACCAGATGGCTCAATGGGACACTGTCTACAGGAAAGCCACTCATACGGATGCCTATCTAAAGCCTGACTCCCACCACCATCCATCCCAGAAGAATTCCCTCATCAAAACTCTACACCATAGAGCTCGATGCATTTCCGACCATCATCACCTAGCCAGTGAACTGGAACACGTGCACCAAGCTTTCAAAATGAATGGATATTCAGACTACACAATCAGTAAAGCTATCACCCCAACCGTTGGGAAAGAACCCAATCAAAACCATCACCTTGCCATACATAGCAGGGGTCACCAAAAGATTTCCAAAATCATTAACAAACACAAGATCCAGGTTCGATTTAACACAGTACATACAATTCGTGATCTGATCCCGTCTGTGAGGGATGTGATCCCTGACATGCAATATCCCGGCGTCTACGAACTAAGCTGTGTCTGCGGCAGTCGTTACATTGGGGAAACTAAGCGACATGTCTCGGACCGTGTTCGTGAACATAAGGCAGATCTGAAACACAGTAGGACCAAATTTCGATTTAAAGCTTTCGTGACTGCAATGATTCATCTTCTTTGGTTCTTTCGCTAAAGTCACGTAGAATGAGAATAAAATAATAAATTGATAAAATAAAATAACACAATAATATTCTCACGACGTTTCGGCCACAACACAAGCGGCCTTCATCAGGTGAAGGGACGAGACTGTCTGGTAGGACAGCGCTGGAGTGAAAGAGCCACGTTCAGATCACGACCTTTAAGCTGTGTGAGAGGAAACAAAGCGCCAATACCTCGGCCGTGGCTGATCATTGTTTGAATGTGGTGGGCTCACACGAAATTGATTTCTCTAAGACGAAAGTACTTTGCAAACCCACTGGCTATCAACAAATATTTGTTCATGAATGCATCTATATATAGACAAAGACACAATTTCAACCGAGAAGATTGGTATTAACGTGGCAATCCTTGGAAGGACGTTATCAACCAGTTTAAGTCATAACTGGCTGTGATCACTTCCTGCCACCTTCCGATGTAAAAAAAAAATTCCCCCATGGCTTCGAAGCTCCGATTTCACATTAGCAGGTTGCATTTCTCGCGTCAACGTGGCCACCTACGGACGCCGACCTCTGCATCACGGGGCTCTGTGATCTTGCATTAACATGCTAATCTCTCACATTAACATAGCCACCCACGCACTCGTCGTGAACGCCGCTCTCCGATCTTACATTAACATGCTAATTTCTCACATTAACATCACTAGCCCCGCCCACTTCGTTTAGACCCTAGGACTACACCCTATAAAACATTCTGCATTCAGCAGCTTTCTTCCTGATGACGATCGCTTGTGTTTTGATCGAAACGTCGTAGTTTTTTGTTATTTTCTTTGAACTATCTACGTGACTTTATCGAAAGACCCAAAGAATACAGGTAGAGTCCACATTTATTGTACCATCTTCTGACAAGCTAGGGTATAGCACCTCGACGCCCACGGGAACTGCAGACGTGCATAGGCACCACAACCCAGCTGCGGATGATGGGGGGTATGGAGGTGAGAGAGTAATATTGCTCAACTAGAATTCGTACCCCATGGTTAACGTTCTTTTAGAAGCATGCATTGAGAATATTTAGATGATTTTGGTGTTATAAATGTCGACGTGATGGGCCACTTTGTTGAGCTATCATTAGTTGCCAGGTCGCTTCTGAAAAATAAGTCAATACCTCAGTGGGCTTTGCCTGGTAGAATGGGGATGGCTTCGTTTTATTTGTATATTTTTGGGTGATTTGTTTACCTTTCTTGCACTTTGCTCTATTATCGTATTTTTGTACTGTTTGCTGTTGTAACGTTCTTACCTGCCCCTACTGGACATCTGTAAAAAAGAGCTTTATAGCTCATGGGATTCCTCCAGAATAAATAAATATTCTGATTCTGAAAATACTCTGTCTCACACTGAGCAGTCGGAGGAGGAGCGGATCCAGCGGTTTGCGGCGCTCGCTGACCTTTACGACCTCATCGGCTTCCGCCGCAAGGCGTCATTCTTCAAACGCGTGGCGGCCATGCAGTGCGTTGGGCCGCACGTGGCCGAGCCGGGCTGGAAGGCGTGCTACCGCCTACTGCTGGACACTCTGCCTGGATACAGCCTCTCGCTCGACCCCAGCCACTACAACCAGGGTCAGCGAGCACGTAGGGGTAGCCGCGCTGCCACCGCCACGTCAGCACTTGGCCGCGCGGGCTCATGGTGCAGTTGTGCCAACGTGCAATCCGTCTACAGTGCGATGTGTAAACGCTGTTCACTGGGAAGATGGAGGCAGCTAGACGTTTTACTGGCCACACCACCTGCTCGTGAGCTGTGGTGACTAATTGGCACTCACTAACGGTACCTGCTTCAACAGTTTGTTTAAGACACTATGGGAAATGTTTGTTCCTGTGTGCACATATACCAATTTTGGTGTGCGTTTGTACGTTCGGTTTCGTAATTGTTCTCGCGTACATGACTGTGCACGTGTTAAAATGTATACCAGCGTGTAGGTGCGTTCCTACGTGTCTGTGTGTATTGGAGTGCTTGTCTGTACCAATGTTTACGCACATTCCTACGCTTGTTGTAGGTCTGCACCAGGGGTGGCCGGCTGTGCAGCTGCGTGTCCTGCACGAGTTGGTGTACGCGTCCCGCCGCATGGGAAACCCAGCGCTGGGTGTGCGGCACATGTCGTTCCTGCTGCACACCATGCTGGATTTCTTGTCTGAGCAGGGTACCTCCACACACCCTGCCAACACTGAACCCTCATCCCAACCTCCACACACTCCTCCAATACCTTTCCATCATTTTACCCTCCCTATACCCCACAACATCCATGTCTTAACACCTCACCCAGTGCAGCCCTAACCCGAAAACCAACACTTATCTTCCCTCACATCCAGGTGTCAACGTTCAGTGCGAACACTAATCCCACCTCACACACCTTACTCTGCCTCTCTCACACACACACACACTCGAGCATTAATTACGAATCTACCCCTCACACACGCGCACGACATGCACCCCTAACCCCACCTCGCCCCCATGCGTGAAGGTTGCGCCTCATCTGTGACTGCGCTGCTATGCCCGTACGTGCGAGTGTAGAGAAAAAGGAGGTGAGCCAGGTGCTGGAGACTTATACAGCACGCTGCCCTGGCCACACCGCCACCATCGATGTGTGGGAGGGTCTCGCCATCCCCGCCGTGCCGTTCACACGGCTGCCCATTGTCCGGTAGCGTCCAAATGCGCCACACACGTACACACACACAAAGACTAAGACACACGCACGCACTGGCTGTCATTTGGAGACTTGCAAACAGCACTTAGACTTCCAAGCTGTGATGGCTACAGGGAATTTGTGTGTTCACGTGTGTGTGTCCCCGTACAGATCCCTGAAGCCCCTGAACCTGCCTCTGACCCTGCGCCCAGAGAGGCTGAAGGGGCGCGAGGGGCACGGGACCCCTGTCAAGAGCAGCCCCTTCATCTACTCTCCCATCGTGAGCCACACGCGGCGCGACCCCAACGACAACCCCAACAAGATTGGTACAGGCACACACACAAGCACGTATACACACACATCTACATACATACACACCTGCATACATAGGCACATACAAGACATTGATCCAATTTTAGCCTTACCAGACTTTTGAGGCAAGTGCTGTTAGCGAGCACCTATGAAGGTCGGCACGGAACATGAGGGGGTGGGTCGCTAGCACCACGCCTGTCCACCTTTTTTTCCCGAGTGGCAATGTTTACACACCGCACTAGGTACTCATTTAATGCTGAGTAGACCTGGGAGAGGCCCAGGACCAGTTCAGACAATCACCACTGGTGGTCGCCGTGAGTGGGAAGGGAACTTACTTAGCTGGGTTCATAGCACAGTACGTTAACCGCTGCAATACCACTCCCCATTACAGACACACGTACATCAAAGATCAAAGATCCCCCATATAGCCTTAACAGACTGTAGGGGCAAGTGCTGTTAGCGAGCACCTATTAAGGCCGGAACGGTACACGAGGGGGTGGGTGGCCAGCACCACGCCCGACCGCCTTTGTCTCCCTAGTGGCAATGTTTACACACTGCACCAGGGAGTCTTACTGATTTGAGGCTTAGTCGACCTAGGGGAGGCCCGGGACCGGTTCAGATAATCGTCACTGGTGTTGGCTGTGAGCGGGAATCGAACCTGGGTTGCCAGGTTCATAGCGCAGCGCGCTCACCGCTACACGTACATATGCACACACTCAGACGCACACACAGATGCAAGAATACGTACACACGCACATCGTATGGAGAATCAGTTGTAGACAATTGCATGCTGACGGCTAACTTCATGCCCCGCATGTTGTGCGCGACAGATTTCCAGTGGGTGCAGGGGGACGTGTGCGAGGTGCAGCTCAAGGTCTACAACCCCATGCCATTTGAGCTGCGCGTGGAGAATGTGGTGCGGAGGCCTCCCACGCACCCCCCCAGCCTCTACCGTGGCTCAGCTCCCCACCCCGCAGCCAGCACCCACCAGCCCCAGACTCCTACTCCTCCACAGCCCTCCCACCCTGCTCCTGCACTCCCAACCACCTCTATTCAATCCCATCCCTCCACAGCCACCCACAGGAGTGCTGGGATGTACAGTTCTCCGCTGAGCTTCGTAGAGTTGATACTAAGAAGCACGGCGTTGACATGTACACGTGTTTGGTCAGTGTATTGCGGTAAGAACTTGGCTAGCAGATTTCGATTCCTGCTCTATACCAATGATGGTGACGAATATCTGAACTGGTCCTGGGCCTCCTTTAGGTCAAATCAGTCTTTAATGAGTACCTAGTGCAATGTGTAGCATTGGAGAGACAATGGTGGCCAAGTGTGCTGCTGGCCACCCACCCCCTCGTGTACACACACGAGTGTGTGTGTGCAACATAAGCCCACACACAGTCTAAATAGGGGATCTTTGTATATGAGTGTGTGTATGTATACAAGCGTGTGTGTGTTTGCTGTAGGCCCTACTAACGTCTGGAGTTGAGTTCGAGTCCCTCCCTGCAGCTCTGTCTCTGCCAGCAGAGTCCGGCCTCTACCCCGTCACCCTGGTCGGGGTGCCGAAGACAACCGGCCAGATCACCATCCAGGGTGACCCAACCACAACACACGCTAACCTCAACACTCCTCAGTACACGCTCAACGCACAAGCTTACCGTAATACGCACACATCACATGCTTACCACAACACACTCCACTACACACACCTCAATGCACAACATAGCAACACATGCTCACCACAATACACTGCAGTTCACAAAGCGCAACGTGTACAACAACACGTACATCATAATGTGCATTCCTCGCAACACATGCACGATAGTCTTTCGCTAGTCTTCTTTCGTATGGATTCATAGCAGCATATTTTAAGATGTAATTTTTTATTTGTTATCCACTCAATTGTCTGTTCAGGTGCAGAGTGGATCTTGCCCGTTACTCCTTTAAAGGAGTGAAGACAGCAGCAGCTGTTTAGAATGTGGCCAATCGTTTGGGATTCGTGGCCGCACTCGCAGACCGCTGAATCTTCGATGCGCCATTTGCGCATCAGGTGGCAACCGCATCGGCCATGCCCGGTCCTGATTCAGTTGATGGTCGACTGTTGGCGGCGTGAAAGGTTGAAACCTGCGGGAGGGTCGACGGTAGTAGGGTCCTGTACGAGATGTTTCTTTTTGACGTTGGCCGCAGTCCAGACTCGCTTCCATCTCTCGCCTTCATTTGTATCTGTGGCGCGGAATGAGGTTGCAGCGATTCAGAAGAGGTGGCGTGATTTTGGGCGAACAGGCGGCACTGTCAATTTACCTAGAGGAGATGCAGCTCTAAGTGGAAGAGGTATTGCCCAGAAAAACCATGGAGTAAAACGCAGTGCGGAGTGAACTCCGGTGAAGCGCGGTTCTGTGTCTCATCGCTGCTGCGTGGTACTGCACAGGCTACGAGACTACCGTGTTTGGGGTGCGGTCGCGCTGCGAGGTGGCTGACCTGGCGCTGGGCGCCGCCGCCTCGCCAGGAGATGGCGTCGGGGCAGAGGAGCCGGCGATGAAGGGGAAATCCATCGCGGGCGCCTGCGAGGTTGTGGTGGTCCCAGCTCTGCCGCTCCTACAGATCTCCACGTCGCTGTCACGGTACGAATCTGCTCGTGACCCCGCGGTGACCCCACACCCACCTTCGGGGTTCTTTCCTTTCAGACTTCCGAGAGAAGGCACATTCACCGTGCTGGGCTTCATTTCATTGGTAGACTGGAGTAGGTGGAACGGAATTAGTAACCACAGCTTTAGCGAGAAGTTTACTGGATGTGGTGTGCTCGATCCAGTCGTGTTGTATGGGTATCTGATCACAGATACTTGAACAGGAAAAGGTCAGGACGGTGTGTGAGAGTCTTCTCTGTGTGGCTGTGTGTGAATGGTTGAAAGTCGACTTGAATGATTTGGACATGTGGTTACAAGAGAGGAAAACCACACGGGGAGAATAAAGGTGATGAACATTGGAGCGCCATGGCGGAGACCCGAGAAACAGGCATAGAAAGAGGTCGATTGAAGAGGTGACCTGGGATATGAAGAAATGGAGTGAATGTGGAGATGATAGCCCAGGACACACTTTCGTCGCGAAAGGAGGACCAGGAAGGCAGAGCCCACATGAGTGACAGTAATGCCAGGAAGAAGAAGTAGTTCAGTTTATGAGTTTGGCTGTGTGTGTGTGGTGCCGTTTGTGTACGTATAAGTGATTGTGACAGCCACGCGTGTGGTTGTCTTCGTGAGTGTGGCTTTGTGAACCTTTGCGTGCGATTTCGTGACTGATTTTGCCATTGCGATTTTCGTGGCTGCGCGCTACAGGGCGGCCAGCTCCCTGAGCCCGACGGCAGGGGAGGAGGTGGCCGCGGGCAGCATGTGCGTGCGCGCGTTCAACGGTGAGCCGCTCTCCGTCACCGTGCGCATTCGCAACATCGGCAAGGTCGCCGCCGAGACCCTGGAGCTGCAGCTCACGCCGGCGCAAAGCAGAGGCACGTCCGGCACACGATCCCCACCGATCCACAATGCCACCAATACAGGGATTAATGGGGAAACATGATTGTTTCTCTGCGGAAAAAGAGAGACCCGTAGTCGCGTGTATTTGTGCCTGGTCCCTGTTGTGTGCTCTGCTTGTGGTGGGCGTGGTGTTGTGGTTGTGTGTAGTCCTGTGGTTGTTTTTGTGTGTGCTTGCTGTGGTTGTATGTGTGAGCATGTGTTTATTGTTTTGTGGTTGCATGCACATGCTCTAGTTATATGCTGTTTGTGTGTCCAGTGCTTGGGTTTGATACTGTGGCGCTGTGATTGTGCGTGTACAGGTGAGAGTGTCTGCGACCTGCTCACCTGGGAGACTCAGGAGGTGCTTTCCCAGCTACCTCTCGCCCCTGGCGCTGTGGCAACGCTCACTCTGCACCTGCAGTCCCAGCTCGACTTCTCCTCCGAGGGCTTCCTGATGGAGCTCCACGACGGTGAGCGAGCACCCTTTTGGAGCTCCATCTGTCGGAACATGGGAGTGGGCGCCAGGTGCGAGGGGCAGGGAAGCTACGTGAACTCGCTCAAGTCCATCACGTCTCCCCACGTCTCCGTACTGTTGCGTGTCGCTGCATCCGCGTTTGCCCGCTTGAACGTGTCTCCCCGTGCCGGCTGCGCATATGTAGACACGGTGACGGTGACGGGGACCCCATTCGCTAGCCCCGCGCGGCAGCTGATGAAACCGCGTCTGGAAATGCGAGCGCCAGGAGGGACACCGCCCGACCACAAGCACAGCGGTGCTGGCAGGCTCAGGGTACGTGCGAACGTGTGCGTTTGTGTCTGTGCGTGTGCGGCCGTGTGTGTGTGCGTGTGCATCCGCGTGTGTGCCTGTGCATCCTCGTATGCACTGCTGCAGTGTTGCCACCTGCTTAAAACAGAAAGTCTCTGAAACTATTATACAGCATCACTCGTAAGTTTGCTCGATAGACTTTGGAAGGTCATCGAAAACGTAATTTGACAATTTACTTAGTGTTACACATAGAGACCTGATCGAGGAGTCTTAATACACACACCTAGAAAATCGCTCTTCAGTCTGCATCATGTCATCTTCTCAAAGTGGCTAGATTTGTCATGAGTCCCTTGACAAGATGTTGTCCCCAATGAAACCCCAAAAGTTGCAAAGTTTGCAAAACCGGAGCTTCAATACTCGCTGATTGGATCGCATGACAATCGTTGCCCAGACGTCATCAGCATCATCAGCCACATCATGCTGGGTGGGGCTTCTATGGGGTTTTCCCGCGTTCGGGAGGCAACATGTTGTGTGGCTACTGATATTCAAAGGAGCCCGAGTCATGGGACTGCATGCAAAGTAGTCGATCGCAGTGATGCTGCGCTGCTGGTCCTTCCGGTGGCAAGTGAGCAGCGCCGCGCCGGGTAGAGGAGTGACGCCGGTGGCGGTGCGCTTGACCTGCAGACGCTGGAGGGGACGCTGGCAGTGCGCTACACCGGCGGGGCGGGCGGCGTGGCCGGGTACTACCGTCGAGTGACGCTGGGTGTGCGCGTGGAGGTGGAGCCCTCGGTGGTGTTTGCAAGGATCGGCTCCCTGCCCGCCACCAGGTGAGCGATTGGCCACGGCGCGGCGGCCTTCGTGGCGTTATTTTGATGGTGGTGGTGCATGCGGTGGTGGCCCTGACGCACGACTGTTGCTGCAGCTCGCGGCAGTGCCACCTCCTGCTGGACGTGCTCAACACCACGGACATGGAGATGCTCCTCAGTTCCCACGGCAACCAAGACCTGGCGCTGCACTCACACGAACTGAAGCGGTACACACCGTGTTGGGTAGTGTGTGCTCCGTGCTCCACCCTGCGTAATGTGTGCTCCATATGGCACGCTCCACTTCGCACCCTCCCTGCTCTGTGCCGCACATGGCATACGAGGTCACGCTTCTCTGATTCATAGCTTATTATCAATTCTTATGCTCCAGATGCATGCATTATATTCTGCATGTGGGAATCGATTATTATTCAGCATGCAATTGATTCATGGAAACCCTGCAGGTACTACAGATCCTCATACTCTACAAGGGAAAACAGAGGAACAGTTATTGAATTGTGATCCTGAATCATGTCAGTTATTTTAATTGTGGGGTAGCTTTTTACCGCACGCTCCGAACCCCGCGTGCACTCTGGTGCCCACGCTTGCCCGTGTGAGTGGCTGTCAATCCCTGAGCAGGAGGGCAACGCCTGGAGCTCTGTATAAACTTCGGCACTGGGGCGACGGAGGCTGCGGGTGCAGTGCCTGGGCAGTGCGTACGGGTTACACGGGGGATCTGTATGTTTGCCGTGCGTATATTGCAGCGTGGCCGTGCAGGTGGATAAGCTTCAGTGGGAGGAGCCTCCAGACCCGAGGGACTCCCCGGTTTGCATCCTGGGTCCTGAGCGACCGGCACAGTCCCCGGTTGAGTGCCAAGAGATCAACCAAAAACTTGACATCCGGTGGAAACTCATATCCTTCCCTTTCACCAGTGGGGTGGGGCCGGGGCAGGGCTAGGCCAGGCCGGGTGAGGCCAGGCCAGCTGGGCTCGTGTGGCATTGAGCACTGGGTTAGGGCTTAATTGCTCACTGAGTATTTCACGGGTTGCCGGTAGACTGGAGTTAGTGGCAGTTCACCATTAGCCACAGCTTTTGTGAGAAGTATACTCGATGTGGTGTGCAGGCTGCAGAAATATTTTCCGGCTAACAAATTAACTTACTCATTCACTTAAATTCACTCTTTTATTCCATAATATTTATTAATAACAATGCACAGACATTTACTGACATTTACTCATTCCCACACTACGTGACGACAGCCCCTATGCCAGATTAGATGCAATTGAAGGTCGTTGAATTAAATGTGGAAGGCTTGGGAGTAGGTCACAGGGTTGACTAGTTGACGCAGCATTTATGCTCCCCACATCGTCATCCTCCACCGTTCGTTGTGCTCCCCAATAGCGCACTTCACGAGCCTTATCTGCAGAGGCCGATTGTACATTTGCACACACAAAGACAAAGTATATTAACAGACTGTTGGGGCAATTACTTTTAGTGAGCACCTTTGAAGGCTGGCACGAGACACAAGGGGGTGGGAGGCCAGCACCAGGTCCGGCCGACAGTACAATGTGCGTGTACACGTGCACACGTGTACACGTGTACACGTGTACACGCACAGTACAATGTGCGTGTACACGCGCATTGTACTGTACGCACGAACGTGGCCTCCTTGAGCGCGGAGTTTCTTCCTTGACCCAGCGGCGCTCACCTGTCAAGCGGGCGCGAGGGCGAGGCAAGCGTGGAGACGGTGCTGAGCACGGCCGTGCTGGAGCACCTGCGCCTTGCTCCACTGCAGTGGGGTGGGTGGCACCAGTTCACATACGGGTCTATACACGGGTCTATACACGGGTCTATACACAGGTGTACACACACACAGGTTAAGACATCAACTTTGGTGAACATGCACAGGTGTATGCACACGCACATGTGCACACGCACACATGCAGGTGGATACAAATGCACAGGACTAGACATTGTACACACGCAGACAGGTGTATACATGTACACAGGTATACGCATAAACAGAGGCACACAAACAGGTGTATAGAAACACACACGAGTGAGCGTATACGCTTCATTGTTGTGATGAGGGTGTGATGATAGCAGTGGTGGAAACGTGAGCATGCGCTGGCGGGGAGGTGGTGCGTTTACGGTAGTTGTGATAGAAATGGGTGTTGTGGTGGTGCGATGATGGCAGTGGTGGAGATGTGCGAGCAAGTGTGCGTGGGCGGAGAGATCGTGCACTGCCTCGTGGGAGAGCCGGCACCATTCACCGTGATGCTCACCAACCACTCGTGCCGCGACGTGGGCCTCTTCACCATGAGCGTGGAGCCGTGCCGGGACCTTCACAATGGCGAGACGGAGACGGCCGGCATAGCTCACGAGGTCGCCTTTGTGGGCTCCACCTCGGCCCTCATTGACACGGTGAGATCACTCGCTTCCTCGACCATGTATCCATGCACTTGTTCGCCAATTCTCCCTTAGACTTACTGTCCTGCTCGTTCGCTCTCTCATTCACTCAGAGCTGCTCAATCCCTCGTTCACTCTTTCGCTCCTTCACCCATATGCTCCGACTCGCTTGCGCGTTCTCTCACCCACTCATCAGCCACTCACCCACTTGCTTTGTCGCTCGCTCAAGTCTGTCCCACTCGCAGATCTGCTACCTTTCGCGCTGCGTGTCACGGGGCGTTTATTTCAGCATCGTCTCGCACCCGCAGGTGAGCCCCGGTGGGAGCTACTCCTTCTCCTGCGCGCCGCTCTTCCTCTTCCCCGGAGACTATTTCCTTGAAATCAAACTCCAAGAGAACGGGGGCAGCACCCTGCCACCGGCGTGGCTCTGCCCCCCGCGAGTGCACGTCAGCGCAACTGTGCCGTGCTCCCCGCCCTGAATGCCACGCCCCACCGCCCAGCCGGCGGGTTGACGCCGGCACACGGCGCCACCGCGGTTACGTCTTGTTTACGACACCGAGACCGCGCCAGGACCCAGCGACCCTTGCGGCCCATGCTGGCGTCCTTGAGCACCGAGGGTGACACGGACAACGTGGGGGTCGGGGGAAGGGCTTCAGCAAGCTCCGGGCCGTATTGGCACGAGGAAGCCACGAGCCGCCGTTTCCGCCGCTGCAGTGGCTGTGAAACGAGACGAGGGGTGAAGAGGGAGGCTGCTCAGTGTCGCTGTCCCCCACCTGTCCTTCGACCCCCACGCCTTGCCCACTCCATCCTGCCCACCCCATCGTCTGCCCCATCACCCACCCCCCCTGCATAATGAGTCGAGTCAGGGCCTGACCGTGCCCCTCCTCGTCGCGTTGCTTTTATAATCCGAGTCTCTGTCGGCCGATCCATGTGTTGGCCAGGACTGCCGGACTCCCGGCGTGAAATCGCAATGCTGGGACGTTGGGGGCGTCGGTGGTAACCACGCGTCGGTTTCTGATCGGCACCAGTGTACCAGTCTGCTGGCCGGTGCTGATATGCCGCCAACCTGACCTGTGTCAGTATGCACGGGTGTCCTCATCGGTACCCTATGCCAGTGTCTAAACTGGCGCAGTATCGCAGTGTCTGGCCCTACCGGGGTGTCGGTGTGGCCGGAGGCGAGGCGGCTGGCTTTGGAGTGACGGCAGGACCTCCTGCCTGACTGCTGCACCCGCCTTCGTCGCAAGCTTGAAACTGCTCATTATATCCCGGTTATCATCATCATCATCGTAAATACCTTTGTCTCGCTTCACACATGGCTGTATATTTTGGCGAGCCTGTGAGAGGCGGTCTCTGTGTGTCTGGGCCAAGTGGCTCTGTGCCCCACTCACGCACACCGAGCAACAGACACTGGGACACAGCGACTTACACTGAAACGGCTTGACTCGCAGACAGCCATCTGTGGACACCACGACAGACCACAGACAGCGACAGATACCGTGATGCAGATCACTCAAAGACAGTGGCATACACATCATCACTGGGTTTACAATTAAAAGCAGAAGTTACTCCATACGAAAAATAGATTAATTATCAAAGTCTTGAATGTGGTAAAATTTTAAGTGTCCTATCAACGTTTCAAACACAAACGCACAGACACGAGACGACACTCAGACACGAGACTACACACAGACGCGAGACTACACACAGACGCGACACTACACACAGACGCGACACTACACACAGACGCCACACTACACACAGATGCCACACTACACACAGACACGACACTACAGAGACATTACGGTATAGGCACCTGGATACGGCTTCAGCTCCCGTGGGGAGATGGGGGAAGTCTGGTGAGTCTCATCCTGGATCAGGAATGCGCGCTCCTGTAAATAATAAAAACTACAACGAAGCAAAATAAACTGCCTCCTTTTGCGGCATAAAGTCCTGAGAGGGCAGCCAAAATCCGCAGGAGTTTCCCGTCTCGTGCAGCAAACAAAGAGAAACGAGGCACAGCGTTTGCGGGGACGAGGGTTTAATTTCTGCATTCGCGATTCTGACTCCGTTGGATTCGGAACGTATTCACAGCTCAAGACATTTTTGTTTTAGCCTTGCAAATCCTACTGGCCTAGAAGGAGACCAGGATAATTTCTCTACATGGGTACATGCATGCATGCACGCAGTATATACGGGGAGTACACAATGTGTATTGCCATGTGAGTTTGTTGAGCTTTCTGTTGTATGTTCATTCGTATGCTTTACTGACCGTGGTCCCAAATCCTGATGCACTATTTTTTTACCTTAACACTACCCTAGTCCTTGTCATGACTGCATCCATAACCATAGATCTGAACAATGAATGTTACCCAAACACAGACATCAACGAGACCGTGATCAAACCATAATGCAATCACCTTAAACCCATAACCCTTAACACTAACCATCGTTCTTGCTGTAATGCTAGCCCTCGCCATAACCAAATAATTTCATATGCTCAGTCTAATCATAGTCCCCATCTTCCCCGACTTACAACCCTACCAATATCCCTTCGTTTCGCCCTATCCTGTGACAATACCATGAACCCCAGTCCTGGCCCGTGGCCCGAGCCCAAACTCTGCCACATGAAAGTCCTGGGAGGGTTGTGAACAGTGCAGTCAAGGAGGGATCGAGTGAAGTCTGAGTGGATGATAAATCAATAATGTGAGTTTCTGCTCGAGGCTGCTCGCTGAACCCCTGAGCTAGGGACATGGCGAGCAGTAGCTCGTACGGGGATGGGGCTCCGTTCCATCCCCGTGTCGCACGAATCCCACATCAGACGAGGCTGGTGAAGCCTCGGAGACAGCTGCTCGTGATTTAAACTCGCACGTTTGCTGCCAATGCAGAGACCCATTAGGTTAGCGGCAGCATTGCCCACCGCAGAGAGATGGCCGTGGGCGATGGAGATGATGGATTGCTGCTGGTTGATCGTGGTTTTGGTTGATGTTTGTAATGGTTGATGGCCATAGAAGCTGCTTGATTCTGATTGATAGTGGGTGTTGTCTGGTTACTGATGGCTGTGGGTGCTCTTTGATAGTTGTGTATACAGGCTGTGGATGTTGTGGATACTGGATTGTGGAGCGTGGTTGTGGATACTGGCTGTGGATGGTGGTTGGGGCCGAGCCGCGCGTGTGCAGTGGGGAAATAATCTCTCGAAACGGGGTGAGAGTGACCGGTACCCGGGGGGGGTACCTCCGGCAGCCCCCGGGCCCATTACGACGTGACTGGAGGGTCCAGCCCCTTGATGGTCAGACTGGTCTCGGTGAGAAAGGAGACCCCTGGGGAGGCCCCCACCTCGGGCCCAGCTTCCCAAGCCCAGCTCTGCTGCTCCCCCGATCCAAATGCCACGTAGAAGAAAGCTCCGAACAAGCTGATTGCGGCCGAGATGTAGAACACCACCTGCCACTCCATCAGCGTGTTCTGCACACCACCAGCACGCGATGTTACCGTGTGTCCGTAACGGAAGAACGTTACCGTAACGGGGCTGTGTTGGTCTGTGGTTCTCACGTGTTGGGTCAGGTAGCCGGTGGCCACGGGCGCCAGAAAGCCCGGGAGGCTGCTGATGGTGTTGGAGATTCCCAGCAGCACCGCGGCATACCTGCGATGGCATCCGACAATTATCTCTTGGTGATTCATCACAAAGATCCCCCGTGTGGCCTGAGCATAATTTTGAGGCAACTACTCTTAGCGAGCACCTATGAAGGGCGGAGCTAAACTCGTTGGCCAGCACCACACCCAAGCCGGTTGTTGTGGTGGTGGTGGTCCGATGAGGATAGATAAACTTGCCAAGGTGGAGGAAGCAATCCCAAAATGTAAAGCCTTTTAAACAGGGCCCTACTTTAATAATACAAACTTTCAATGCATTTCCTCTGGTAATATAAGATAAACACATTCTAGGTACCAATGTGGGGGGCAATTTATCACCACCACCTTCCCCCCTCCAGATCTGCCACTGGTTGTGGTGGCTGTAGTTGAGGTGATTGTGACAGTTGTGGCTATGCGGTTGGGATTATCGTGGTAGCTGTAATTGAAGTGTTGGCTTGGTTGTGGTGCATGCCTGCAACCAGGCACTGAGGGCCAGGGTTGGTGGATCGCATAAATATTGCAAAACTCCCTTCCCGTGGGTGTTCCCTGGCTCGCCAAGAAACGGCAGTACAGCAAATATGTGGACTCCACCTATCCCGTCTGTACGGGATGCAGTGTTTCCCTCTCGCACACGTGGGTTTTTTCCAGATGCTCCGTGTTCTTCTTACACATAAACGTTCATTAATTGACCGAAAACCCCTTAATACTGTACTGTATATGGAGGGCAAATTGCTGGCGCCGGCTCACTGCGTAGCTGCCTTCCCGCTGGCCTGTGGATCCTCCTCGCGCCTCTGAGTCGCTCTTTCATCCCATACTGTGTTTGACAATGCTGCTGTTGGAGGTCGTGGCTGTGTCTCACTGGGGCGCGATGTCCAGCTGGTTGACCCAGCAGCCAGCCGTGGCGAAGGAGCTGGTGCCCACGGCGAACGTGAGGAAGCACACGGCGAGGACGTGGTCACAGCCCACGAACGCGGCGCCCACCAGGAAGGCGCCGGGGGCTGCGAGACCTGGACGCAACCGTCACCACGACATGCAACGTTACGTCCCAACACAACATGTCGATGGTTTAATGTGGCCAATGAAGAGCAGCTTTAGAGGAGCGAGTTTGGTGAACGAATGAATGAAGGAGTGAGTTGGGCCATTGAGTGAACGTGGGTAGCACCTAGGAAAGTCAGGGACTTTCGAGTGGCCGTGGTGGAGAGCAGCTTCTGCCGCAGGATGGCGTCCGCTGCCCAACCGCCTAGCAGCGTGCACAGCCAGCCCGCGACGTAGGGTAGCGCGGTCAGCTGGCCGTTCTGCCATGGCCAGGCGCACCGCACACACCAGGGTCAGCCGGACATTTCTGAGTCGGCCTGGGTCTATTACACCTGAGCAGTTGACTGCAATAATGGTCAACGCAAGACCAGTATCAGATCTGTCTAAATCGATTCCTGCCACTAGAACACGGATGCTGACTTTTAGACAAGTGGCAAGGACAAGCATGCACCACGCACACTGCGGCAGTCTGCCGGGTGGCCCCCTAACCCAGCCACCCTAGCCCTGCCCCCTGGGCCCTGTCCACGCCCGACCCTGCCGCCTTACTTCCTGGAGATTGAAGTGCAGCACGGTGCTCATGAAGGTGGGCATGGAGGTAAAGATGGTGTAGAAGGCCCAGCTGCTGCAGAACATGGCCACGTTGAGCGCCCACACGGGGAGACTCAAAGCCATGCGCAGCCAGGGCACGGACGAAAAGCGCTTCTCAACCTGAGCCCCGCGGACACGGAGGGCGAAAGATCGGGAAGGTCGAGTGTGGTGTGCCGGGGTAGACGAGGTAGGGGATGTGGTTTTAGGGAAGCAGATCGTAGGCAGAGGAGACTTGAAGGGACGGAAGTCCAGGGGACTGAAATATCGTCATCGTACTGATTTTGGTATTTTCTTAATGTCCGCATAGGTTCACTTACACTGCAGAACTTGCGCTGATCCAGCCCTCATTTCTAGTCACTCCCTTACCCACTCAACGACTCACCCACCTATTCACTCCAGCCACTCACTCAACGGCGATCAGTCGCCTTCTTATCACTCTTCTATCGCTACATCCATGATCACTGTTGCTGAGAACTTCGCTCGTTGATTCCTCCACCAGTGTTGAGGACTTGGTCTATCAGACACTTTCGTTTAATCCATACTGTTCAGCCACCACCACTCAGGTCACAACACCCCCACCCACCCACCCACTAAGGTCACAACACCCCCACCCACCCACCCACTAAGGTCACAACACCCCCACCCACCCACTCGGGTCACAACACCCCCACACACCCACTCGGGTCACAACGCCCCCACACACCCACTCAGGTCACAACACACCCACCCACTCACCCACTCAGGTCACAACACCCCCACCCACCTACTCAGGTCACAACACCCCCACCCACCCTCTCAGGTCACAACACACCCACCCACTCACCCGCTCAGGTCACAACACCCCCACCCACCCACTCAGGCCACAACACCCCCACCCACCCACTCGGGTCACAACACCCCCACACACCCGCTCAGGTCACAACACCCCCACCCGCTCAGGTCACAACACCCCCACCCACCCACCCACTAAGGTCACAACACCCCCACCCACCCACTAAGGTCACAACACCCCCACCCACCCACTCGGGTCACAACACCCCCACACCCCCACTCGGGTCACAACGTCCCCACACACCCACTCAGGCCACAACACCCCCACCCACCCACCTACTCAGGTCACAACACACCCACCCACTAAAGTCACAACACCCCCACCCACCCACCCACTCAGGCCACAACACCCCCACCCACTCAGGTCACACCACACCCACCCACTCTGGCCACAACACACGCACCCACTCAGGTCATAACACACCACACCCACCCACTCAGGTCACACAACATCTCTTTCTGCTGTTTCCCTCGCACTGAATTCCCTCCCATCATCTCTTTCCCCGAGTTCTTGCAAAAATAACCTCGCTCAATTCAAGACTCGTGTTAACTCATCGCAATTTGTATGTTGCCGTTGGTTGTTGTTCGCATGGCATTTTGGAGCCTTGGGCAGCCTGTGCTCGGCAAGCATTTAAAACCGAAGGTGCAGGGATAAAGTGCGAATACAGGATTCAGAATGGGAGTCGGGCAAAGGTAAAAATCCAGTCCCGGTGAGACAGAGCCGCGTCCTCGATCACTCACGGCCTGGCGCTCCGCCCGCAGCGTGGTCTGGATGTACTCTCGCTCGGCCAGCGAGATGCGCGGGTGGCTGTCCGGGGAGCTGAAGGCGAAGAAGTACCAAAAGAAGGACCACAGCAGGCCCATGCCCCCTGCCGCCACAAGAACGATCGCGTTAGGCCCACGCCGACACGGGCCGGGTCAGCGCGTGGCCGGGATACCCGACGGGGAACCTCCCCGTGCACAGCCCTCGTGTCTCCCGTGCCTCGTGTCTCCCGTGCCTCGTGTCTCCCGTGCCTCGTGTCTCCCGTGCCTCGTGTCTCCCGTGTCTCCCGTGCCTCGTGTCTCCCGTGCCTCGTGTCTCCCGTGCCTCGTGTCTCCCGTGCCTCGTGTCTCCCGTGCCTCGTGTCTCCCGTGCCTCGTGTCTCCCGTGCCTCGTGTCTCCCGTGCCTCGTGTCTCCTCCCGTTCCTCCTCCCGTGCCTCCTCCCGTGCCTCGTGTCTCCCGTGCCTCGTGTCTCCCGTGCCTCGTGTCTCCCGTGCCTCGTGTCTCCCGTGCCTCGTGTCTCCCGTGCCTCGTGTCTCCCGTGCCTCGTGTCTCCCGTGCCTCGTGTCTCCCGTGCCTCGTGTCTCCCGTGCCTCGTGTCTCCCGTGCCTCGTCCCGTGCCTCCTCCCGTGCCTCGTGTCTCCCGTGCCTCTGTCTCCCAAGTGTTTTTTTTTAAACCGTAATATTTTTGAAGTCGCTGTTCGTTCATTAACTTTTGAGAAGTCCGCTCCTCTGAGGCTGACGTGGCCGGTGAATTTTCTGGGGAATCCACGAGTTCCCACTTTTGAGTCGGCATCCCCTCTGCTAGCGCGGCGTGCTTGTCGACCTGGGGGCGTGACGTGGCCCAGGGGCAGCGAGCTCGCTGCTTGATCCCGACGGCCACCCCGGTTAGCCCCGCGGTGCATATCGACCGTGACCGTGCTCCGTGACCGTGCCCGTCGGCTTCACAGTGGATACTGTGACGTCACTGGCAAGAGTTGGCCGTTGTGTGCTGGCGTAAGGATTAAAATTTGCCAAATTACACCGCAACTTACTGAAATGAGATCACAGCACCAATCATCGCCCTATACTGGCAGACGGATGCACAGGGACAGCAGCCACTGGGGGTGCCCCTATGCATGGTCACACAGCAACAATCATCGCCCCCCTACAGGCAGACTACTACCCCAGGTCACTTGCAAATGAGATTCATCCTCCATAAGAGGTTTTTGGGTTAGATCGCGTAAATATATAAATGTGTCGTTAAAACCCGCCACTACCCGACACAGCCAACTAGTAAGGGTTGTCACGGAAACAGAACATGCCAATTCGTCACTAGTACAGCACACCGGTGTGTTGGAGAGCCAAGCCACAACATTTACAAACTAAGTACGACGTTTCGCCAGTAATTACAACTAGCTTCATCAGGCGACAGCCTGACAGATCAGTCTGTAAATGTTGTGGCTTGGCTCTTCAACAAACCGGTATGCTGTACTAGTGACGAATTGGCACGTTCTGTTTACGTGACAACCCTTACTAGTTGGCTGTGTCGGGTGGTGGCGGGCTTTAACGACACATTTATATATTTACGCGATCTAACCCCAAAAAAACTATTGAGGATGATATTGGTCGCGAAAGCATACGTGTTAAAATGTTTTATCCTCTTTAAAACTTCCAATCTGCTGTCAGAGTGTGGTAATGTTTGTACTTTTTAGAATGCAAAGTACCACGGGATGGATGATATGTAAAAGGGGCCACATCGGTTTGACCGGTGTGAGTCCCCTGTGTCTGTGTGCCCAAAGCGCCTGTGCCCCCCTCTGCCCTGTGCCCCATTGCACCCCTCACCGCTCTCTCAACACCGGAGATCGCGCTGCAAACCATTGCCGGCTTCGGTAATTCAACGGAAGCGCAGATGCCGCTCATTAAGCCTCAGCTGAAGTCATTGGGTGGTTTTCAAACTTGAACAGAGATATTTGAGTGGCTCTTCATTCAGCCGTACTCAAGTGCCACTGCCTCTCCACCTAACAGCCACGACGTTTCCCCATACCCCACCTGCCTCCCGTGCCCCCCGTGCCCCGCGACTCTTCGTACCGAAGATATAGAAGATTGAAGCCCACCCGAGCGTTTCAGCGATGATTCCCGACAGCGGCATGGTCACCACGGTGCCGAAATGTCCACCTGGACGTGGCACACGGGGGAGGGGGGAGGGGAAGGTGGAGTGCGGTGGTGGTAGTGGTGCTAATGGTGGTGGTGGAGGCGGCTGTGTGTTCTTACCGGAGTAACAGATGCTGATGAGGGTGCTCCTCTCATACGGAGGCGCCCAGAGCGCCCACATGGCGTGCATGGTGGGGTAGGTCACGCCCTGTGGACGACACGAGTGCTCACCACCACCATTACCACCTCAACCACATCAGACCCCCACCATTACAACAGCACTCTAACACCTCACCACCTTCACCACCAAAACATGACAACAGACCCTACCGATGATACCTACGCTTTACCACGCACTCATCCGCGCCAGAATGTCACGACCACATTAAACACGACTCCCAAGTCACTACGAGAACCACCTCGACCACCAACGTGAACCACCAGTAACCGCCGGCACGCACCCGCCACGTTCTACCACTGATGCCGCAAGACGGGGCCGTGGCAACGTTCCCCGTGACTCCGGAGTCGGGGTCGCCGTCCCCGGACCGCGCCATCGCTGGGGAGGCACGGACGGGCGCCCCCCTCGCGGCTCCAGGCCGCCCCCCTCGCGGCTCCAGGCCGCCCCCCTCGCGGCTCCAGGCCGCCCCCCTCGCGGCTCCAGGCCGCCCCCCTCGCGGCTCCAGGCCGCCCCCCTCGCGGCTCCAGGCCGCCCCCCTCGCGGCTCCAGGCCGCCCCCCTCGCGGCTCCAGGCCGGCCCCCTCGCGGCTCCAGGCCGGCCCCCTCGCGGCTCCAGGCCGGCCCCCTCGCGGCTCCAGGCCGGCCCCCTCGCGGCTCCAGGCCGGCCCCCTCGCGGCTCCAGGCCGGCCCCCTCGCGGCTCCAGGCCGGCCCCCTCGCGGCTCCAGGCCGGCCCCCTCGCGGCTCCAGGCCGGCCCCCTCGCGGCTCCAGGCCGGCCCCCTCGCGGCTCCAGGCCGGCCCCCTCGCTCCCCGCGCGTGCGCTGTCTCGCCCGGGCCGCTCTCTGCTGGTAGTCCGGAGGAGGTGGAACCCTGACTGAGCTGGAGCCTCAACGTCGAGCAGCGCCCCGGGGACTCGAGCTGACCGGACTCGGAAGGGGCAGCGTGGGTCGCGCGCCTCCACTGACATCTCGTACCACGGACTGGATGAATGGCACCTAAGACTTCATGGTTGACAAGTTGACTAACTGGCCACTATTTCAAACGATAATTATCTGGGGCGATTCATTGTTCTACACGAGGGGGCGTCGATAAGCGAGGATATGTTATGAATGAGGAACGTTTGGTGGTGCAGGGCCGACCCTGGCAGGCCCCGAGCGCCTCGTGGGTGGCACGCGTGAATGGACGAGCGCAGAGCAAAGAGACGCTGCTTCGTGCATTCTGGGCAAGACTGCTGCGCTATCGCCATGACTGCGCCTGTTTACCCAGGAAGGCGATGCTTTTTTATATTTTGCGGCATCGCTGCCGATGAAACTCGGATCCGTTATCATGAGCCTGGGAGTGGAGACGTACAGATTCTCGGCATGCAGGGTCCAACGACAGTCGTCTGCACTGGCCAGAGTAGTGAAGTATGGTCAAGTAACTTTGATGATCTTCATCCAGAAGTGGATTGACAAAGGGACGCACTGCTGCTGCTAAAGAAAGTGCGGCCTGGGTACGAGAGGATGTGGCTAGGGGGTCTGGCTAGGGGGTCTGGCTGGGGGGTCTCGCTAGGGGTCTGGCTAGGGTGTCTGGCTGGGGTGTCTGGCTGGGGGGTCTGGCTGGGGGGTCTGGCTAGGGGGTCTGGCTGGGGGGTCTGGCTGGGGGTCTGGCTATAGAGTGGGGTCTGGCTAGGGTGTCTGGCTGGGGTGTCTGGCTAGGGGATCTGGCTAGTGTGTCTGGCTGGGGGGTCTCGCTAGGGGTCTCGCTAGGGGGTCTGGCTAGGGTGTCTGGCTGGGGGGTCTCGCTAGGGGGTCTGGCTAGGGTGTCTGGCTGGGGGGTCTCGCTAGGGGTCTGGCTAGAGGGTCTGGCTAGGTGTCTGGCTGGGGGGTCTTGCTAGGGTGTCTGGCTGGGGGGTCTGGCTAGGGGGTCTGGCTGGGGGGTCTGGCTGGGGGGTCTGGCTAGGGGGTCTGGCTAGGGTGTCTGGCTGGGGGGTCTGGCTGGGGGGTCTGGCTGGGGGGTCTCGCTATGGGTCTGGCTAGGGGGTCTGGCTGGGGCGTCTGGCTAGGGAGTCTGGCTAGGGGGTCTCGCTAGGGTGTCTGGCTATAGAGTGGGGTCTGGCTAGGGGTCTCGCTAGGGGGTCTGGCTAGGGTGTCTGGCTGGGGGGTCTGGCTAGGGGGTCTGGTTAGGGGGTCTGGCTAGGGGGTCTGGCTAGGGGTCTCGCTAGGGGGTCTGGCTGGGGGTCTGGCTATAGAGTGGGGTCTGGCTAGGGTTTCTGGCTGGGGTGTCTGGCTAGGTGGTCTGGCTAGTGTGTCTGGCTGGGGGGTCTGGCTAGGGGGTCTGGCTAGGGGGTCTGGCTAGGGGGTCTGGCTAGGGGGTCTGGCTGGGGGGTCTGGCTAGGGGTCTCGCTAGGGGGTCTGGCTGGGGGTCTGGCTATAGAGTGGGGTCTGGCTAGGGGGTCTGGCTGGGGGGTCTCGCTAGGGGTCTGGCTAGGGGGTCTGGCTGGGGGGTCTCGCTAGGGGTCTGGCTAGGGGGTCTGGCTGGGGGGTCTGGCTAGGGGGTCTGGCTAGGGTGTCTGGCTGGGGGGTCTGGCTAGGGTGTCTGGCTGGGGGGTCTGGGGGTCTGGCTGGGGGGGTCTCGCTAGGGTGTCTGGCTGGGGGGTCTGGCTGGGGGGTCTCGCTATGGGTCTGGCTAGGGGGTCTGGCTGGGGGTCTGGCTAGGGGGTCTGGCTAGGGGGTCTCGCTAGGGGGTCTCGCTAGGGTGTCTGGCTATAGAGTGGGGTCTGGCTAGGGTGTCTGGCTGGGGGGTCTGACTGGGGGGTCTGGCTGGGGGGTCTGGCTGGGGGGTCTCGCTAAGGGGTCTGGCTGGGGGGTCTCGCTAGGGGTCTGGCTAGGGGGTCTGGCTGGGGGGTCTCGCTAAGGGGTCTCGCTAGGGTGTCTGGCTGGGGGTCTGGCTAGGGGGTCTGGCTAGGGGGTCTGGCTGGGGGGTCTCGCTATGGGTCTGGCTAGAGAGTGGGGACTGGCGAGGGTGCTAGACCCCCCGGGGAGCGGGTGGAGCCGCCTGGAGCCGTGTGGGAGCGCACCTCTCCGATCCCCTCCAGCACGCGCACGAGGATGATCCAGGGCACCCCGAGGTCCGCGGCCAGCGGCGTGAGCAGCGTGAGCACCGTGGTGACCATCACGCCCATCCCGAACAGCAGTTTGCCTCCGTATCTGACAGCCAGGTAACCCCCGGGCACCTATGGGGAGGTGTGCGGAGGCGAGGGGGGAGATTTCTGGAGGCCCCCTCAGTATTTCCGAGGCCTGCTGCAAACTCCCCTACAGGCCCAGCCCACTTCTAGGATCCTGAGATGGTGTGGAACGGTGAGGTGGAGTGGAGCGGGGGGTAGGGGAACGGATGGAACAGGTGGAACGGGTAGAGCGAGCGGAGCGCACCTGGGTGATGATGTAGCCGTAGAAGAAGGAGCTGAGGATCCACCCCTGGATTTTCGAATTCCAGTTGTAAACGGCGACCTGAGAGGGGGGACGGAGTATGTGGTGGGGTCATGGGTCAAGGTCATCACATCCCGACTTGCAACTTTCTCCTTTATAGTCTCCATACATTCCTCACCTCAACATTCCACGTGCCGCTGACAAACTCCTCACTCACCCCGTAAATGAGACCACACCACTCTTACTCTACGATCACTCCACTGGCACCCAATCCCATCTGGGATTGATTTATTTATTATATCGCACTCAATGTCTCCAAGATTCTCCATTGAAATGCCCCTGCCTACCACTCCCCTCTCAGCTCACTCTCCACTACAGCAACAGTCGACCTCCGTTCGGTCATAGGTCGTTCATGTTGCTCTGCCACCCTCACACTGTGGAACACCCCTCCACCGCCATCCGTGCTGTCGACTCCCTGCCAGGTTCAATACTTTGGGGGGGTTTTCCGTTTATCTAAGACATCCTTATCTCCGTAAAAGAAGTATGCCCGCTGTGTTTGTGTAGCATCTTGAGATGCGATGGCATGTGGACAAGATAGCCACATTTGACTGGCACTGTGAGGTTGTGTTGGTCTTCGTGAAACGTGGCCGGGCTCAGGGTTCGGCTCAGTTATGGGTGAGAGTAAGGGTCAGGGTCTGACTCATGGTTGGGGTTCATGGTTAAGCTCAGGTTAAGGGTGGGATGCGAACAGTGAGGCTCTTGCTCAGGGTGAGGCTTGCAGTCGGGGTGCTGTGTGCAGTGCGCGTGTCTGTGACGCACAGAGGGCAGCTGTGCGGGGTGGCTGCCGTTTAAGGGCACGGGCTGCGGGCAGTACGCGCTGCTGTTGTCCTGGTGTGCAGCCCCGGTGCTGTTCACCATGGCCACCATGGCCACGCTGAGGTTCACGCGCAGCGCGTACACCAGGGCCAGTCCGATGAAGCCCAGCGCGGCGAGGATGTGGCGAGACCGGCAGCTGCACGTGCGGCCTGGGGCCAGGATCACGCGCATAGCACGCACCCAACCCATAGCACTCCGCATCCTACACATAGCACTCTGCACCCAGCACCAGTACGTAGCACTCAGCACCTAGCGCCCCATACATAGCGCCCGGCGCCAGCACATCGCACCACTCACTCACCACTCACCAGCACTCACCACTCACTCACTTACCACTCACCACTCACTCACCAATCACCACTCACTCACCACTCACTCACCACTCACTCACCAATCACCACTCACTCACCACTCACTCACCACTCACTCACCACTCATTCACCACCCACTCACCACTCACTCACCACCCACTCACCACTCACTCACCACACCACTCACTCACCACTCACTCACCACTCACTCACCAATCACCACTCACCACTCACTCACCACTCACTCACCAGTCACCACACACTCACCACTCACTCACCACTCACCATTCACTCACCACTCACTCACCACTCACTACTCACTCACCACTCACTCACCATTCACTCACCACTCACTCACCACTCACTCACGACTTATTCATCACTCACCACTCACTCACCACTCATTCACCACTCACCACTCACTCACCACTCACCGCTCACTCACCACTCACTCCACACTCACCACTCACTCACCACTCACTCACCAATCACCACTCACTCACCACTCACTCACCACTCACTCACCACACACTCACCACTCACCGCTCACTCACCACCCACTCACCACTCACTCACCACTCACCAATCACTCACCACTCACTCACCACTCACTCACCACTCACTACTCGCTCACCACTCACTCACCACTCACTCACCACTCACGTACCACTCACCACTCACTCACCACTCACTCACCACTCACCATTCACTCACCACTCACTCACCACTCACTCACCACTCACCACTGACGCACCACTCACCACTCACTACTCACCACTCACCACTCACTACTCACTCACTACTCACCACTCGCCAGCACTCACCACTCACTACTCACCACTCAATCACCACTCACTCACCACGCACTCACCACTCACTCACCACTCACCACTCACTCACCAATCACCACTCACTCACCAATCACCACTCACTCACCACTCACTCACCACACACTCACCACTCACCGCTCACTCACCACTCACTCACCACTCACTCACCAATCACCACTCACTCACCACTCACTCACCATTCACTCACCACTCACCACTCACTCACCACTCACTCACCAATCACCAATCACTCACCACTCACTCACCAATCACCACTCACCACTCACTCAACAATCACCAATCACCACTCACTCACCACTCACTCACCACTCACTACTCGCTCACCACTCACCACTCACTCACCACTCACTCACGACTCACTCACCACTCACTCACCACTCACTCACCACTCACTACTCACCACTCACTACTCACTCACGACTCACCACTCGCCAGCACTCACCACTCACTACTCACCATTCACTCACCACTCACTCACCACTCACCACTCGCTACTCACCACTCACTCACCACTCACTACTCACCACTCACTACTCACCACTCACTACTCACTCACTACTCACCATTCACTCACCATTCACTCACCACTCACTTACCACTCACCACTCACGCACCACTCACCACTCACTACTCACTCACCACTCACTCACCACTCACTCACCACTCACTACTCACCACTCACTACTCACCACTCACTCACTACTCAGCACTCACATCTCACCACTCACTACTCACTCACCACTCACTCACCACTCACTACTCACCACTCACTACTCACCACTTACTACTCACCACTCACTACTCACTCACTACTCACCACTCGCCAGCACTCACCACTCTACTCACCACTCACCACTCACTCACCACTCACTCACCACTCACTCGCCACTCACTCACCACTCACTCACCACTCACGACTCACTCACCACTCACTACTCACCACTCACTACTCACCACTCACCACTCGCCAGCACTCACCACTCACTACTCACCACTCACTCACCACTCACTCACGACTCACTCACTACTCACCACTCACTCACCACTCACTCACCGCTCACCACTCACTCACCGCTCACTCACCACTCACGACTCACTCACCACTCACTCACCACTCACTACTCACCACTCACTACTCACTCACGACTCACCACTCGCCAGCACTCACCACTCACTACTCACCATTCACTCACCACTCACTCACCACTCACCACTCGCTACTCACCACTCACTCACCACTCACTACTCACCACTCACTACTCACCACTCACTACTCACTCACTACTCACCATTCACTCACCACTCACTCACCACTCACTTACCACTCACCACTCACGCACCACTCACCACTCACTACTCACCACTCACTCACTACTCAGCACTCACATCTCACCACTCACTACTCACTCACCACTCACTCACCACTCACTACTCACCACTCACTACTCACCACTTACTACTCACCACTCACTACTCACTCACTACTCACCACTCGCCAGCACTCACCACTCTCCTCACCACTCACCACTCACTCACCACTCACTCACCACTCACTCACCACTCACGACTCACTCACCACTCACTACTCACCACTCACTACTCACCACTCACCACTCGCCAGCACTCACCACTCACTACTCACCACTCACTCACCACTCACTCACGACTCACTCACTACTCACCACTCACTCACCACTCACTCACCGCTCACCACTCACTCACCGCTCACTCACCACTCACGACTCACTCACCACTCACTCACCACTCACTACTCACTCACCACTCACGCACCACTCACTACTCACTCACCACTCACTCACCACTCACTCACCACTCACTACTCACCACTCACTACTCACCACTCACTACTCACTCACTACTCACCACTCGCCAGCACTCACCACTCACTACTCACCACTCACTCACCACTCACTCACCACTCACTCACCACTCACGACTCACTCACCACTCACTCACCACTCACTCACCATTCACTCACCACTCACTCACGGCTCACCACTCACTCACCACTCACTCACCACTCACTCACCACTCACTACTCACCAGCACTCACCACTCACTATTCACCACTCACTCACTACTCACCACTCACTCACTACTCACCACTCACTCATCACTCACCACTCACTCACCACTCACTCACCACTCACTACTCACCACTCACTCACTCACCACTCACTCGCCACTCACCACTCACTCACCACTCACTCACCACTCACGACTCACTCACTACTCACCACTCACTCACCACTCACTCACCGCTCACCACTCACTCACCGCTCACTCACCACTCACGACTTACTCACCACTCACTCACCACTCACTCACTACTCACTCACCACTCACTCACCAATCACTACTCACCACTCACTACTCACCACTCACTACTCACTCACTACTCACCACTCACCACTCGCCAGCACTCACCACTCACTACTCACCACTCACCACTCACTCACCACTGACGACTCACTCACCACTCACTCACTCACCACTCACCATTCACTCACCACTCACTCACCACTCACTCACCACTCACTACTCACCAGCACTCACCACTCACTATTCATCACTCACTCACCACTCACTACTCACCACTCACTCACCACTCACTACTCACCACTCACTCATCACTCACCACTCACTCACCACTCACTCACCACTCACTACTCACCACTCACTACTCACCACTCACCACTCGCCAGCACTCACCACTCACTACTCACCACTCACTCACCACTCACTCACCACTCACTCACCACTCACGACTCACTCACTACTCACCACTCACTCACCACTCACTCACCGCTCACCACTCACTCACCAATCACTCACCACTCACTCACTACTCACTCACCACTCACGCACCACTCACTACTCACTCACCACTCACCACTCACTACTCACCACTCACTACTCACCACTCACTACTCACTCACTACTCACCACTCACCACTCGCCAGCACTCACCACTCACTACTCACCACTCACTCACCACTCACTCACCACTCACTCACCACTCACGACTCACTCACCACTCACTCACCACTCACTCACCACTCACCATTCACTCACCACTCACTCACCGCTCACCACTCACTCACCACTCACTCACCACTCACTCACCACTCACTACTCACCAGCACTCACCACTCACTATTCACCACTCACTACTCACCACTCACTCACCACTCACTACTCACCACTCACTCATCACTCACCACTCACTCACCGCTCACCACTCACTCACCACTCACTCACCACTCACTACTCACCAGCACTCACCACTCACTATTCACCACTCACTCACTACTCACCACTCACTCACCACTCACTACTCACCACTCACTCATCACTCACCACTCACTCACCACTCACTCGCCACTCACTCGCCACTCACCACTCACTCACCACTCACTCACCACTCACGACTCACTCACTACTCACCACTCACTCACCACTCACTCACCGCTCACCACTCACTCACCGCTCACTCACCACTCACGACTTACTCACCACTCACTCACCACTCACTCACTACTCACTCACCACTCACGCACCACTCACTACTCACTCACCACTCACTCACCAATCACTACTCACCACTCACTACTCACCATTCACTACTCACTCACTACTCACCACTCACCACTCGCCATCACTCACCACTCACTACTCACCACTCACTCACCACTCACTCACCACTCACTCACCACTGACGACTCACTCACCACTCACTCACTCACCACTCACCATTCACTCACCACTCACTCACCGCTCACCACTCACTCACCACTCACTACTCACCAGCACTCACCACTCACTATTCACCACTCACTCACCACTCACTACTCACCACTCACTCACCACTCACTTATCACTCACCACTCACTCACCACTCACTACTCACCACTCACTCACTACTCACTCACCACTCACTACTCACCACTCACTCACCACTCACTACTCACCACTCACTCACCACTCA